ATCACAACGATGCTGGGGACTTGAGGAAAAGAGAGATAAAGCAGACTGTTGCAAGAGAGCATTCACCGTTTCACACAACAGTTGGATACGTTCAAAGCATTGCTGCATATACAGGCATCAAATGAACTTAGCAAACGCCTAACTCTTGTGATGATGCCCAATGCTCAACCTCCTGTTGGGATATTGGCAGATACTGACAAAACAAGGCAGCAGAATTAGGACAATATCTATCATGAGGCAGGAACAAAATCGGTTTAAATGCGTGTCCTTTGGATTGGCAGGTTCACCATTTACATTCAGACGACTAATGATGTTTTCACTGAAAAAACTGAAGAATTGAAATTCAAAATAACCATGTGAAACATGTCGAAGCCACGTTAAGATGCACTTAAGTGCTCGGACTACTTATCAACAAAACAGAATCTTGGATAGACAAAAGGAATGTCACTCTGTTGGGATAGAAAGTAGGGAACGAAGAAACTACTCTGCCTGAGAAAATCTCTTCAGTAAACAACATCACGTCCTCGAATTCGAGGGGGAAACAATGGAAGTTGTTGTGGAAAACGGGGTTTTATAGTCGGTCTGAGAAAATCTTCAACGAGATATTAGCTCCGCTGCATAGCCTTCTAAGTGGGTCAAAGTTTGTTCGGTTGGAAGATTCATAGGGGATATTCAACCTCATTGAAAGGCCTTTAGATCACCAGCAAATGAAATTAAAACTGTCTGTACCCAGTAAACAGTTCACGATGTGTACAGGTGTGAGTGACTACGGAATAGGTGTAGTAATGAGAAAGAGTGAAGTTGCTGCGTATACCAGTTGTGTTGTAAAACATAAGGGGTAAAACTATTCGAAGTTCGAGAAAGAATGTTCAGCAATAGTGAGGGCATTAGACAACTGCAGACTTATCTATCTGATCAACAGTTCCATTTCGAAACTGATTGTAAACCGCCACAGTGACAAAAGGCGCTAAGACATGCACGTAGGGAATTGTCCTGTTGAATGTTGCACATCTAGGAGTAGGACTCCAGGATCTCCGACGTCCCTAGCAAATAAAAGTTTCTGGTAGACTTTTTATCTAGACTGGAATGAAATTGGGTTACCAGAAATTACATGGGGAGTACATGCATTGGAACAATACCCACTAGGACTTGCCCACTGTCAGAAGTCAAGTCCTACCCTGAATTCAGTAATGCAGGTGATCACGAACGGATTAGAAGTGAATAGACCTATGGCGAGTAAGGGGCTGACTACGCCAATCAGAAAGAAAGATCGACAAGGAGTGAACGCCTACGGAACTCTGACTTGGTGAGAGAAAGATGGAAGTTGGGTGGCGGTAATAGCTCAGCGTCTGCTCCATGAGGTGATAAAACAATGTCACCGCATGGCAGATATATTGGGGTAGCCAGGACAACCGACCTACTGGGAAAAGGCACATACTGACAAGTATGAAGGATGTGTCGAAAAATGTGCTATGATATCTGTCAGTGTCCAGGTCTAACTACAGTGGACTTATCGCTGTCATTAGAAGACCTTCAGAAACAGTGTGCAATAACCAATGCGAAAAAACAGAACACAGACTGGTGACTTGATAATCCTTTATTCTTGCACCAATATGCAACCAACAATAAGGTTATGATGCACAAAGTCTAAAAATAAATGTCATAACAATTAATCACAATAATACTTCTGATAGTATTTCTCCGTCTTCTAACGAACAGCCTACGATGGAACGATGACTGCAGTATTGGTGACTACCACCAAAATATGGAGTTGGTTTTGAGTAAACAACCATGAATTCATCGTTCATTCTTCAACTACATTGGCAATTTCCGTTGTGTCAGTAGATGAAAGGAGGGCGGTTCAAGCAGCTATTTCCACAGTCAATTGCGGTTACGGCAGTATGTGACTTGTTCGTAGACGTGATTAGTCAGTTTCCAACAACATCCAGTGGCAAACGCTACTTCTTGACTACGAGGGAACACGCCACAAGGTTGGTAGATTCCGTCGCGATTCTAGATCAGACTGCAAAAGATGTGACCAATACGGCAGTTCATTACATCATTACAGACCGTGACTTACCAAAGACGATACTGACAGATCAAGGCACATCAACCCTCCACTTAGGAAACACAAAGTCAGCGTTTCAGTTGATGCATGTTAGGAAACCGTGAGCAGTGATACACAATAAGAGCTGGCCCTTTCACCAAGAATGAAGACCGAAAACGTAACGGAAAGCATCGGTCGGGAATGTGGAACACAAAGAGAAGACTGACGATGATAAATCCGAAGAAATAAGTTAAGGACGATTCGCTTCACATTTACATACAGAGTAATACTGTTTATCAGCGGAGTGCGCTACATTTGTGTTAACGTGTTCCACCGAGTCTTCAACTTGAAACCGGAAAGCTAATTCATGTCATCACAGATTATCTTGTAAGGATGCCTGACTAATATTCTTTCATAACCTGAAATTCCATAAATTGCATCTCTGCTGTGTCGCTAAAATGGCCACTTCAAATCAGCAATGAAGTATCTTCTCAGTAATGAAGAGTATTCAGATATCACCAACACCTAAGTAGAACTTATATCTTTCCTCTTCCACTTGTAAACTGCTTATGTCACAACACGAAAAGTCACTCCATGTTTAAACATCATGTTCACAATTTCTAAAAAATAATAATAAGATCAGAGGGCTTTGCATCATATTTGTTTTAGCTGTGACTTGTGTCCTCAAATATTATATGCGATAGTGTTAGAAAATTCACGTGACAATACATCACACTTATGTTTTCCGTCCGGGTTTTTAAATGCTGAAGTCATCTGGCCTGTGTTGACATTTGCTGAACCCAATCAGCCGTTGTTAATGCTGGTGAAGAACACTGTAGGAAGTAGAAGAAACCTGTTTTGCTGTCCCAAGATTTATTTTCTGTATTTTCGACTGCATTGTTTGGAGTGTCACCTGTTGCACCAAAATGAGTTACGTTTCCACATTTCCCCCCACAGTTTCACTTAGCGAAGTCCCTGAGGATTCAGAGTGATACTGTTCCTTAATTGGGTGGACGATGTTAACAGAAACTAATCACCGCGTAAGGGCAGGTCATGCAAGGGTCGGTGAATGATATTCCAATGATGTGTATCTATGCATCGCATTTGCAGATCTCATCTTCTGGTGGAGTCAGGAAACTGGAGGTATCATAAACGTATGAATAACTAAAGTACTTGGCATCTTGGTCAATCAAATTGCAAAGTGTGGACTCTTTAGTGCAATGTCTTGTTCTCTAGCGTCACAGAATATCTCGTGGCAAGAATCAAGCTGACTTGACGGGTGGGAATCCAGGTTATTAAACACTCCACTGGTTGCTATCTCATATGTCAACATCATTTCATGTGCACTGCAATCATCGCTTAGCATTTTTTGAAAGAGGATACAAGATGATTCATCTGATGCAACATAAAGTGCGGTGTGTAGCCTAGTTACTCTGGCTTTTTTACCCGAATATGATTATGATCAGTAAATTGTGCTCAAAACGTCATCAGTGAATATCATTGTATGACAAATTTTATCCAAAATGGAATTATACTCTACCTCAGTGTGCAAGTCCTATAATTATATCAGTAGTTATTCTGACATCTATAAATATCCAGGACACAAGTTACTGAGTGAATAATACGGACAACAAGATCATTGAAGCTGATAAATATCTTCTGTAACTTTCCTGATTTGTCCTACGATTTCCCAGAGATGGAGATTTTTTTCGAGAATACATGGTTTCGCCCGTTGAAGGAAGCCAGATAAATAAGACGAAGATCAAGTTATTCATGGGATTAAGTGATTTTATTTAAAATTATTCAATTAAGGTACTTCGCGTTGGCAATTTGCCTCCGAAGTATATTTGTGTCTGCTTCATAGACTACAAAAAGAAAGTTAACACCCACGGTTCACTAACTGGAAACTAACTACAGCTTTGTTATTCGCCGTTAGCATTACCCGAGGAGTCTGTAATTCTTGGTTTTTCCCTGCCCTTTGTTAAAGTTTCAGCGTCATGTACAACTTTAGATAATCTCTCTGATACATATGTTTCGTATTATTGTAATCGTACTGTAATTCCATGTTTGGGCATCCATGTGGTTTCGTGCGTATACCCGAGTTGCCTGAGCATTCATACTCTATTTTGTCTACTCTATTCTCGGCCAATACTGTTTAAAGTCGCTTTCACACCCTATGAAAAAAGGTGTGTCTGAGAGGTAACTTACCACGTCTTTTCAAGAATTCTTTCACTGATGCCTTCTGTGGCTACTGTTAGAAGAGTCTTAAGTGAAATTTAATCCGACATCAGCATCACTCACAGAAATTACCACTCGTAGATTCGCGACCGTCTCTGTATATGATATGCTTTTCCACCGGGTACTACGTGATATTTTACCCAAGTGGCGTCGGTGGCACAGTGGTTAGGACTGTCGCCGACCATGCACATAGTCCGGGGTTCGATCCCCTGCCGACGCACACCCGATATCTATGGTCGGCCTGTAAATTTAGGCTACCGATATCCATACTGAAAATTCTACACTTGTACTGAAAATACGGTGTGGAATCAAGCTGTAAATCAAAATAAATAAATAAAATAAATAAAAATAAAGTATTGAGACTATGGAGGCTATTTGCTTTAAAAATAAGTCTCAGAAGTTTCTTCAAGATAACCCACTTCCTGAATGTGATCCGCAAAAGATAGCGGAAGCGGACTAAAGGACCAGTTTAACAGGTTTAACAAAGTTGTGGGATTCAGCCTTTAGGGGACCTTCATTGAAACGAGATACAAATCCTAATGTCTTTGTAACATTACAGATCATTCACTCTCCAAAAGTTATCAACAGGTGAATGACGAAATTTTTCCTGTACACTGATGAATCAAGAAAAGCTTAAGGGAAAATTCGGAAGTAACTAGTTTGCTATGCTCACATAGCCACCGTTGCATATTGGATTACTTACAAATGTTTCGCACCAGGACTCAAGGTCACCCGCTTTCTATGAAAATTGTTTGGTAAAATTGTTTGTCTGGAAACTCTGGAGGGTATTTGGTTTTCTCTACGACTTCACACTCATTTTCGTATGTGGTGCTAGGCTTAATTTTTTGCTTATGCATTAAACTGTCTATGCTTGAAGTCCTTATATCATATTTAAAAGATATGTAGAAGTAACCAAAGCCTAAGTTTTAGATCAGAATTAGTTTAGTATGCTGGAGCTATGTTTAATGTTCACGAATTTTTTTGACAGCTTATTGAGAATCCTTTTTATGAATAAATACTTATGGAATTTATGTGTCATTATGCTTACTGAGTCATGTGTACACGTGTAGTTTGCTTTTTGCATGGTCAGTTTCGTAATAACTTTCTACTAGAGGTTCAAAAACCAGAAGTTGGTGACCATAAAAATTAAAAGCAAAATTTAACTTATCTCATCATTGCTGACTTCAGTTTGAATTCAAACGCGGAAAAAAAGATGGTTTTGTACTGTCAATACTTCTGTAACTTTCATGGTGTAACTTCTGTAACGTTCATGGTGTCAGTAAATGCAGGATTTGGAATTGGAGTGTGCCTTCTATTATTTTGAGTGTGGTATAGACAATTGATTTTCCTCTTATTAAAACCATATATGCTTATTGAATCATTAATCAATACTAACGATTATTAAGCATCCAGCTTTCGTTCTATTTTATATGGATATTATACTTCTCAATAATGGAAAATGTAGAGACAAGAAACTTGATAAGGTGTTAGTATAATGATAATGAGGACTCCTAATTTTTATGGACATGGTCAAAAACTTGTGACTTTAAACGAAATTAACAGCTTTAGGTCGAATAAATTCAGTTGTTCAGTGAATGTTGATAATGAACTGACAATTTCTCTAGATATCGACACAATCCGGCCTTATTTGCAAATTCACTTGACATACTTAGACATTAAAACTAATTTGATAGATAGGGCCAAGCCAAATGGAAACTCCCAGTACTCTTGACTACTACTTTTCAGCAGTTTTTATACGTTATCTCCCTGGTTTATGCACCTGTCTCCTGTAAGTTACTAGTGATTTGAACTCCCCTTTCCGCGGCTCACATGGATGATATTCTGAAGGCGATGTATTCTTCCTTAGTTATCTCTTTAAGACTAACTGCAATCCGTAAATGACATTTTTTTTTCTCACACTCAATACCCACTCAAAACCTAACGCCTTAATTTTCAAGGTCTGTGATTGTAGCGTGTTTCTGTCTGTTCATATTCGTATTTTGTTGTAGGTCTTGTGGCATGTAAAATAAAACTGATATAGAATAAGTCATATTTCTGATGAAGCTGGGATGTCACTGTATTCCACATTCTTTACGTAGTGTGTTTTTACAGTTGGCAGCCATACATATAATTGTAAATGGATTGTCAAAATCAGTCTGATGTTCCAAAAGATATATGTACTTTAAATGGAGGAGGAAAAAGGACCTGATGATATGACTCTATGCACGTGTAAGGGTAGAGATAACGAATTATTGACCAGAATAGCTAGAGCATTACCTAGCGTGTGATAGTCCGAAATAGTTCCATCGGACTCATATAGATTACTGAATGTCCCAGTTTATAAGAAAACAAACTAATTTTCCTGTGATAATCGCATGAGTTCAGATTATCTAACATATCATCTAAGATTAAATGTTCTATTGTTCTTCAGAAAATTAGTTGGGGTCACGCAAGAATAAGTTCGAGGAAAGCAGACAGACTTTAGGCCTGGATGGGGTTGTCTGTCTGGATTCAACATAGAACTTGGCACCGAGGTGCAGCAGTTCGAGTTGCCACGTTCCAAATAGCACACAAAGGTAGACAAGAAAATGAGTGAAGAGAATCAATAGAGTTTTGACAAGTATAAGAGTGAAACAGAATGAGTAATGGTAGAAAGGAATATGAAAGATTACAGAGACTGAATACATCTGCGTAAGCCATTGACAACGATTTTGAGCCATGTCACCTATTGTCTCCAGCCATTGATTCTTAGAGTCCCGAGGGCCCCAACCCGGAAGTCTGCATCTCCCTACCTGACCCAGTTTAACTGTCAAGGATTTCATGGATTGATGCCATGTTTTTGTTTGGCCACCACTTACTCTTTTCCAACCTGCACCTATATCAGCTAGTAATGCCCGTCTGGGGAGACGATGGTTAGGCATGAGCAGCACGTGACCTAACCATCTCAATCTATGTAACTTCATAGCCTCTTCGAGTGATTTTCCCTCTTTACCCAACACTCTACGCCTAACGTCAACATTACTTACCTTATTATACCACCTAACGTGAGAAAGAGATCGTAAACATCTGTGGTCAAAAACAGACAATCTCTTCATGTCTTCCGCTCTCAATGGCCACGTCTCACCGCCATAGAGAAGGACGGAGCGAACTGCTGAGCAGTATACACGTCCCTTGGTTGACAGCCGGATGTCACGCCTACGCCAGAGACGGTGTAAGTTAGCGAAAGCAGCCCGAGCTTTCTGGATCCGTGCTGTGATTTCGTCACCAATCAATCCGTTGGTGCTGATACAACTTCCCAAATAGGTGAAGTGGTCAACATGTTCTATCACTTCACTCCCTATCACTAAGCTAGGAGTTGACGTAGTCCAGTCCTGTAGCAGCATCTTACATTTCACAGGGGCGAATCGCATGCCAAACATACGAAGATTGCTGCTCAAGGTGTTCAGAAGACTCTGCATTTTGTCAGCGTCCTCTCCTAACAGGACTATGTCGTCTGCGTATTCTAAGTCTATAAGACTATTCCCTGGTAACAGGTCGATTCCTAAGTCGTTAAGTTCAGTTAAGGATACTTCCATTAGCATATCTATGATGAAGTTAAACAGAAAAGGGGAAAGTGGACATCCCTGACGGACACCACTGGTTGTTATCAATTCAGATGACAATTCCCCATAAGCCCTTACACAGCTACGTGAGTTTGAGTAGAGTGCCTTGATTAGTGCAATGTACTTTCTTGGCACTCCCTTCATAGTCAAACATTGCCATAGAACCTGTCGATCCACGGAGTCGAAGGCCGCCTTCAAGTCAAGAAATATGGCAATTGTTGGACGCCTAAAAGTGTGTCTATGTTCTAGGATCTGTCGGAGAGTGAAGATATGATCTATGCACCCTCTACCTGGCCTAAAGCCCGCTTGATTTTCCCTCGTTTGTTCCTCCCGAGTTCGGCTTAGTCTGTTCATGATTACTGAGCCTAGGATTTTAGAGACTATGTTCGTTAGGCTGATTCCTCTATGATTATCACATGAGGACTTATCTCCCTTCTTGAATACTGGTATGATAAGTGACTTACCCCAGTCTGATGGAACCGTCTCTGATTCCCAGACGTTACCTAGTACCTTAGTTAAACTACATACTAGCATGTCACCCCCATATTTAAACACCTCCGGAATAATTCCGTCGGGTCCTGCCGCTTTGCCTCGTTTCAAATTACAGATAGCTTTGGTGACCTCACTTACAGACGGCGGGCCAGTGTCTATGTCCCATTCGGGTGTGTGCTGGATGGCGGGGAGGCTCAGTGTGGCTGTAGGCAAGTTAAACTGTTCCTCGAAGTGTTCTTTCCAGCGTTCGAGGCGTCTATCCTGAGAGCTAATTAAGGAGCCATTTTTCTCACAAATAGTCTCACTTATGATTTGCCTTCTCCCACCCGTTTCCCTGATGAGTCTAAAGAGTTGCCTAGTGTTGCCTATCGCCGATGCTTTTTCCATCTCTTTCGCCTTTGTCAACCACCACTGTTCACGGTCCTTGCGGAGACTTTTCGTAAGTTTCTTTTTGTGCAGCTTTCGCTCCTCATTGAATTCGGAGCTCGTCGGAATAAGTCTTCTAGCATCTATCAGTTCGGATGAGGCAGTCGAAATCCAATGGTTTTTACTCACCTTTGGATTTACCTTATTCACAGCTTTTACAGCTGTATCTATGGCTGACTGAATATTTTTCCAGGCTTCTTCAGGATGAGCGCAGCTGTCAAACTCAGATATGTGTTTAGCTAGTTCTTCCTCAAATAGGGACTTAGTTTCCTGATCGAGATGGGGACGTGGTGGGTTTACCGCCAGCTGTTTCCTACGTCCGTTCAGTCGTAAGCACACACTAGCGCGGACCACTGCGTGATCAGTATCTAGACATGTGTTCCAGAAGGAGCGACAATCTCCTACCGACCCACGCCAACGATAGCTTATTGCTATGTGGTCTATTTGTGTCCAGCGTTGGTTTGATGATGGAGGTCGCCAGGTCAAACAGTGTCTCTCCTTGTGTTTGAAGTTAGTGCTTACAAGAAACAAGTGATTATCTGAACAGAACTGTAGGAGACGGTCACCGTTGTCGGTTCGCTGGCACGGAATTCCGTATGTGCCACCGACATTCTTCTCAGATTGACCCAATTTCCCCACTTGAGCATTAAAGTCACCAGCTAAAACGACTATATCTGAGCGTTTAGCCTTTCACAGCAAACTAGACAGCTTTTGGTAGAACTCATCCTTCGTTTCATCCGAACTGCAGTCAGTGTGGGCGTAGGCGGAGATTACGATAAGGCATCGGCGAGTAGTGCAGTCCTTTCTCCTTTTCACTGATCCGTTCAGACGGACAGCACACATTCAGCTATCTACCGGGATCCAGTCAAGTAATGTCTTTTCTGCCCTAGTACTCAGAGCTATCCCAACACCAGCTAATCCTCGTGAGCTAGCCGTTGATGTTTTGGGGTTGATGTCTTCACGCTTCGACAAATTCCAAAAGACAGCCATGTTGGTGCTAAACACTTGCCATATGTTTTCCTAACTTGAGGGTGGCATTTATCCACATCGGTCAAGAATTGTTATGGCAGTATGTTAGCTGTAGTATCAAAGACCTATACTGCACTAATCAAGACACTCCATATGAACTTACGAATCTGTATAAGAGCTTACAGAGATTTGTAATCCGTATTTAGGATAACTAGTGGTGTAGATCGTGGATGAACACTGTCACCATTCTGATTTAATTTCATTATGGATGTACTGATGGCGGTTACTTTGGTTGGCTTTCACGTTTGATTGATTTGTTTCCAGAGGAATTTTGTATTAATTTAGAGCATGCGAATACTACTACCCCTTCAGGTACAGGTAAATACACTGATGAAATATATTTTACTTGAATAGAAATCTTAGTATGCTATTCAGCTGTAATTTAATGGTAAAGGAAAGGTCTGCACTGACATCTCGTTTAGGGATAGGGAGAGGAATGGTTGAATGGGTTGATGAGTTCACTTATTTAGGTATTTCTATCAGCTCAAGTGAACTAATTGCTAACGCAATTTCGATACGGACACAAAAGATTGACTCGGTAATTGCAAACTTACGTCATTTCTGGGGTATGCGTGAAACACAACTAACCATTAAAATGTATGCTCTGTGCAGTTATTCGCTATGTCCCACTTTATGGCTAAGACATAGTCGGCAAAGTTGAAATATATGAAAAAAATTGGCGATTTCTGACCACGGAATCCTGCGTTCAATTTTTCCTTCTGGATGGCGCGAGGTCATTAATAATGAGGCTAAGCGTAAATCAATTATATAAGGAGGGGAAGTAAGTCAATAAAGTTGTGAAGCCTTTGTGCATTGGTGGCACAGCAGTAGAATGCTCGCCAACCACGCATGTGGCTCGAGGTTCGATCCCCAGCTGGCGCACTCCTTTACCTCGCTAAGCCAGTAATAAGACTGGTAAAGAGGGAAGGTTGGGAATGAGGCTAGCAACCCCATCCCGTAAAAATAAACACCACTGCTACCGAAACTTCAAGCCTCTAGCTTGAAGCCCTATGTTCCACTAGTAACATAAAGGAATAAAAAGAAATATGAAGCCACCACCTTTACTGATGAACAATATTTTCTGAAATAGGAGTGGATTAGAAAAAAGTTCAAAATGGTCAGGAGGAAATATTGCAGCAATCAATAAAGTCTTTGACTAGTTTGAGTTACGTAAGGAAGGGTAAACCGTCTAGCTTGAGTTCCCAGGATGTTAACGACTAATTTTTAGTAACTTTTGGTAGAGCGACTGGAGATTGTACACAATTGTGCAGACGTCTCGTTGTCATCTACAATTTGGAAATCGTTACTAATCATTTAATCATTTTCTGTTGCATACATCTTCGTTTATTGAAGTTTCAGTACACTGTTCATTTTTACTTTTGTGTATTTCTGCAAAGTGTGACAACTTGAACCTCCGCGTTTGTGCATAGTTATGCGTTGGTACTTCATTCAGTCAATCCAACATACTAGCTAGAAAATCTGCACTTGACTGTATTAATAATGATAATTGTGGACGAATAAAGGTAGTACTTACTGACGTTTATTCTGTCGTTCACATTGTCATAAGTGACCACAGTGTACATATTTTTATGATTCTTTTCAACATTCTATATTTACGATATTTTTGCACTATGCTACATAGATTTTCCCTTCTGTGAATGAATCATACATAAAGGAACAAATTTACACTGTATAGTAGCTTCAACTAGTGATTTCTTGAAACTGGTCTGTTATCTCTGTTAGGAAATGAAACTCACTAATCTGAGGTCATGAATTATAATCCGAGAAAAGCTAGACTACCATTTTATTCTTATATACATGTATATGTTTATTCCTGTTTTGCTTCAGTGTCTGATTACTATTCTTTTAGACTTCCACAAAATATGAGTTCCGCACCAGTAACAGAATTGGATTTAATATCAGCACTTCAGGCAGTTGGTGCCTTAAACAAATTGGATGAATCGTCTGTATCGTCATATGAGTCAAAATCAACTCTGAATGATTTACCCGTAGAAACAATATCAAATGCTTCATCTGATTATTTTCCAGTTCTTGATCGATCTGAATCTCTTCGTATTATACACAATCTAGTTGAAGGCCTACTGCGAGTGCAAACGCGTGATTCGTCTACAGCACCTCGTCATTTAAATGCTGTATTGTCATCTCTGTTGCGATTTCTTAGTGATTCTAATTCTGATGTTCGTATAGCTGCAGATGAAGGCTTGAACAAGCTCATAAAGGTATTTCTTGACTTTTCCAAATTTTTGTGATTTTTAAACTTTAAAGTCGTATATATATATATATATATATATAGTTTTTAAGAAATTATATCCCGTCAGGAAATTTAAACAAAGGCGTGGATACATAAAATAATACTAGTGTGAAATACAGTTAAAGCGTTTGTGATTATAATCACAGTTAATTATAAAGTTTTAGGTGGCAAGACAAATAATGTCATTTACGGAATAGTCCATAGGATGAATAGATGTTGGGAAGGGGGTGTATGTCGTTTATATAATATTTTCCCACTAATCCTTTAATTATACACTCCTTTCCAATTTCTAAACTTCTCATTCTTACAAAGTCACTGATTTTACTGGTTGTGAAAGCCATGTTTTTAGATTGCAGCTAAGTGTTCTTTCACCAATAAGGTGGTTTTAGTTCCAATTGATATTAGAGGTGCGTCAGTAGGGGATCGAACCACAGACCATGTGCACGGTCGGCAAGAGTCCTAACCGCTGTGCTACCAACGCAGCTCCTACTTAATATAGTGATTTCTTTGGTTGAATAATGTTCACGTGACTGGCACTGTTTTCGTGAATGGAATTGAAGACACTATTGTTTGTTTAGCATCCAGTCAATACCCTGATTATCCTATTTATGCCTAATGCATATAAGTGATGTACAATTTGTCAGACTGGCTACTTCAAATGATCCAACCGGATAGCAACAGGAGTGATTATTCCCAGGTAACTATTATCTTCCTCAACGACAATTATTCACCATCAGTATCATGCATAATTTAGTCATCTAACGTCTAAAGTTATTTTTGTAAGAATCTAATTTTCTTTTTAAGCAATGAAGTTTACTCTTCAGGTTCATAGTCTTCTTAAAACAAAAGTAACCTTCTAATACATGAACAGTTGATTGTAACCTTTGCATAAATCTTAAGAGGTCTATAAATCAACTAGGTAGTATAATCTAATTGGCTTTTCTTCAAATTGTAAATATATTTTACTTAAAAGTGTTTAGAGTGTATTAAATTTACAGTTTGTATAATGACTCTTAAGCTGAAATGATTGATCATTGTTTGTGATTGCTTTCTTTTACGTATTTAATTAGTTTAAATCATATTAATAGTTACAATTACTTATATATATCTGGTTTATAAAACACACCGAATAATGTCTTTTAGCCTTATCATGATAATTCAAAATGAGATCATTTAGTTTATTCAAGATTTTTAAAGAAAACACTCTTAATATATGCTCTAAAGATTGTTTGTATTCATAATAATAATAATGATAATAATAATAATAGTTGATTATAGCTTAATTCCATGCCTTATAGTGCGTCGGTGGCATAGCGGTTAGGATGCTCGCCGACCATGCACATGGTCCGGGGTTCGACCCCCGGCCGACGCACTCCTTTACCTCGCTAAGCCAGAAGTAATGCTGGTGAAAAAGAAAGGTTGGGTATTAGGCTAGCAACCCCATCCTGTAAAATGAACACTGCTACAGAAACTTCAAGCCACTAGCTTGAAGCCCTATGTTCCACTGGGGAACGTGAAGGGAAGAAAAACAGCTTGATTCCACACAGTACTTTTGGTAGAAGTATGGAATTCTCAGCATGTGATATCGGTAGCCCAAATTTTGCAGGCCGACCATTGATATTAGAGGTGCGTCGGCAGGGGATCGAACCACAGACCATGTGCACGGTCGGCAAGAGTCCTAACCGCTGTGCTACCAACGCAGCTCCTACTTAATATAGTGATTTTTTTTCGTTATATATAATGTTCACGTTACTGACACTGTTTTCGTGAATGGAATTGAAGACATTATTGTTTGTTTAGCATTCAGATGAAAATGAGTCCTGGATTTACCTATATATATATATATATAAATTATCCGACCATCAGTCTCAGTTTTCCGGGGTATTTTATCCAGATAACTAACGATTCCCTTGAATGTTCAGACAAACTTCTTAGGTCAGCAGTATGCTTTGGATTAGTCATTAGCTTTATAATTAATAATAATAATTTGCTTTATTCCAGAAACAGTACTAGTGGTACAGTGTGGAATTTTCAGCATATATCTACAATATTTGCATCTAATTTTATCCAACGTTTAAAAGGTGTATTTTCAAAAGAAAAACAAATATAAAGACAACAACAGCAAAAACAGCAAAGAAAAACAAACAAAAAACACAAAATAATTTTTTAAAAAATGCGAAAAAATACCAAGAAGTAGAAGGAAAAATAAACAGCATATAATAATATCTCAGTATTGGGTAGTGGAAGCTATGATGTGACTATGCATGGTGACAGCAAAGCTATAATCATACAAGAAGTTATGAAATGATATTTAAGAATGTTTATCGCCAAGATGATCAGTTAATTTGGTTGAAACAACTCTAAACAATCATAAAATAACATTTCAGGGTTGTTGTTTTGTTTTTTATTGTCAGGTCTAATGCAGTGTTTGTAGTGGTAGTGTGAGTAATCCTGCATAATACAAAATTTTAAGGGTGACAATGGCGTTCACAACCAATGATTGTCAGTTAATATAGCCGAAAAAATTTAAAAAATATGAAAAAACAACCGCAAAAACTAATAATTACATGATGGCTAATGATAGGAAAATTTTGTACTACTCATAGTGCTAATATAGTCGGAACCAGTAGATACACAAAGAAGGAATACAGTAAAGTACAAAAAGTAAGCCAATGCTAATAATTTAGGTAGCTAAGAATGTTTAAGAAGGAGTTCACTATAAAATACAAAATAAGAGAGAAATTTTTTTTGTATTCCTTCACGTTCCCAGTGGAACATAGGGCTTCAAGCTAGTGGCTTGAAGTTTCTTTAGCAGTGTTTATTTTCACAGGATGAGGTTGCTAGCCTCATGCCCAACCTTTCCCCTTTACCAGCTTTATTTCTGGCTTAGTGAGGTAAAGGAGTGCGTCGGTCGGGGATCGAACCCCGGAACATGTGCATGTTCGGCGAGCATCCTAACCGCTATGCTACCGACGCACAAGAGAGAAATAAAAGAGCCTAAAATTATGTTATTAATAACAAAGCAAGTCATAGGTTTCACGCTTAACATTGTCTCTGTCGCTTAGAACACGGGCCAAGTATGGTATCGTTGAGTTCCTGTACTTGGTTGTACGAGCATAGATTATTTTATACTGATTTCTGGTTCTACTTGATGATTATAACTTAATCTTATGTCACTTCACATTTTATTGCATATTAAAGCTACGGTTACGTATGTGTGTGTGTGTGTGCAGCACTAATCGAAAGCGATAGTGATTCACAACCTTGACAATTAATTTACGTTTTTTTACGTAGTATTCACGGCTTGAACTCATTGCTAATATAATGATTCTACGACAAATGACTGATGCTGTGAGCATTACAATGATTGAGTGTTTGAAGGTTTCGCAGTCTTTTTGCTTCAATTAATTATATTTAATAATCATAGAGTAAGACACAGTGTGGATATCTATCTAATATCACAGGTAGTGTGATTAAGTAAACTCCAACAAACCATTATGTATCTTTCGATATTTTGTCTGTTATTCATCAGCTATTCATCATCAATTCAGCTTCTTGGTCCCATTAAAAGAACCTCTATTAAACGGTAAAAGTCAAATAGCGATAAGACAGAAAAGAATGACTCGATCTACTAAATACTACTTTGTCAACCTTGCAAGTAGTATCCAACACATATCACAAAGTCATCGAAATCTTCATGGGATAGTTGCGGCCAAGAGAAAAAAATTTTTCAACTCAACAAAGTCATCAACCAGACTGCACATTCCTTAATTCTGAAAAAGGGGTGAGAAAGTTCCAGCAATGTCTCCGGTCATAGGTCAAAATGGGATGAAGATGAAGTTTTGTAATGTATATATGGATTAAAATAATAAAATCATAGTTAAATAATAATGACTTTCTTCAGAAAAATAAACTGGTTATAATGGTTATGTCAGAGACAAAGGTTGTTCGTATTTCTTTTGAACGCATAGGGTTGGCTGAAACGTTTAGTTCACTAAAGCTTCAGCTAGGCTTAGATGCCTTGATGTCACTTTGGGAGGTTTGATTAGATCTTGAAGAATTTGTCAAGTGGAGCTGAGTGTTCTGAGTTCACAAGAAATTCTGTTATTGAACTAAAGATACTCCCGTCCTCAATTTACTAGTCAGGGTTGGTAGTGTTCAGGAATGCATTTAACCTGTGCACACATGATACGACCAATTTTGTCAACTCCACAGAAACAAGTGAACTGTTGTATGCATATTGGTGTTATCCAGTGCGACTGTTTATCTCTCAAATGCCGATAAAATAGTGTTTGGTATCCAAATTTTATTCAGAGACTAGTAGCAAAGTATATTTTACTAGATTTTGAAAGCCGTCTTCAGTAAATTTCTGTCTAAGAATGATCTTTTTAAAATTCATAATTCAGCCACAGAATCTCTTTATGGTGTATGTCGACCTTTTCAGCTGCGTTTCTAGGGTCGAAGTTCTTGTTTATAAATCTGGACGGGGAGTCATTTGCTATCAGCATTCCTCAGAGAAGATGCAGTTCTTCATCAACGTCTGCGTACCCCCACCCCTCCCCAGGGATTTTACTGCTGAATCATTCTGTACAGTCATCAGTTTCGATCAACTCCTACATGTATTGGGTTTTCACAGCACATTCAATGGTAACTGGACTCTAGACTTTGTGTGTGTATGTGTGTGGGATTCATTAGTCCATACACTTATTTTTATTAGCAAAGCCATAATCAAGTCCCTCAACCAAGTAGATGTAACTTGCAGCATGATGTACGAATCTAAATATGATTGTTGAGTTGGTTTGAGTTTTTTTTCATTTTTTTTGCTTAAAGTATATTTTTCTGGAACTGAAAAACTATCTTTTTGATCCACACATTAGCTTATTAAATCTTATACAATCTATAATTCCGTCTCCTTTAAATTGACTTGTTAACTATTTTACAGTTTCTTCGATCAAGTATGTCGCATCTAATTTTATTTGAACTGTTTATGGAATTGAAACGTAATCATAATGCAAGATCTGTGTCTGTTGCTATGTCGAAATTTGCTGCATTAGCTTCACAAATTAGAACAACGAAACGGAGGTTAGTTAAAGTTGAGTTTTTAAAGGTTGCACTAAGAAATTCAATTTTTTTTTCTGTAAAGTTTTAGTATCAGTATTTACTTAGTGAATGTGAATAAGCTGTGAGTTTTCATCTTGAACATTGTGTGATTTACAAATGAGAAATAAATATAGTTCGATATATATATGTGTATATACTATCAGTTTAACCAAGTGGCTAGCTAGAATTCAGGCGATTTTGAACCTAATTCATCTCTTTAAGATGAATCTGTCCGAGTGCATTACACTGATGGTGACCGGATCAGTAATGACCTGACCGGTAAGCACTATTGATTGTCGTTAGTGATATTCACCTAATTATATCAAGCAGTAGTATATGTGTCATGCTATTATTTCGCTAGCTACCTTGGTTGGTTTTTATTGTATCGGGTAGATCACATTATTATATTTATTATCGTTCCCTTGGGTTCCTAGTGGAACATAGGGCTTCAACTACACGTCTCTACTTGCTTCTGTCTTCTCCTGTACTTTTCACCTGCGTCCATGTTAATCCATACTGTTTCAATTCCTCTTCGCACGATCTCCTCCATGTCACCCTTGGACGTCCCACTCGCCGCTTCCCTTTCGGGTTCCATTCGAGCGTTGGCCTGACGTGCGATGTCACCCAACGGCCTCCTCAACGAGTGTCCAATCCATCTCCATTTTCTCCTGCATATTTGTTGGGCGATTGGTTCTTGTTTTGTTTGTTCCCATAGTTTCTTGTTGGTGATTCTTTCCGGCCATCTGGTCTTCAGTGTAGAACGGAGACAGCTGTTGATAAAGGTCTGCAACAGGCTGTTAGAAATATTCTTGGTGACCCGCTGCCAAGTTTCTGATCCATCCGTATAGAAGAACTGACTGACTTGACGTTTGTATTGAAAATCCGAATTTTGTTGTTGATGCTGGCTGAATGACGGAGATTTCCAGATGAGTGTGTTTCTCGCCTTCCCGATTCTCGATTCGGGATCACATTATGATTGATATTAATATAATAGTTTTGTATTGTTATATAGCCAGTGTAAGATAGGGCTTTAAGCCAGAGCCTCGAAGTTTCGGTAGCAGTAGTGTTTATTTTTACGGGATGGGGCTGCTAACTTCATGTCCAACCTTCCATCTTTATCGATCTTATTATTAGCGAGGTAAAGGGAGTGCATCGGCTGGGGGGATTGAACACCGGACAACATGCTTGGCTGGCAAGCATTCCTACCGCACTAAGCCACCGACTCACAGCGAAAGTGGATACTATGTGACATTATTCAATGCACAATTAACCCTATTCATTATAGAGGTTCATTTAAATTATAATCGGAAGTTATTTTTTAAAAATTAACTCATCTCGAGATTATTATTATTATTATTGTTTCCTTTAATTCTTAGAGGAACATAGGGCTTCAGCCGTGCGTCTCCATTGCGTTCGGTTCTCTGCTAGAGTCTTCACCTGGCTCCATGTCTGCCCACACGTTTTCATATCCTCTTCATATCACCTCCTCCAAGTCACCCTTGCACTGACGACCAACTCGCTGCTTCCCTTTCGGGTTCCACTGGAGCAATGGCTTGTCTAGTGATGTCACTCACTTGATGGATTGTTTCCTCAGAGTATGGCCAGCCAATCCACCTCCATTTCTTCCTGCCTATTTGTTTCACAATCGATTCCTGCTGTGTTGGTTCGCTCATTGCCAGAGATCTCTGTTGCTGATCTTTACTGGCCGGCTGGTCATCTGATCTTGAGTATTGAGCGAAGACGACTGTTAATGAAGGTCTGTAGTTTGTTTGAGATGCTGTTTATGATGCGCAGTCCAAGTCTCTGATCCGTATAGTGAGTAGCACTGACTTCACATTGGAGTTGAAAATCCGGATCTTATTCTGATTTTGATGCTGAGTGCTGTTGACCTCCACACAGACTTGAGAGTAGTGAAAGCTTGTCTCACTTTTCCGATTCTTGCTTTGATATCCTCGTCAGTTCCGTCTGCCTGTAGTTAAAACGATGCTTCCCAGGTCGGTTGGTAAAAGAGGTTGTTTCTTTCAGGTTCCTTCCATTTATGCTGATTGTTGTCAGTTGTTGTTGTTGCTGTTGGTGATGTTGCCCAGGAATCTTCATCACCTCTGTTTTCTCTATGTTCACCTGAAAGAAGTCCTATCTTTGATGCTTCTTCTGCCAACTTGTTGGTTTTCGCTTGCATATCTTCCAGTTTGTGGGAAATCAGACATATGTCATCATCGGCGAAGTTCAGATCCTCCAAGTTTTCTGTGTGAGTCCATTTTATGCTTGTCTCTTCGTTGCCCGCTGTTTGTCGCATTATCCAATCTACTGCAATCAGGAAAATCATTGGTGATAGTAGGCAGCCTTGTCTTACTCCTGTCTTCACTTCGAAGGATTCCGTAAGTTTCCCGTTGTGGATTACTTGGCATGCGGCGTTGTTGTACAACTGTTGGATGAGGTATATAATTGTTGGTGTCACTCCGTAGGGGCGAAGTAGTTGCCAAAGCACCTCTCGATTGACGCTGTCGAATGCCTTTTCAAAGTCAATGAAGTTGAGATAGAGAGGTGACTGCCATTCCATGCTTTGTTCAATGATGATCCGTAGTGTGGCGATCTGGTCAATACATGACTTGTTTCTCCTGAATCCAGCCTGTTCCGGTCGAAGTTTTTCATCCAGGGCTTGTTTGATTCTCTCCAGGATGATGCGGCTTAGTATTTTACTTGGGACAGATAGATAACAAAATTTACTATCAAAGTTTATGTTACAAAGGTTACATATTTTCTTTTATTATTTCTTGTCTACATAATATTAACTTTGTTTGTTGTCATATCCCCTTACAGATTCTACGCTGTCAACTTACTTCCAACTTTTATTTCAATCTGTGAACAAGAAAATGATTTATTATATGAAAATTTAATTGATTCTTTTGGACAAATTGCAAATGAATTGTTCTACTATGCAACTGAAAAAGAATTACGCAGTGTAAGTGTTTCTCGTCAACATTTCAATGATCTCCCAATTTTTTTTTTTATAAAAAAATAAACCAAAAAATCATGGGTTCGAACCCCCAGTGAGTGCGTGCTAATGAGGAGTCTTAAATTGGGACGAAATAGCTGTCCAGTACTCTTAGGTTTTCCAATGGTTCTCTAACCGGTATCAGCTCGTGGTCAAACGTGTAACCAATGAAATCCTTTCAAACTAACAGTTGACAGTTTAAAATAATAAGTGTTCATATCTGCATGTTTTTACTTAATACACTTTGAGTAGTTTCAAGTACGAACTTACTTTGTGAACAGTAAGTATCACCAAGTATATAAGAAAAAATGATTTTGTCTCGGTTTTGAATATCAAAGTGTATAAGTGGAATAAAGACTTGTAGTGAGAGGTAGTGAGACTACCTTTGAACTACATTTCCGCCGATTTCGTCTATGATCATAGATGCCTGCGTTCTATCTCCCGTGTGAAGTGATGTAGTAGGATGAGCAATATTGGGGTTAGGCGTTAAGTGCTAGGTAAAGAAGGGAAATCAACAGACGTGACTGTGAACTTACATCGACTGAGACGGTTAGGACATGTGTTACGCATGCCTAGCCATCACCTTCCTCGATGGACGATGTTAGCTTGTAACAACAGAAGACAAGAGTCAGGCAACAGATCGTTTATTTAGGAAATCAACAGATATTTATATATTTTCATGTACATTATTATAGATTATTGTAAGCAAACAAACATAGTCTTCTGATTGGTGGTTTCTCGCTGAACGTTAATCTTTCATCTCTTTGTGGCCGTTTCTTGAAGTTCAGATTATCTATCTGCAAATTGTATCCGCTTACGCAAAGTCTGTTGTGGTTGGTTTTTGAGTCAGTCTTTGTTCTTATTTTTCTCATGACCAATATTGGGGAGGTAAACATTGACGTAAATTACTGTCTACCGATTTCGGCTAACAGCCAGCTCTCACCACAAGCTGACTGACATAGGAAAAGGTTGGAAAAGAGCTGCTAGTAGTGGTCAAACGAAAACATGGCTTCATCAGTCAGTGAAATCCACAACAGTTAGTTTAGGCCAGTCACGTGGGAAGGTGAAGACTGCCTGACTGACTGGTTGGGGTGCTCGAGACGGTAAAAACCAATGTCTGGAAACAATCGGTGATATGGCTCAAAATCGTTCTCAATGATGGCGCAGGTGCATCCATTCCTTGTGACTTATAATATCAAATCAAAACTGTATTGTTCTTCGTTATTACTATTCTTTTTGTCTCATATCCCTGTCTGATGTTTCTATTATGCATTTCTCTTGCTTTGTGTGCTACATGGAGTGTGGTGACTTGAGCTGCTGCATATCGGTTCAAAGTTCTATGTCGAAAATAGACAGACAGACAGATATGAGCTTTTTCCTGTTTGATGTGCAGATATGAAATGTGGTAAATTGGGCTAATATTCACGAATACTAAATTCGGTATTATTACTGTCTGTTTCATCTGTAAAGCTTATAAGTACACTAAGGTATTGTGTGATTTAGTTACTATTGTAGGGTTGTCGATATTTATTACGAACGTTTAGTCTTCAGTCAGCGTTTCACAGGTTCCATTCTTATTGTTGATGTATGGATAAAACTTGGGCACTGTGGTAGAGTATAACTACATTATGGATATGATTTTATTTTGATAATTCACACAATGTTATGTAGTAATGTTTACTGATAACCACATTTCAAGCACAATTTAATACTGGTCATAATTATATCAACGTACTCACACAACTTTCTTGTTTCATTTATATACATGAGTAAAAATTGATTAGACATTTGAATAAACTCAATGTAAGATAAAGTACATTCAGAAATAATATTAGTGTTATCAATAAAATACAGTAAGATGCGAAATAAAGTGTTTTCTACAGTAAAAATAAGTAACTTGTTAGAATGTTATAATGCCTGTGAATTGCAATATATTTTAACATTATTTATTATTCTCTGATTTGACTGATGGTAATAATATCTTCCATATCTCTGGTATTTGCGTTGAGTCATCTCTGTTGCATGTGTTGGGTGTAGACTCGATGACCCAAGCAGGATTCAGTAATCTATCTCTCTCCCCACATACGTATATTACTTCTTAGAATTTTGACCCTGTCCTGCCCTATTGTGTGGTTGTGTGTTAATGCATGCAGTGAGATTGCTGAGTTTTTCTCTAAATTACTTATCTTCGCAGGTGGGATCAATCATTCTAAGCTTTGATGAACTGTTATGTTCTCATAATCTCACTACTCCTGATCTACTAGTTTGACCTATGTAGTTGACTTCACTCATAGTCATTGCAGGGTATTTTGTAAATTATATTATTTTGTTTAATTGGGTCAACCGGGTTTTTTAACCTAAACAGCTTGTCTATGAGGGAGTTTGTAGGTTTGAATGCCACCCTAATTCCTGCTTTGTTGAGAATCATATAACTGAGGCCTCAGATGTCCCCTCTTTATATGGTATAACAGTAGATGCCTTATATTCTCTCTTCTTTATGTTATCATTACTAGTTTCACAATTATTTTTATTTTACTTTTGACCTTTCTTGATCTTCCTAATGAACTTTATGGGATAGTTATTTAACACCAACACCCATTCTATCTGTTCGATATCATCGTTTAGGTCTTTTTTGTGCTAATTAGCCCTATTGCACTTAATAAGTTTCAAGCAAGGCAAGCAGCATTGTGAACTTTTTAGTCCTGATTATAGCTCTGTAAAATTTGTATCTGGCTTCTGCAGTATCACCCAAACAAACGATACCTTTAAGAGAAATACGATGATAGCAATGGGAGGCGCTACAGTCAAAATCATCCATTGGTTTCTTTCTGTATGCCCAACAACACGTAATGATGTGTCTGCACAGAATAAAAGTCCGAGAGAGGTTTTAGTGGGACGGACACTATATACACATTACTATGTTATTGTCACAAAAAAATCAGCTAAAGAATGTGAAGAATTCTGTGGGGTACTTTCTCAGGGGCGACTCGGTCTGTGCACGTGACTATGAACTTTAAAGTGGGAGGTGGGCAGAGGTTGGAATAAAAAGTTAATGTTGGACAGTGCTTCAGAAAGTCAAGGCAGAACATGAAAGGTGGATAAGGCATAGAAACCAAACTACGACAGCGCCAATCGGTGTTCACAGAGTCCAAGATACCTTTCGATCTAATTCTTGGAATTTACAAGTTGCCTGCGATAGATGATATAGAGTCAGTCAACTCCGAAGTAAGAACTTCCAAATGAGATAAAGGGAAAGGTCTCAGGAAATCACAACCGGCCCGCTTCTAAATCTGTCTCAAGAAAGAAAGTTACTTTTATTTTCTGATTTTCTCTTTCTTTCAGGGAACGGCGTATTGTATGCACTTTATTTTTGTGCATATTACTAGAATTCTTTTCATGTGGAATTTGAAATTATCCTTTCGTACCGTGGGTCTCCGTAGTTTCCCCAACTTCTTTAAAAACTGGTCCCTCACTGGTTGTCAAGTCTTCAAATTTAACAGTAATTCAATTGATGGACAAAATCCTCTTTTATATATTTATGTATGTATTCCGATTAGTGCTCATCTGTACCGTCTGTTATCTAGACAGTAAAAGCTCCCTACCAAAGACTCACCTTCTCAGCCTTCTATTGCGTTCGGGTGGTATGTGGTATTTCTTACGGGATTTCATCGTGAGCTGACATCAGTAAGAGAACCATTGAGAAACCTACATAGAGTACTAGACAGCTGTTTCGTCCTAGTTTGGGACTCTATCGGTACGTACCGCCAGGGTTCGAACCCAGGACCTTCTGGTTAAAAGCTACTGGGACCCGATCCAATGGTCCATGAATTATAATTTCTGCTAATTCACAACATAGCGCGACATAACATTAGTATACCTTAATAAAAATTACTGACATACATTTCTTCTACAGAGAAATGAATACGAATTACATTACAACGCTTAATCGAAGTGTCATCTCGCAAAATTCTGCCTCTAAAATCTGATTCAATAAGCACTTTTCTAATCACTTCTATCGAAGTGGTTTCTCATTTACTTTAATAACATTTTAGTGCTTTGTATGCTTATACTTCATGAGGTCCTAAGGATGCTAAGAACCAATGTGTCTGAAGGCGACGACTATTGGTGTGATATGGCATAAAGTTGTTCTCAAATGGCACAGATGCATTCGCTGTTTTTGTGATCTCTCATATCCACTAAACCCTCTTGTTTTTCCATGCTGCTAATTCTTTCTTCCTGTCGTACATTTCTGCTCATTGTGCGGTTCTTTTGAATCTCTCGTTTTATTTACTTTCTTTCTTTCTCTATCCTTATGTACTGCTGTATTGGGTGTGACACCTTGAAATGTGTTGCACTTCTGTGCAAAGTTAGTTCTGTGCTAAAATTCAGTCAGTCAGTCAGTCAGTTGTATGTTTCATAGAATAAATCAGGTTGTAAGCGAGAAAAAGAAATACTCATTCACGCAGCTACTATTTTTTTGACCAACTCTTAGAGGTTAAGTACTAGTTAGAAAAAAATGTTACAATTTTTCAGGTTCTCTTGTAGAAATGTATAGTCAGTTGTTCTTTTCTTTTGCTCTCTCTTCTTTTTCTACATACCTGTTAAAGTGAACATTTTTTTGTTGTTGCAATGTCATTGTTGTCCAATTCTATGTAACAGAAAATGTACACACACCTTTCTTTATTCATGTATCTATGCTTAAGTGAAATCCACTTATTATTTGCATGTCGTGAGTATTCTTAAAGTATATTGTTACCATTATTATTATTATTATTGAGTTATTCTCTCTTTTCTTCAACTTTTATAATTTTTTTTAATTCACTGAGAAAAAAAACCAATCGATGAATGTGAAGTATTAATAATTTGGAGGCTGTTTTAAATGAGAATAACATTATAACTAATCAGTAATTCAAGTGTTGGTTTGCACAGATTCGATTTGATCTGATTGGTTACAGGATTTCATTATGAGCTGACATCAGATAAAAAAAATAACAATTGGGAAACCTGCAGGGAGTACTGGACAGTTATTACATTCTAGTTTGGGGTTCTTCATCAGTACGTACCCACCAGAGTCCGAACCGAGGACCTTCTGGTTACAGATGTGAGGCATAAATGAATTATAGGACGAAGCTACCCATTGAAGAAATTATTTTAGGAATTCAGATTGCCAGAACATAAGAATTTAGCTAAGGCAAGAATGGTTGACCCAGAGAAGATAATTAATTTAGAAAAAAACTCAGCAATTTCACAGCTCACAACCACACAATAGGATGGGAGAGGATTAAAATTCTAAAAAGTAATCTAGGTAGGTGGAGAGAGAGAGGTTGATTAGTGAATCTTTGTTCATCGAGTCTACACCCGACTCATGCAATAGGAATGAGTCATCACTCATACCGGAAATATGGAAAATACTATTACCAACCAAGTCAAGCGACGAAAGATAATGGAATTATGTAAAAGAAGTTAGAAAGTTGTGTGAGTACCTTGATATGATTATGAGCGGCAATAAATTGTGCTCGAAACGTCATCAGTAAATATGACTGTATAACACTGTGAGACTTTATCAAAGTAAATTTCACCCATAATGGAATCTACAGTTTTACCCTGTATAAGAAAAAGATATCTGAAAGTCTAAGTGAGATTCTTAACAAAGCAGGGCTTAAGATAGGATTTAAGCTCACTTAGTGACATGCTCTGTTGACCCAATTAGACAAAATGATGTAATCGAAAATTACCTCGCAATGACTGTAAGGTAAACTCGACATAAGTTAGTCCTGTATACCGGGGGTAGTCAGATTATCAGAATATAAGAATTTACTATAAAATTGTTAAAAGTATTGATTCAATCTGACTCAGTGCTCAAATTATTCCAGGAAATTTGTTATATCTATGGTCTGCATACTTATAATAATATACGAATTTAGCTAAGTGTATGATGAATGACCTTACAAAGATGAATAGTTTAGAGAAAAGCTCAGCAATCACCAATGTATGCATTAACACATAGTTACGCAACAGAGTGGGACAGTTCTAAAGTGTAATGTTGATATAATTGAATTTTGGATTTTCCCGTCGATTGATTAGACCGAAGTGCTCGGTCTCAGGTTGACATGTCGGCTTCTTGAGCAGATGCTTCGACGATGTCTGGGCATTTAATTAGTATTTAATTGTTGGATGTTGACTAGCAGTGGAATCCAGGATGCGCATTTCGTCCTATTTGGGACTCGTCATCTGGATGTACCTGCATTCCTCAGTGAGTGATGATGTTCCGACCGAGGCTCGAACCCAGTGCCCATGGTTTCAAACGCCAAAGCGTTATCCACTAGACCACTTGGGCCACGAGAGCCACTTCGGTCCAATCAATCGACGGGAAAATCCAAAATTCAATTAAATCAATATGGCCCGTTGCACAAGAGGTGGCTCTCGTGGCTCAAGTGGTCTAGTGGATAACGCTTTGGCGTTTGAAACCATGGGCACTGGGTTCGAGCCTCGGTGGGAACATCATCACTCACTGAGGAATGCAGGTACATCCAGATGACGAGTCCCAAATAGGACGAAATGCGCATCCTGGATTCCACTGCTAGTCAACATCCACCAATTAAATACTAATTAGATGTAATGTTGGTAGTTGAAAAGAAAGGTTGATTACCGAATATTGATTGATTCATTGATTGAATTTTCACCTAACATTTACAAAAGGAATGATAATACCCAATATCAGAGATATGGAAAATATAATTATCAATAAAATTAAAGGATAAGAAGTTGGTAGAGTTATATTAACAAAGTTTCAAAGTCACATAATTGCTTCGATACAATTTTGAGCAATACATTTTCCACGAAATGTCATAAATAAATTTGTACTATATCACCATGTGCTTTTAATCAAATAAATTTACTCTACCACAGTGCCTAAGTTCTATTCTAATGTCAATGTACACGAATCTAGTCAGTTAAGGATGGGGGATTGAAATACTGTTTGTTCGCTTTAACATTCGATTTTAAGCCAAAGGATCAGGAAAATTAAGTCGCCTCAAACAGCTGCTCCATTCTGAGCGAATCAGTAGTATTATTAACAATTTTTGATATATTTATGTTCTCTCAGCTGGATGGTTTATTTGGAAAGCTTTCATTCCCCTACTAGGAAACATCTTCAGCGCATACTTCAATTTGTTGAAGTGAGCTTTTAGATTTCTCCACGAGTTTATTAGTCATCTCTCCTGGTGGGTGACTTTCAAAGTGATTGGTTGTTTTTGTGTGTTCACACATCCTCTAGGTTACTTATGGTATAGGTACTGATTGCTTCCTTGACCTGAAGTTTGACCCTTTGTGTGTGAGATTTCCTTCCTATCGATTGATAAATTTTGTCTATGTCGATGTGTCTATTGATTGACGATTTAGTGGAATGCCAGGCGGGCTTCTAAAAATTCTCTAGTATTCTTGGTGTTTCTTCTGTCTAATATTTGAACGTTGTCTAAATGCAGTGATATGAGGGAGTGGATGTCACATCTTATGACAGCTAGCTTATGTTCACAGACACGAAGACGAATGGGACGTCGACTTTGGCCAATGTAGTGTTTTTCGCAGTTGTTACAATTTATTTTGTAGATGATGTTGGTTAAATCTTCTTTCGTTGTTGAGTCTTTTGGTTGACATATATAGCTGAGTGAAGTGATTTTGTTAACATGCGCATACATTAGGTGTGGTACGTAACCTTGTTCATGAGTAGTAATCTGTTATATCTAACTATTTTTTCTTAAATATTGATTATGATACATTGTGTAGAAGCTGAAAAAAACCTACGTGTTAGATGACTGACTAATGTTAATTAAAATGTTATTGTGGCGAGTGTTACTGATAATCAGATATAAGTAGTATATCAATAAACGAATTCAAAAAAAGTAACAACATGTTCTGGGGGCACTGGAAAAAGCAGTCGAAGAAGAGAACTGTGAGAAAAACGTTACAAAACTGTTTAAAATCCAACAAGCTATCGAATGTGGTGATATTCTACCAATTTGCAAATGATGTGCAAATAAAGACTTAAAGATAAGGTATGCTAAATTCATTTGCCTACAATGAGTTTGTTGTAACAAGCTTTGCTTTCGACCCTCATCGGCCTTTTTCTTCCTTACATTATCAGGAAACGACTAATTTCTAAGTGTTTCCATCAATATCCTAGATATGAAGTTTTTACCATTTCACGTTTTTTAAATTTACTCCAATATTTGTATTTATTTTTTTTAATTTCAGTTTTTACGTACACAATTTAAAAGATTATCATCAAATAAAGCTCTGATACGACGTACAATTGCTCAGTTATTAGTTATCACATGCCAATCATCTCGTGTACCGCTTACACTATTGCGTTATCTATTGCACTTGATATTAGGTAATCCTTTATGATGTATATATATATTCAATGTGTTCACTTTAACTAAATCAATTTTTAATATGATTTTCCAAGGTGATACTATAAGACCACGTTGTTAGGAAATTTTAGATGGATATAGGATTATGAGTGATCTAGAATTTGGATACATTTAATTCTTTTTTGTATATTTGAGTAACACCTTGCCAGCAGCATGTCTTATATCATCAGCAGCTGGCTTTTGCACATTACTTTTGTTATTTATTTTTTTCACTGCTTTTGAAGACTTTAGACACAGAATGTGAATGCATTTATACTTTTAGCTATTGTTACCTGAGTTATTTTTCTCTCAATCTGTGGTGGTTGGTTTACCCACCGCATTTTAGATGAACCACCAATATGGAAAGTAGCAGTGTTGAGATCAGGCATAGAGTGTTGGAAGGAAGGTAAGGCAATCGATTAGATAATGAATTTTCACTGATCAAAATGATAAGAATATGTGTTACTCACTCTAAGCCACTATCTTCCTTGATAAGTAATGTCAACCCAGGTAGGATTAGGTTATAAAAGAACTATAGATATGTTCATTGAATGTTCGTTTGAATTATATGGATGTCTTCAGGCTGCTTGGTTGGTTTCCTTGCGATATTAAGAGTCAATGGCTAGCGACTCCTAGTGAAAGGACTAAATATCATACTGTCTGTCTGTCTGTTTTCAGCATAGAACTTTACACCAATGTGCAGCAGCTCAAGTCGCCACACTCCATGTAGCACCCACCATTCAAGAGAAGAAAGTAGAAGAAATGCATAGTAGAGACAGTAGACAGGGATATGAGATAAAGGAATAGTGATAACGAAGAACAAAACAGTTTTATTGGAAATCATGAGTCACAAGGAGTGGATGCATCTGCGCTATTCATTGAGAACGATTTTGAGCCATGTCACCAATTGTTTCCAGCCTTCATTGGTTTTTACCGTCCCGAGGACCCCAACCAGTCAGGCAGTCTACACCTTCCTACGTGGCTTAGACTAACTTGTAGATTTCATTGACTGGTGCCATGTTTTGGTTTGACCGCCGCCAACTCTTTTCCAGCCTGACCCTATGTCAGCTAACATTGCCTGTCGAGGAAGGCGATGACTAGGCACAAGTAACACCTGTCCTAACCATCTCAGTCGATGTAACTTCACAGTTTCGTCTATTGATTTCCCCTCCTTTCCTACCACTTGACCGAAGCTTAACATCAATATTGCTCACATTATTATACCACTTCACACGGGGGATAGAATGCAGGCACTTATGATCAAAGAATACATAAGAGTATACACATTTTCTTCGACTAAGTAGAACTAATCAGAAAATTGTCAATTGGTGACATGGAATTTGCAATGAAAATGGTCAAGGGACTAACTACTTATCATAAGTTTGGAAAAAACAATCGAGGGAGATGTTAATAAGTGTTGCATAATAAAAAACACTGTTTACTCATCATTATAAAGGAGGAAAATTATTGAGCAGTATACGAGAAAGCATTCAGAATTAGTGTGAAATGAAATCCCCGGCCGGCGCACTCCTTTACCTCGCTAAGCCAGAACTATAAAGCTGGCGAAGAGGAAAGGTTGGGCATGAGGCTAGCAACCCCATCCTGTAAAATTAAACACTGCTACCGAAACTTGAAGCCCTATGTTCCACTGGCAACGTGAAGGAATAAAAAAATCTGTGAATTAGCAATTCTTTATTATTATTATTATTATTATTATTATTATTATTATTCCTTTAGGTTCCAAGTGGAACACAGGGCTTCAACAACACATCTCCATTCCATCGTGTTTTCTGCACTCGTCCTTAGTTGACCATACTTGTCCCCATAGGCGTTCATCTCCTCCATGTCAAACTCGGATGCCTAACTTGTTGCTTCCCATTCGGGTTCCACTCGTGGGTTAGCCTGGCACATGATGTCACCTAACGGTCTCCTCAACGTGTGTCCTATCCATCTTCATTTTCTCACCTCTAATTTACTACTAGCCGTTCCTAAGCCCAGATAAAGAAGGAAAGTTGAGCGTGTGTGAATAGCGACTACCCTCCCCCCACCCCCAGAGAATTTAACCCAATGTCTACAGAAACTTTAAAGGCACAGGGCACCTCTTTTACTAGGTCAAAATTTCACTGGGTGGTAGTTAGCCTCAAGGTTATAAACAGTGTCTAATGTGTGTCATCTTTAATTTCTCGTTCGATTATCTAAGCATTGGTACTTAAAGTAGAGTTTAACTCCATAAATTACTGACTGGATGCAGGGACAATAAAAATCAGAATATCAGTCAAGTCGTGAATGATGTTACTGAGTTTTTCACTTCGAAATACATACCAATAAATTTTCTCCTTTTTTTTCTTACTGGCAAGAAAATTATGAAATTCTACTCTTTATGAATGAATACTGAATGGGTACTGTGTGAATTGAAATTGTCATTATTACTTCAGTATACTTACAACCTTATTATCTGTGTAGGATTGTGTGTATAATTGAAATTCATTAGCCATATCTAGTCCATTCTACGTGGGTAATAAGCTGCACATATTTTTGAGAGGTATTAATTATGTTGCTGTAACATATATATTATTATATTTTTCACAATAATACATTACAAATCTTGTTAACACTGAGTGTCTATTTGAGTTATTTTAAAGATACTTTTATGTAACCTCTCTCTCTCAAGTATAATTCTATGCCTTACTACTTGTTTTGCATTGATGTCTTTTTAAGGAATGGAAGAAAGCGGGGGGGGGGTGGACTAAATACATCATGAGCTACTTTATATACCTGAAAGATTGTTGGAGAGAGAGAGAGAAATTATAGGCGTAGATAATAAGGTTTACACGGACCTTTCTCCAACAATAATTAATACTATATGTCATCTTAGAATGTATCATTGTATATCAAGTATGTTGTATTGTGAAATATAACCGTTTAAAGTAAAAGATTAAACGTATCTAGAAATATTTAACCAATGCTGCTTCCTCTTGCACTATTCACATTTGAGGAATAATTTATGTGAAAATATTGATTATGAAATTAATAATAAAGCCTCTAATCTGCCAGCTACCTCGATCAACTAAAGGTAGGATGGAAAACCTCCGAGTGATAAGAACAGCAGCACTCAACTTCAGTTTGTGAAATCGATAAAGGTTAGTCTTTGCCGCTTAGAAAACAGTAGGCTATCTAGTTGAGACATTCACTATAATCAAAATTCGTGAATATATATATATATAGACTGAAGACAATGATCTGTAGAAAGAACCTAGTGAAATGTGAGTGGTAGATTTGTGCTGCATACTTTTACGCAGTCCTGAAGATCTTATATCTATATACAGAGAGGTATCATTTTATCTTGCTCGTCTAGTTTTCAGTGAGACTAATGATTTTAACTTGTCTATCTTCTGTGGTTTTAATCCGCCACCTCACCCCACTGATCTATTGACCCGACCACTGCAATCTACGAATGTTTGGCATGCGATTCGCTCCCTCCAAATGTAAGATGATGTTACAGGACTGGACTACACTGACTCCTAGATTAGAAATAGGAAGTGAAGTGGTAGAGCACGTTGACCGCTTGGAAAGTACCATCAGCCCCAACGGGTTGATCTCTGACGAAATCTCAGAAAGGATACAGAGGGCTAGTTTCGCATATGCCAGTTTACGCCGTCTCTGGCGTAGACGTGATATCCGACTATCGACCAAAGGGTGGGTGTACTGCTCAGCAGTCCACTCCGTCCTCCTTTATGGCTGTGAGTGAAACCTGGCCATTAGGAGTGGAAGACATGAAAAGATTAGCTGTCTTTGATCATAGGTGTCTGCGTTCTATCCCCCATGTTAAGTGATATAATGGGATGGGCAATATTGATGTTAAGCTTCGGGCAAGTGGTAGGAAAGGAGGGGAAATCAATAGACGAGACTGTGAAGTTATATTGATTGAGATGGTTAGGACAGGTGCTACGTATGCCTAGTCATCGCCTTCCTCGACGAGCAATGTTAGGTGACTGAAATGGGTCAGGCTGGAAAAGAGCTAGCGGTGGTCGAACGAAAACATGGCACCAGTCAATGAAATCCACAACAGTTAGTTTAGGCCAGCCAGGTACCTAGGGGGGTAAGTGTAGACAACGAAACTGGTTGGGGTCCTCGGGACGGTAAAAACCAATGGTTGGAAACAATCGGTGATATGGCTCAAAATCCTTGTTCTGAATGGCTGGCGCAGATGCATCCACTCCTTGTGACTGATGATTTCCAATGAAACTGTTTTTGTTCTTCGTTATTGCTATTCCTTTGTCTCACACCTCTGTTTACTGTCTCTAATATGCATTTCTCCTACTTTCTTCTCTTGCTTTGTGTGGTACATGGAGTGTGGCGACTTGAACTGCCGCACATATGTGCAAAGTTCTATGTCGAAAACAGACAGACAGACAGATCTATTGATGTAGGGTGTAATAGATTTTGGACTAGCAAGCGACAAGGTCAAGCCTTATTCTATTGTATTTATCCGCGTGACTACAATTTTTTTTACTACATTAACTTATTCCAGCAAATTATTCATTATTTCAACAATCAATATCATCCTTTCTTGTTGTGTTGTAGTCAGTGAAATTTTTTAAAACTTAATATCTAGTCTACTTTTTCTTCATTATATTATTTCCTGCCGATGACATTGGTCAGTTGGTGATCGCACTAAATCACACATTGGTAGAAGTTAGAATCCATGGGTTGGCCATTGAATCGGATCCCAGTGGCTGAATGGTATACGAGCCAGCTTGCCTTGTAACCGGAAGGTCCTGGGTGCGAAACCCAGTGGGTACGTAATGTCGGTGATTCCCAAACTAGGACGGGACAGCTGTCCAGTACTCCCTGTGGCTGGTTTTCAATGATTCTCTAACTGATATCAATCTGTGGGCAAACTTGAAAAAACAAATCTAGTCCTTGCAAACCAACTATTGGAAATATATTATACACTGAGTGAAATTCATTTAATCCTATTCTGTATAATGTATTGTTTTATTATTATTTTTTGTTTGTTTATCCTAGCGGAAATGGAATCACTCAGTGCTGTTTCATCTACAGAACCAGTTAAAGTTGACTATGATTCATCAACACCGAACAATTTTATCACCTATTGGACAGGTTTATTTAATACAATACGCTATTTATCTATTGGTTGGGAACAACTTTCAAATAATATTACAAAGAATTCATCCTATCTAAATTTAAATCTACCTTCAACATCATCAATTGATTTAAAATTTTTAAATAATATACATTCTAGGATATCTGGTGCTGCTGATCCAGAAAGTCCAGAAATGCCTAATCCAGGTTTGTTTTAATTTTTTTCCTTTCAAGTATTGGTTTTAAAGGGATTTTGTTTGATTGTTTGGAGAACTTAACCATGAGCTAATATCAGTTAGAGAACCATTGGAAAATCTAGGAGTGTCCTGGACAGCTGTTCCATCCTAGCTTGGGACTCTCCAGTAGTACGCATCCACCGGGGTTCGAGCTCGCCTTGTAACCAGAAGGTCTTGGGTTCGAATCTCAGTGTAGATTCGATGAACCAGGCAGGATTCAGTAATCAATCTCTCTCTCTCTCTTCACCTACCTATATTACTTCTTAGAATTTTAACCCTCTTACACCCTATTGATTTAGAAGTGAACACTGTTCACCTAGTAGTCGTAAACTACTGATAAATACTGAGAATATGTGACAGTTTAATACAAACCATTCGTGGCTGACTGAAAATCGATTATGAATGGTTATCCTCCAATTCTCAGGTTTTAAGATGACTGGCTGAATCTCCGAAATCATAGGTTTGCTAAGTGTGTGCCTAACTACTTAACAGTATTTGCGCATTATGGAATGGATTACTTTATATTATAAGTGTATTCACCATTGGTGTTTAAACGTGTTGATAGATTTTTATTTTATCAATATATTTCGGGCTAAGTAACTCACTGGTCACGATCACCACCACCTCACTTGTTAGAATTTTCCTATTTTTTAAAAATCACAGTTTCGCTGCATTAATTAAAACTTGTCCCTGTTTGTAAACACTCACTACAAATATAATTGTATCGTATTTTTATTCTATTATTATTCCCTTGGGTTCCGAGTGGCACAGAGGTTAGGACTCTCGCTGACCATGCACATGGTCTGGAGTTCGATCCCCACCGACGCACACCTGATATCAAAATTTGAACTACCGACATCACATGCTGAAAATTCCATACTTGCACCAAAAATACGGTGTGGAATCAAGCTATAATAAAAAAAACACATCTTCATTTTGTTCTATTTTCTGCCATCCTCTTCAGCTGGCTTCACGATTGCCCATAATCTCTCTTCTCTTCCTCACACTATCTCCTCCATGTCACTCTCGCCCCGACGACCCCCTCGTTACTTCTCATTTGGATTCAACTCTAGTGATGGCCTGCATTGTGCGCGATGTCATTCTATGGCTTCCTCAACGTACGCCTGATCCATCCATCTACATTTTCTCCCACATATTTGTTGAGCAATCGGCTCTTGGTTGGTTGGTTGGCTTGTTCACACAGTTGTTTGTTACTAATTCTTTCTGGTCGGCCATTTGATCTTCAGTATGGAGCCACCGAAGGCAACTGTTGATAAAAGTTTGTAACTTGCTGGAAATCCTTTTCGTGACGCGATGGCCAAGTTTCTGACCGTATAGAAAAACCGACTTGACATTAGCGTTAAATATCCGAATCTTGTTCTTTATGCTGCGGAGTGCAGTGCAGCGGATTTTCAAACTGGTTTCAGGTTGACGAAGGCGTGTCTTGCCAGCTTTTACATCATCCTTTCTGACTGCCTGTAGTTGAAACGATGCTTCTCAGATAAGTAGAGGAGGTAACATCTGACAAATCTCTCCCGGTGATGGTGACTAGTGCTGTTTGTTGTTGTTGTTGCTGTTCATTGGTTATCTTCATCTCCTCCGTCTTCTTTATGTTCACCAGGAGGTCCTGTCTTCGCTGCCTGCGTTTTGAGCCAGTTTTTTGTTTTTCACCACTAAGTCTTCGAGTTTGTGTGACATTAGGCATAAATCATCCACGCGCGAAATGCAGGTCTTATAGAGTCTTCTTATCGGTGGTACAGCGTATTCCTGTCTCCTTGCTCTCACGCACGCAGTCCACTGCAATTGAGAATATCATCAGTGATGACAGGCAGCCTTGTCTTATTGCATTAAAAACTTTAATTACTACTTGCTAATAATTCAGAGATGTAGAAAGAAATTGATTTAGCTATCTATTCACTCCAGTTGTATTAGCGAGACACCAGTCAGTGACATTTACTAAATGGCTTAAAATTGGCTTCTACATAATTGTGTAACTGTGATCTTTTATCTGTTTAAAGCTTCCACTTTTTTTTCTCTCAAGTAATTGTCACTTTTCTTGTGTTTGTTCTGTTTTTGTCTTTCCAATTCCTTCAGCAGACGATTCAACTGTTCTACAGTCAAGTCAACATGCTACAGACACAATGGAATCATCAAGAAAATTACCTATGCATAAAATTAATTATTCAGAATTGGATAATCAAATGTGGTCAAAAACATTCTTCATATGTTTACATCATGCATGCAATCAATCTAATCTGAATTCGCTGATGTTACAGACCGCGGCTTTAGAGGCTTTTGTACAATTGTTAACTGTTAGACGTCCTCTCTTTTTATATCCATTTAATTGGCTCACAAATATTACATCATTATCATCATCAACAACAACAACAACATCGTCAAGGTCACCATCATCATCAATCAATCAAAGTTTTCATAGTGATAAGACCAGTAGTGAAGTACAAGGTGGTGATAAAACAGTCGACAAATCGCCGTCATCATCGTCATTAACGCCACATTTTCTCAATAAAAGTATGTTGCATTACTTGTATCGTTTGATTGGTTATCGGTAATGTAGGTATTTGTAAGAGGCGGCTATTCAACATGTCTGTCAGAGGAAATTTGATTTAGATATAATCTTTAGGTATATTTCGTCTATATTAACACAAACGAAACTGTGTGCAGACATTGTTTAAAAGGGCTCAAACACATTGTAGCACTCCAGAGTTGAAAAGAATGGAAGAAAAATAACTACAAACGGTCTTCAAAAGAGGAATGGTTATCCACAAAATTTCATCAAAAAGTGTTTAAAGTCGAATCAAAATACCAACAAAGAACCATCATCAAAGACCACAAGAAAATTCATCCTACCATACATGAGAAATATCTCTGAAATAACAGCTAGAATACTGAAACCGTTTGATATAGATATAGCACACAAGCCAGTCAAATCGCTTAATTCGATATTATGCAAACCGAAAGACCCAACAGAAAAAGGAGATAAAATTAACACCATTTACAAAATAAATTGTATGAACTGAATTAGAATCCAAGATCACAAATCAGCCGCGAAAAGACACGAAATATATTCTTTAGTATCAATGCATATAGACAATTATGGTCATCAATTTGATTGGGATAATGTCGAAATTTTAGACAGAGGAAACACCAAAAGTGACAAGGAATTCCTAGAAGCCTGGTACTCAAACGAAAATGCAATCAACAAACACGTTAATATAGACGAAATATGCCAACTAATAAAAAGTAAATCATGTGACTAAAAAGTTTCAAATCCAAGTCAATAGAAAATGATCAATACAACATATGTAAAGATGGTTACCGGGAGACGCAGTTATATCACACATGAAGAAATTTGGCGTCAGTGGCATAGCGGTTAGGACGCTCGGCGAATATGCACATGGTCCGGAGTTCGATCCCCGGCCGACGCACTCCTTCACCTCGCTAGGCCAGTAATAAAGTTGGCAAAGGGGGAAGGTTGGGCATGAGGCTAGCAACCCCATCCTGTAAAAATAAACAATGCTACAGAAACTTCAAGCCACTAGCTTGAAGCTCTATGTTCCACTGGGAACGCGAAGGAATAAAGAAAAAAATCTTTAGGTCAAATTGTAAAGTTGTATCTGAATTGTCTGTGAAGTAACCTAGTTGGCAGCTATGACCAATGTTTGAACTACTGTCAACTGAAGAAGTTATTCCAGTGCTGTGTCTATCGTTGTTTATGTGAAAGAATAAGGCAGTTAGAGTGGGGTGAATAATTCTCACAGTCATGAAGATTGGTTTTGTGGATTAAGCAAAATTATATGAAACCTAGGTCCAAGGCTTCCTGCCGATTGCTTCCAACTATCTAATATCATATCAATGTGCACCGTGATGGCAAGCTACCTAGAATGGTGGCCACATTGCAAATACCTGACTGATAGAATTCAGTCTGCACCAAAGAAGGACTAGATACGTCACACTAGTTACTAGTGTCCAATCAAAATACCCACTACAGGAGGCCAATCGCGAGCCCGAATAGCTCAGTGGTAACGTCTCTGACTGCAGGTGGCACATGGTGACGCGGGTTCGATTCTCAGAAGGGACATGAGTTCCTTAAAGGTGATTGCAGATACGCCTTACTGACTGGTGAGTGCCAACTAGCACGAAACCTAGGTGAAGCTAGGCTTCCTGTGGCCGATTGCCTCCAACTATCTAATATCATGTATATATATATATTCTTTAGTGTAAAAGTCCTCATTCTAGTATCATAGCATTTATGCTGAATATAAACTTTATCATCCTTTTTGGTGAATACACAAACTGACAATAATAGTAAATTAATTAAAACTGTTTTAATTCAACTATTTCCGATCAAATACTATCGAACAGAGCATAGAATGGCAGTTAAGTCTCTACCTCAACTTCATCAACTGTAAAAAGATCTTCAACAGCCTTGGCTGTTAAGTAATTTGGAAATTACTTCATCACAATGGAGTGCAGTAAACCAAACCTTTGTCGAACTCATTCAGTGGCAATATCATCACACCACATATCAAGTAAATTCACAACGGAAACCTCAACGATGCCTTTGAAGTGAAGACAGGAATAAGACAAAGGTGTCTACTATCACTGATTATATTCTTGATTTTGGTGAACTGGGTCATATGGCAGACTGTAGCTCCGCAACTAAACCAACCAACTCAAAGAACCCTACTAATTGCTAACCAATAAGTTGGCAGAAGAGATAGGTAGCCGAGGCAGGCCTTCAAATGAACATAGAAATGACGGAGAGGATGATGATATCAAACCAAAAGCAACAATAATAGCAAGTATCAACTACCATCAACGGGAGAGGTCACCTTTTTCACTTATTTGGGTAGCATCATTTCAGCCACAGGTGTCACGGATGAGGATTTCCAAGACTGTATAGGAGAGACGATATAGACCTTCGTTTATCTGAAATCAGTGGAAATCTATTGCACACACTCAAAGGAGACTGTTAAGTAATATCATGAACCATGCCCTCGGATGAAACCCGATTGGGAAACGACGAATTAGACGTCCGAGGGAGATATGGAGGAAATCATGTACTGAAGAGATGAAAGCCTATGGACAACATGAAGTCAGCTAAAAAGCACTGTAGAGGGCAGGATGATATAGTGTGATGCTGAAGCCCTTTGTTTCACTGTGGACACATCAGAATACTAATACTGTCCAGTACTCTCAGGTTTTCCAGTGGTTCTCTAACCAATGTCAGCTCACGATGGAATCCTGTAACCAATCAATCAAATCCCTACAAACCATAATTTGAATATCGATGAGATGGTCACTGGCGACTGGCCCTATTAAGGTAGGTAGTTACCTAGGATTCTAGTGGGAAGTCGTGACCAGCAGATTACAGCAGGTCGGGTGTGAGGACAAATACTCGCCGAAGGCATTGGCTAGCGGTCGCGTTATGTCGTGAATTGGCAGAAGTTAGAATTCATGAACTGGCCATTGGATCGGGTCCCAGTGGCTTAATGGTCTACGAGCTCGCCTTGTAACCAGAATGTCCTGGATTCGCTCCTTGGCGGTGCGTGCGTACTGATGAAGAGTCCCAAACTAGGACGAAACAGCTGTCCAGTACTCCCTGGTGGTTTTCCAGTCGTTCTCTAACCAATGTCAGCTCATGATGAAATCCTGTAACTAATATCTATTTGTGATAATAATGCAATCATGCTTTCTTGTCTTTCTGTTCAAACTTTTCATTGTCATCGTTATTATTTAGATTTTGTGTTGACCTGTAGGAATCTTTTTATAAGAAACAGATTGTCAGGAGCTGATATCAGTTAAAGTGAATCATTTTAAGACAAGGAGTATCGAAAAGATGTTTCCTATTAATAATAATTCACAAAACACTTTGACAAACTTCGATGTGGTTGCAATTTTTGAAATAGATTTCAAATGTATAAAAATTAATCCAGCACTCCCAGATCTTCCAGTGGTTCTCTAACTGATGTCAACTCATGATGAAATCCTCCATCCAGTCAAACAAAATCTCTACAAAACCAATACTTGAAAATTAATCCGATGCTCACCAGTGATTGGCCCTATTCAGCAGTGACCTGGGGTTCTAGTGGGAAGCCCTGACCAGTAGGGTGAAGCAGGTTGAAGGTTAGGTAGTAACTCATCGAAGAAGACATTGTTAAGTGGTCGCACTATGTCATGAATTGGCACTAGTTAGAATTCATGGGTGGTTGGATCGGGTCCCAGTGGCTTAATGGTATACAAGCTCGCTAGCCTTGTAACTAGAAGGTCCTGGGTTCGAACCGTGGCGGTGGGTGCTTACTTCTGAAGAGTCCCAAACTAGGCTGACGAAACAGCTGTCCAGTACCCGGTGCAGGTTTTCCAATGGTTCTCTAAATGATGTCAGCTCATGATGAAATCCTTCATCCAATCAAAAATCAATCCCTGAGTTATTCAAGTTACCTGATTGTCAAAATCGACATAAAAATAATAAAAAGGAAGTTTTGCCTAATGCCGCTGTATGTAATATCAAGCATAAAGTGCATAATCTATTATCAAGCAGTGATAATGCTGCCTTGTTTGGTATCATGCATACGTTTTGTTATTGATGCTTGCGGATGAATTCTTAGTTATATACATGTGTAGATTGTAAACTACTATGTGCTCTTGTTTACTTTATTTACTTTTATTTACGCTTTGTAATTAAAAAAAAATATGCAAACCATCTTATATTGATTGTGTAGTTTACTCATTGATTTCTTAAGACTAATGTTGTCTACAGTTGATGTCTGATTCGTGTAAGTTGGACAATAAGTCTACATTAATTATTAACATTCCCTTAGGTTCCGAGTGGAACACAAGGCTTCAACAGCACATCTCCTTTTCACCCTGTTCCCCGCTGGCTCCACGATCGCATATAGGCTGTCATTTCTTCCTCACACGATCTTCTCTGTGTCAACCTCGGAATTACACCCATCTCGTCGTTACCCATTCAGGTTCCACTCGAGCGATAGCCTGGCTCCCGATGTTACTCAATGATCCTTTCAGTGCCTGTCCTATCCATCTCCATACTTTTTTGAGGATAGGTTCTTAGTTGGGTCATTGACAGTCAGAGTTCCTTGTTACTATTCCTTTCTGGTCATCAGATCTTGAGTTTGGAGTAGAGGCAACTAGTGATACAAGTCTGAAGCCTGTTCAAAATGCTTTGGTTGATGTGCACACCAAGTCTCTGAACTATATAGAAGTACTGACTGACTTGACATTAATGTTGAGAGTCTGGATGTTGTTTCTTACATTGACTGCAGCAGATTTTTTCAGATTGACTTCCAATCAATGAATGTTCCTTGCTTTTCCGATTCAGGCTTCGACATATGCATATATATATATATATATTCCTGCATGAGAGCCATATTAGATATATTCTCACCCTTTGATGTAATGCTTTTTTCGTAGTATTCCCATTTTTTAGGTTTCTACCTCTTTGTGGTGCTGTAGTGTATGATAATTAGGATCTTGGTAAAGAAAGAAAGACCAGATATGCAGGATAAAATGTGATATCATCATTCTACTTCACAGGTTCTCATCAGCTGCAAACAACTACCTGAAATTACAATGGTTATAAATAATAACATTTCATACTGCAATGTTTGAAAGGTAATACAGAAAGCATTATAAGATGAACGCATCCGGAATATAAGTATTATAATTTTTAGTTTAAGTCACCATCAATTTATATGCTATCAAACTATGAGAAAAGGGGTAGGGTAAGTGAAGACAGAAAACAGAAGAATGTAATAAAGAATGTTAGCTCGCACGTTAACATGGCAAATCAAGAAGGTTAAAGTTCATCAAGTTGAAAACTTACTTATTGAGTTGAGCTCACTAGGGTGTATGAATAATCAATCTAATGAAAGTAAACGGTTACCAAGGTAATAAGAAATCGACTACACTCTCTTTCTGTGTGCATAAGTTTGGTCTGAAAAGCTTGATTGCAATTGCTTCAGCAAATCGTAGTAAATTCGCTGTCCTTTGTGTGGTTAAAATTTTGAAGGACTTGGAAATCTCGACGAAATGACCCGTATCCACAGGGTAGGTGTCTGGTAATTTCACTTTGTAAATATCTGCTACCCTTTAAGCATAATTTTCTTGGAATATTCTCTGGAAACCGGATAGAAGCCCTTCTTACTGTCCTACCCATGTGCATGCTGAAGTAGGTTTGAGGGCATATAAATTGATGGTGACTTAAAGTAAAAATTGTAATACTTATATTCCGGATGCGTTCATCTTATAATGCTTTGTCTATTACCTTTCAAACATTGAAGTATGAAATGTCATTATTTACAACCATTGTAATTATAGGTAGTTGTTTGCAGCTGATGAGAACCTGTGAAGTAGAATGATGATATCACATTTTCTCCTGCATATCTGGTCTTTCTTTCTCTACCAAAATTTATCAGGGGAACCAAATGTATGAAATAATTAGGATAGTTAGGCTGTTTTATGACGGTTTGTTCACCTGATGTTGATATATCCTTCTGCAACGTTAAATCAGTTCGAAAGTCTTAGCTAATTAAAATTACTTTTTAGTCAGCAATTAACAGTTTCATTAGCCATATTGCTGTTTTTCCCTGTGTGTTAACTATTATTGCATATTAATGTATAAAAATTAATAGCTATACTTAAATTCCTCATTCTTAACAATAATGTTCAAATATGTTATTTCACTCTATACTAATTCAAGTAATAATTAATGTTGTTTATCTTCTTCCAATTACCCCCACTCCATATAGGTGAACTCAGTATTGATACCAGTATTCACAAAGAAGCATATGATGTTGTCCCAAATGATTATTTACTAAGAACACTTTCTTCAGAGTCTATCAACACTAAAAGTCCTAGTTCCGATTTTCAATCTGTAGACAGTCGTGATACATTCCTTATTCGTTCAGTATCCTCATCAAGTTTATCGTCATCTTTGAAGATGGATTCAAATCAGATTACATCAAATGAAGAGATTCGTAATCAGCTATCAGTTGTTCGTGCTCAATTAGCCAAAGATGAAGAAAAACTGGCAAACAATGGGAATAGTGATGTTTTCAGTGATTTAGGTTATGATATCATTGATGATTCAATGGGAAATATACAATCTGCCCAAATTGATGATAGTAGTCTTGATTCACCTAGTAAGTCGTTTTTCTTAGTTAGAGTTCCGTTATGTGGAAAAGACATCCTGTATCAGCTTCTGAGTCACATTTTCTTATTTACGAACTGATGACATTATATACAGTCAATATCATACATTGTTTATCCACACTAGCTGTGAATTCTTATTGATAATTTGTTTAAAATTTGTCATTATTTACTGCAAAAGTGATAAAACAGAGTTTATCATTGTTTTGTGTTATATAATAATGCATGTCTGTCATTATTATTATGCCTAAGTTGTATACATTGCGATCGATCAAATAGTTCTTTGTTCACCGTAGTATTCACCATACTGCTTAATCGACTAACTAGTTCAAATATGTAACTTTTTAATCAGAGAGTTATAACAGTCTAGATCTGGTCACGTTATATGATTATGTACCTATTTTAAGACTTTTAAAATGTCGGCAGAGAATTACTTTTTGTAGTTCAATTACTCTCTGTGAAAATATCATTGTGATAAGGATTTCAAGGAATATTTAGGTTAGGTTGTGTAGTCTTCTCGTTAACTACTACCATGTGCTGTATTAACTGACTGACTGACTGACTGACTGACTGATTGGTTTCAACGTATAACTTTGCACAGATGTGCACCAGTTCGAGTTGCCACACTCCCTCCCTGTAATATACAAAGCAAGAGAAGAGAGTAAACAGAGATTCAAAGGAGAGATAATAAACAGTGAGGAATAAGGGGATAGTAATACTGAAGAACAATAGAGTTTGATTGGATATTATAAGTCACAAAGAGTGGATGCATCTGCGCCATCATTGAGAACGAGGATTTTGAACCATATCACCAATTGTCTGTCTCCAGCTGTCATTGGTTCTTACCAACCCCAGGACCCCAACCAGTCAGAAAGTGTACAACTATCTCCCTACGTGGCTGGCTTAAACTGTTGTGGATTTTATTGACTGATGACTCCATGTTTTCGTTTCATCACCACTTACTCTTTTCCAACCTGTTCCTATTATCAGTCAGCTAACATTTCCCATAGAGAAAGCCAATGGCTAGGCGTGCATGCATAACACATGTCATAGCCGTCTGAATACATGTAACTTCACAACCTCGTCAATTGATTTTGCCTTCTCACCTAGCAGCCGGCCAAAGCCTAACTCATTCTATTACACCAACCACCTAACACGGGAGATAGAACCCAGACACCTAGCCAGGCTTTTCATGTGTTCCATTTTCAATGGCCATGATTCACCAACAGCCATAAGGGAGGACAGAGAGGACTGCTGAGCAGTACACACGTCGTCCTTTGGTCGACAGCCAGCCGGATATCACGTCTACTAAGTCAGAGATGGCGTAAGTTGGCTGGCATATGCCAAACGAGCCTTCTATATCCGTTCTGACATTTCGTCAGCAATCAATCCTTTGGGGGTTGGCTGATGCAACTTCCCAAATGAGTGAAGTGGTCAGCATGCTCACATCACCACTTCACTCCCTATCTTTAAGCTAGGAGTGAGTCAATGTAGTCCAGTCTTGTTGCATTATCTTATATTTGACGGGAGCGAATCTCATGTCAAACATTCAAAGATTACCTTCTGATTGAGGTGTTCAGAAGACTCTGCATTTTGTCAGCGTCTTCACCTAGGAGAATGACTATAACATCTGCATATTCTAACTCAACGAGATTACTCCCTGGTAACAAGTCAATCCCTGAGTCGCTGAAGTCAGTTAGGGTTACGTGCATTGGAACATCTATGATGTATGCATTCCTGACGGACACCACTAGTTGTCAACACTTCAGATGACAACTCTCAGTAGGCTGTCACCTGGCTGCACGAGTTCGAGTAGAGTGCCTTGATCAGTGCAATGTATTTTCTCGACATTCCCTTGACAGCCAACCATCGTTATAGTACCGCGCGGTTGACGGACTCGAATGACGCTTTCAGGTAGGTCAAGAAATATGACGAATGTTGAACACCGACGGTAGGTATGCCTATGTTCCAGATTCTGTGGAAGGGTGAAGATATGATCAATACACTCTCTTACTGGTCTACAGCCTGCCTGGTTCTCTCGTGTTTGTTCCTCCTGTGGAGTGCTCAGTCTACGCATTATTATTGAGCCTTGAATTTTAGATACCATATAAGTCAAGCTTATCCCCCTGTGATTATCACAGGAAGACTTGTCTCCCTAATTCTATATTAGGATAGTCAATGACTTACGCCAACTCGATGGGACTTACTCTGATTCCCAGACTCTGCCTAGTACTTCAGTTAGTGAACTGTCTACACCGTACTTAAATACCTCTGGAGTCATTACATCAGGTCCTGCTGCTTTACCTCGTTTCAGACTAGTGACAATCTTAGGAACCTCAGTTAGGGATGCAGGACATGTGTCTATGTCCCATTCAAGGAGGTGTTGGATGTTCGGTTAGTTGAGCGTGGTTGTAGGCCAATTAAACTGCTCCTCAAAGTGTTCTTTCCAGCGTTTTAGTCGTCTTTGTTGAGAGCTACTTATGGTGCCATTTTTCTCAGAGATTGTTTCACTTATCATTTGCCTTCTACCATCATCAAATCAACGCTGGACACAAATAGACCACATAGCAATAAGCTATCGTTGGCGTGGGTCGGTAGGAGATTGTCGCTCCTTCTGGAACACGTGTGTAGATACCGATCACGCACTGGTCCGCGCTCGTGTGTGCTTACGACTGAACGGACGTAGGAAACAGCTGGCGGTAAACCCATCACGTCCCCAGCTCGATCAGGAAACTAAGTCCCTATTTGAGGAAGAACTAGCTAAACACATATCTGAGTTCGACAGCTGCGCTCACCCTGAAGAAGCCTGGAAGAATATTCAGTCAGCCTTAGATACAGCTGTAAAAGCTGTGAATAAGGTAAATCCAAAGGTGAGTAAAAACCATTGGATTTCGACTGCCTCATCCGAACTGATAGATGCTAGGAGACTTATTCCGGCGAGCTCCGAATTCAATGAGGAGCGAAAGCTGCACAAAAGGAAACTTACGAAAAGTCTCCGCAAGGACCGTGAACAGTGGTGGTTGACAAAGGCGAAAGAGATGGAAAAAGCATCGGCGATAGGCAACACTAGGCAACTCTTTAGACTCATCAGGGAAACGGGTGGGAGAAGGCAAATCATAAGTGAGAGTATTTGTGAGAAAAATGGCTCCTTAATTAGTTCTCAGGATAGACGCCTCGAACGCTGGAAAGAACACTTCGAGGAACAGTTTAACTTGCCTACAGCCACACTGAGCCTCCCCGCCATCCAGCACACACCCGAATGGGACATAGACACTGGCCCACCGTCTGTAAGTGAGGTCTCCAAAGCAATCTCTAATTTGAAACGAGGCAAAGCGGCAGGACCCGACGGAATTATTCCGGAGGTATTTAAATATGGGGGTGACATGCTAGTATATAGTTTAACTAAGGTACTAGGTAACGTCTGGGAATCAGAGACGGTTCCATCAGACTGGGGTAAGTCACTTATTATACCGATTTTCAAGAAGGGAGACAAGTCGTCATGTGATAATCATAGGGGGATCAGCTTAACGAACATAGTCTCTAAAATCCTAGGCTCAGTAATCATGAACAGACTAAGCCGAACTCGGGAGGAACAAACGAGGGAAAATCAAGCGGGATTTAGGCCAGGTAGAGGGTGCATAGATCATATCTTCACTCTCCGACAGATCCTAGAACATAGACACACTTTTAGGCGTCCAACAATTGCCATATTTCTTGACTTGAAGGCGACCTTCGACTCCGTGGATCGAAAGGTACTATGACAATGTTTGACTGTGAAGGGAGTGCCAAGAAAGTACATTGCACTAATCAAGGCACTCTACTCAAACTCATGTAGCCATGTAAGGGCTTATAGGGTACTGTCATCTGAATTGATAACAACCAGTGGTGTCGGTCAGGGATGTCCACTTTCCCCATTTCTGTTTAACTTCATCATAGATATGCTAATGGAAGTATCCTTAACTGAACTCAACGACTTAGGAATCGACTTGTTACCAGGGAATAGTCTTATAGACTTAGAATACGCAGACGACATAGTCCTGTTAGGGGAGGACGCTGACAAAATGCAGAGTCTTCTGAACACCTTGAGCAGCAATCTTCGTATGTTTGGCATGTGATTCGCCCCTGTGAAATGTAAGATGCTGCTACAGGACTGGACTACGTCAACTCCTAGCTTAGTGATAGGGAGTGAAGTGATAGAACATGTTGACCACTTCACCTACTTGGGAAGTTGTATCAGCACCAACGGATTGATTGGTGACGAAATCTCAGCACGGATCCAGAAAGCTCGGGCTGCTTTCGCTAACTTACACCGTCTCTGGCGTAGGCGTGACATCCGGCTGTCAACCAAGGGACGTGTATACTGCTCAGCAGTTCACTCCGTCCTTCTCTATGGCGGTGAGACGTGGCCATTGAGAGCGGAAGACATGAAAAGGTTGACTGTTTTTGACCACAGACGTTTACGATCTCTTTCTCGCGTTAGGTGGTATAATAAGGTAAGTAATGTTGACGTTAGGCGTAGAGTGTTGGGCAAAGAGGGAAAATCAATCGAAGAGGCTATAAAGTTACATAGATTGAGATGGCTAGGTCACATGCTGCGCATGCCTAGCCATCGTCTCCCTCGACGGGCATTACTAGCTGATATAGGTGCAGGTTGGAAAAGAGTAAGTGGTGGCCAAACAAAAACATGGCCTCATCAATCCATGAAATCCCTGACAGTTAAACTGAGTCAGGTAGGGAGATGCAGACTTCCGGGTTGGGGCCCGCCCTCGGGACTCTAAGAATCAATGGGTGGAGACACTAGGTGACATGGCTCAAAATCGTTGTCAATGGCTTACGCAGATGTATTCAGTCTCTGTAATCTTTCATATTCCTTTCTACCAATATTCATTTTGTTTCACTCTTATACTTATCTAAATTCTATTGATTCTCTTCTCCCCTTTTCCTGTCTACCTTTGTGTGCTATTTGGAACGTGGCAACTCGAACTGCTGCACTTCGGTGCCAAGTTCTATGTTGAATCCAGCAGCAGCAGCCTTCTACCACCTGTTTCCGTGATAAGTCTAAATAGTTGTCTGGTGTAAACTATCGCCGATGCCTTTTCCATCTCTTTCGCTTTTGTCACCCACTACTGTTCACGGTCGTTACGAAGGCTTTTTGTTAGTTTGCGTTTGTGTAGCTTTCGCTCCTCATCGTATTCGGAGCTCGCCGGAATCAGCCTTCTTGCGTCAATCAGTTCGGACAAGGCGGTAGAGATCCAATGGCTCTTATTAAATTTTGGTTTTAGTTTGTTAACAGCTTTTACAGCTGTGTCTACAGCTAACTGTATGTTGTGCCAGGTTTCCTCAGGAGGAGTCTTATACTGGTATATTCTTTTTTTTAAGAGAATACCTAGTAACCAGTATACAATCAACGTAAACCGGAAACTTTCAATCACAGTCACTGGAGTGAATGTTTGTACTATTTAAGGTACCACATTCACTCAATTTAACAATGACCACTTTTGTTCAAAATTCCGATCCTGTGCCACCATCTTTCAAAATCGAGGTTAAATAGTGAAACGATCTAGATTTCTTTTTAAGTACCAATCATTGTTCCCCTCCTCGTTATATCTGTGCGAAGTTCTCTGTTGAAACCAGTCAGTTGTTGAGTCAGTCCTGGTTACATGAAATCTTTTTACCTAATCTAAACTGTGGTCCCCCCGGGCAGTCTATTTGACAAGTGATGTGAAAGAAACTATAAATACTTCACGGAATATAATATCATGATATAATAGAGACCTAACACGTATGAAAAGAAACAGTGGTTAACGCAATGGTTAGAAAACCATTTCCACAGTTTGTTTTCAAATAAGTGTTCTTAATTAATTTTCTCTTATATTTGAAACTATGCAATACATAACAATGTCGTGTTAGGAGTTCTACTCTCGTCCATAACTGATAACGTCTTGGACGACTGAATTGTATCATCTTTCCGTATCCGTCCAAGGTCTTTCGATGAGCCGACATGTGCCAACTTAGCACTAGTATTTCTCATCCTACCACAGATCATTAGCTCGCTGTCTCTCTTCGCCTCTTTCAATCAGCCTCAGAGCTGTAATCGTTAAGCTGTGTGTAAACTGCTCCAATTATTATTATTATTTCCTTTAATTCCTAGAGGAACATAGGGCTTCAGCCGTGCGTCTCCATTGCGTTCGGTTCCCTACTAGAGTCTTCACCTGGCTCCAAGTCTGCCCACACGTTTTCATCTCCTCTTCATATGACCTCCTCCATGTCACCCTTGCACTGACGACCAACTCGCCGCTTCCCTTTCGGGTTCCACTCGAGTGATGGCCTGCAATGCATGTGATGTCACTTGATGGTTTGTTTCCTCAGAGTATGGCCAGCCAATCCATCTGCATTTCTTCCTGCCTATTTGTTTCACAATCGGTTCCTGCTGAGTTGGTTCGCTCATTGCCAGCGATCTCTGTTGCTGATCTTTTCTGGCCGGCCATCTGATCTTGAGTGGTATTGAGCGAAGACAACTGTTAGTGAAGGTCTGTAGTTTGTTTGAGATGCTTTTTATGACGCGCTGGCCAAGTCTCTGATCCGTATAGTGAGTTGCACTGACTGACTTCACATTGGAGTTGAAAATCCGGATCTTATGATCTTTTGGATGCTGAGTGCTGTTGACCTCCACACAGACTTGAGAGTAGTGAAAGCTTGTCTTGCTTTTCCGTTTCTTGCTTTGATATCCTCGTCAGTTCTGTCTGCCTGTAGTTGAAACGATGCTTCCCAGGTTGGTGGGTAGGTAAAGGAGGTTGTTTCTTTCAGGTTCCTTCCATTTATGCTGATCGCTGTCTGTTGTTGTTGTTGTTCTTGTCCAGCAATCTTCATCACCCCTGTTTTCTCTATGCTCACCTGAATTCCTTCCTATCTCTGATGCTTCTTCTGCTAACTTGTTGCTTTTCGCTTGCATGTCTTCCAGTTTGTGGGAAATCAGACATTTATCATCGGCAAAGTCCAGATCCTCCAAGTTTTTCGTTAAAGTCCATTTCATGCCTGTTTCCTCATTGCCCGCTGTTTGTCGCATTATCCAGTCTACTGCAATCAGGAAAATCATTGGCGATAGTAGTCAGCTAGCTTGTCTTACTCCCGTTTTCACTTCGAAGGATTCCGTAAGTTTCCTGTTGTGGATTACTTGGCATGCATCATTGTCGTACAGCTGTTGGATGAGATGTATAATTGTCGGCGGCACCCTGTAGTAGCGAAGTAGTTGCCAAATCACCTCTCGATCGACGCTGTCGAAGGCCTTTTCAAAGTCGATGAAGTTGAGATAGAGAGGTGACTGTCATTCCAAGCTTTGTTCAATGATGATCCGTAGTGTGGCGATTTGATCAATACATGACTTGTTTCTCCTGAATCCAGCTTGTTCCGGTCGAAGTTTTTCATCCAGGGCATGTTTGATTCTCTCCAGGATGATGCGGCTTAGTATTTTGCTTGGGATGGACAGGAGCATAATTCCGCGCCAGTTCTTGCATTGACTTAGGTCTCCTTTCTTTGGTAGTTTGAATAAGTATCCTTTCTTCCAATCCTCGGGTACTTTGCCTTCTTTCCAGACCTTCTCCAGTAGTGGCGTCATCAAGTCCGCTGTTGTCTCTGGGTTCGTTTTCAATGCTTCTGCTGGGATTCCATCTGGTCCCGCTGCTTTTCGAGCTTTTAGCATCTTGATTGCCTTCAGGACTTCTGATTTCGTCGGGGGGTTTGGTGTTCACTGTTAGCTTTGTCTCCGTCGTTGGTATTGTTGGGTGCGTTGTAGGTGGTGGTCGATTTAGGAGTCTTTTGAAGTGTTCAGCCCAGTGTTTCCTTTGCTCCACTTCTTTGTTGAGTGACTTTCCATTGTCATCCTTCACCGGCCTGATTTGTGTCAAACTTTCGCCCGATAGGTACCTAGTTGTTTGGTAGAGTAAACTGCTCCAATAGCATTATGAAATCTACTAACACACAAGATAAGTGATAAATTATGAACAGCATTTTACTGCTGAAGAGCTGCTAAGCAGGGGAACGCAGCAAACGTGTAACTACACTAAAGCGATTCAGCTTCAAGTTTTATATGGAACATGCATTTATTCTACTTGATAGATATATGTATATATATATATATATATATGTTAATAAGCCTGATTATCTATATCTGACATTAATTTCTCTTATGTGTTTCTTTTATAGATGGGAATAAGCCTATACATGATACTAAGCAAACGCCTATCCATCAGACAAAAATCTGTCCCATAAACTTAGCTGATCTTATTAACAGCTGTCTTACAAATCATAATGAACCAATAAGTCTTATGCAAATTGATTGGTTATTACCATTCCTTCTATTATCATTTGATATGATGCCTAAAAATATGACAAATCAATACGAATGGCCGAAACCGTCAACTATGCCTCGGACTAGTTTACACTTACTTGTGATTAATTGTCTAACTAATTTAGCTCAATTTAATCCATTCATGTTTTTTAAACAATTAAATGGAAATCAGTGTTGTTCAAATGATCAACAATTTAATCTTGAACAGTCGCAATGGCCTACTGCAGGTAATTTTTGTGTATTATTTTATTTTATGAGATACCGTAAGTTGTTTCATGTAGCATACACAGTGGTGCAGTATTACTATTGTTATGGATATTAATTTCATAGTATTATTATTGTTTCCTTGGGTTCCAAGTGGAATAAAGGGCTTCAACAACACATCTACACTTTGTCCTGTTCTTTGCGGTCCTCCTTAGCTGGCTCCACTATTGCCCATAAACTCTCATCTCCTCCCCACATGATCTCGTTCATGTCACCCTCAGATACCTCACCCATCGTCTCCCATGAGGGTTCCACTCGACCGATGGCGTGTCGTGCGACGTCTTTCGGTGTTCTCCTCAGCATGTGTTTGATCCACCTCCATTTTCTTCGGGTTATTTGTTGAGCGATAGTTTATTGATTGGTTCGTTCCCACAGTTTCTTGTTGCTAATTCTTTCTGGCCGGCAGGCCATTTGGTTTTCAATGTAGAACCAGAGAGGTGGGAAGCTGTTGATAAAAGTCTTCAGTGGCCCATTGGAAATGCTTTTCGTGACGCGTGTGTCAAGTTTTTGAACCATATAGAAGAATTGACTGACCTAGCATTGGTTTTGACAATCCGAATCTTGTTGTCTATGCCACGTAGTGCAGGAGATTTCCAAACTGATTTCAGAGTGATGAAGTTGAGTCTTGCCCTTCCGATTTCGGTTTTGTCAACCTCACCCGTGTGCGTCGGTGGCATAGCGGTTAGGATGCTCGCCAACCATGCACATGGTCCGGGGTTCGATCCCCGGCCGATGCACTCCTTTACCTCGCTAAGCCAGAAATAATACTGGTGAAGGGGAAAGGTTAGGCATGATGCTAGCAACCCCATCCTGTAAAATAAACACTGCTACAGAAACTTCAAGCTACAACCTTGGAGCACTATGTTCCACTGGGGAAAGTGAAGGAAAAAAATAAAATAAATAAAATCCTCGCCCGTTTGGCATGCCTGTATTTGAAGAATCAATGCTTCGTAGATAAGCGGAGGAAGTAACCTTCTTCCGTTCATAGTGAATAGTGCTTTTTTGTTGTTGTTGTTGGTTGGTTGGTTGGTTGGTTTATCTTCACCGCTTCTGTCTTCTCTGTGTTCACTTGAAGTTCTGTCTCGGCTGTTTCTTCTGCCAGTTTTCTGGTTTTCGCCTGTTATTCTCCAAGTTTGTGCGACATTATACATAAATCGTCCACGAAATCCAGATCTTCCAGAGTCTTATTTTTACAGTAGTTTTTCAATCTCATGTCAAGAAACAGAAAGAGGAGAATAAGGACTCCCAATATTTCCCCTATAGTATCAAACCTATTTATGGATATTTGGGAACCTGAAACTTTAGATACCCATCAATCTGTTCCCAAATTATGATGGAGATATGTAGGTAACAGATTTACCTTGGCCCTGAAGGACCAATCACATTTAGAGGGCGGTGCGGAAGGTCATTCCGAATCGAAAGCACTCCTGCCTTTATGGATTGGATGTATGAGTTCAATGTAGATTGATTATTTAACTAATGTGTCAATAAGGGGGATTTATTGTAGTCACGAAGACTTACGTGTGTGGACCATAAGGTACTACAACCTTGTGGAAAGCAAATCTTGCTATAGATATAACTCATGGCATAAGAGGAAATCAGTTCTTGAGAGAAGGTGTAGTATTTTACTTATTCCCTAGGTGATTTTTTCTCCAAAGCTTAAGCTGTCTCTGTCAAGTAGTGTACTGTTAATATATCGTTTGATTTTGCAAAGGACTGTGAGGGCAACAGCAGCTGAGATAGAAAGGAGCCTGGTTTCCACAGTATAATGGTTTCAGAATTGTAGAGAGACAGCATAGTGGGAATTAGAGAGGATTATTGCCTACCTAGGTGGAGTAGGGTTAATCGTTCATACTGATGAGACTATCCTCACAAAAAAGAAGTATAGTGGCAGAGCGTGAAGGGCTAATCAAATATGGGTGCTTGGAATATTTGACATTTTACTATGCAAAGGTTTTCTAGAAAGAAGACCCAAGTACCGGAGTATTAGTTCCAATTATTCAGCGCATGTTGATACCAGAAACGACTATACCTACTGACGAATGGAGGGGGATATAACCAACTGTCATCTTTCGGTTATATCCATCATCGTGTCAACCATGGCTCCGATTTCGTGGATTCAATCAGAGCCACCTACACTAATTCTGTCGAAGGATTTTAGGAGAGGTTGACGAAAACAATCGAGAATATCAATCGCCCACAAAGTACCATGATTTACAGCCACATCAATGAATACATGTATCAGGTTTGGTATGGTTTCTCTGCAGATTCTCCTTAGAGGAACTTGGAGACATTCCTACAACACATTAGAAACCCATTATCCAGCTCAATATCAAGTTTGCGACGTTTTTAATACATTTTTAACGATTACGCCACTGTTTTCGTATCTGAACTCTAATTCGTCGTTCAAGGTCGCTCGGGTTTTGGCTATGGTAGTTTAACTTCACCGAAAACGTTAGTTTGAACATGAGCATTAGCTGATCATCAACACATAGTGTTAGGAGACTGAATTCTACCTTCTCTCATTCCATATCTGAATTATTGTCAGACGATTGAAGGCAATCGGCAAGCCACCTAGCATGGTGGACACAATGCATACTTAACTGATAGAATTCAATCTACACGCAACGAGGGACGAGACACTTAACAGTCTTTATTTACTGCCTAGTGTCTTATCAAAGCATCCCATGTCTATGGAGAAAGTATTAGAAAATGCTTAAGCCCTAAACCATAACTTTGATCAGTAATCCGAAAATGTTAACTCAATAAATACTGGATAATTTTCCAATAAGTAATTCTGTGTGATTTATGTGCTACTCCAAATAAGGGAACTGAGCTTGCATTTTGCTGTATACAAGTGCTGAAGTTATACTTTTGTAATTCAAGTATTTTTCATCATTTAATTTGTCTACTTGGGCATCGTTTTGGGTTTTGCAGTATTATTTTAACTAGCCCATGCCTGGCAGTATAAACTCATATTACTGGGTCGTTCGTCAAATACATTCGAGTGTCACTGTGTTTCTTAAATGGTTATTAACCAATAAATGTAAAAAAGCGATAAAAGCAAGTTGGATGCAATAGCGTCTTCCAGTAGGTCACAAGCTGCATACTGTTCTTTAGATTGAACATTATCCATAGAATCACTAAAAATCGAGGAACTTTTGGAAGTGTGTGGGCGGTTGTTACTTCCCGGCTGCCCACACCTTGGAGGTTCATTGATTCTTCGGGTACCTGAAATAGAGAGAGGGTTAGTGTGGCGTGACCGCAGAGCCCAGGAGATAACTTCTTGAGGCCGGTCACACACGGCCTGTATGAACTGGTTTCTTGGATTGGTCCCTTATTAGTAAACTTACCGCCGGTTGCAGACCTCCGTAGGGTAAGTTGGGATGTACAGTTGTTGGTGTCAACTTTTTCTGACGCCCTCTCTCCAGAGTGGAGGGACAGCATATGTGGCATGCTGGTCATCTGAGAGAAACACCTTACTGCTGTTACATCCCTGTCCCCCAGCAGTACGACTTCGCTCACAGACCCCAGCATAGTGCAAAAGAAAATTCTTACACTATGCCAGTAACTGCTTTTAGTCTAATGGTTATCCTAACAACCTTCCTGGCGTGGTAGGACCTGCAGGAACAGTAGTTGCATCCAGTGTAGCTTTTTGGCTCATTGTGATATAGAAGCCCGGTGACCACCACGTCATGGGAGCAGCTATCGGTTGGTGGCACAGTGGTTAGGACTCTTGCCGACCGTGCACGTGGTCAGAGGTTCGATCCCCTGCCGACGCACACCCGATATCTATGATCGGCCTGCAAAATTTGGGCTACCGATATCCATGCTGAGAATTCCATACTTGTACTGAAAATACGGTGTGACATTAAGCTGTAATCAAAATAAATAAATAAAATAAATAATAAAAAATTAAGGAATACTTGTTGCTCCGTATTTTCTAACCCCTTCATCTGCACTCAGACACTATTAAGGGATCAAGTAAAAATTACTGTCACAGTATGAACGGATTGATCCAATACTACGTGATTATTCTTCCCTATTTCTCAAGAACTAATTTTTCTGTGTAATCATTGAATTGTGGTTTCGATCAAGTGTGTCCGATCCGAAAAATGTCTTTTTTACTATGAACATCGTGTTATATTTTCTTTCTGATTATGTTTTAAAATATTTTTATGTATATTTTTTTCGCCTTTCTTTTGTTGATGTTTTTCTCTTGCATAATAAATAGTTGATGTTATTCTCGAATTTCACAACAATAGTACAGATCCACAAGTTCAAGGGCAAATTTGCATACTTATTGGCAATTTGATTGGTGCTAGTTTAGTTTGGCAAAATGTAAATTATGCTGAAACTAACAGCACACTGAATGATGAAGATGCATCGCCTCATAGGTCAGTGCAAAGTAACCTGGAACGTCTTTTCAGTCAACTAGAAGTATATTTAAATCCAAGTGTAAGTTTGAGTTACAGTTTATTCATTGTCGTTTTTCTTTAGAAAAAAATATCCTGCTCCCTAGGAAAGTGATTCGGTTTCCTGTTGTAACAGAAAACGATTAAGCTGTGCGTATAGAGTGATACGGGACCCAATAGGTACCTAAATTGTGAGTCGAGTCTAAGTGGCTGAATGGTCTACGAGCTTTCTTTGTAACTAGAAGGTCTTGACGTAGAAATGTAACGACAGAAGACAAGAGTCAGGCAACATATCGTTTATTGAGAAAATCAACAGATATTCATGGATTCTTATGTACATTATTATTCGTTTTTGTTAGCAGAGAAGTAACGTCTTCTGATTGGTTGTTTTATATCTCTTTCTGGTTTCAGCATAGAACTTTGCAAAGATGTACTGCAGTTCCATTCGCCACACTTCACTCAGCACACAAAGCCAGAGAAGAAAGTAAAAAAACGCAAAATAGAGACAGTAAACACAGTAATTTCGAAGAACAATATAGTTTAATAGGGTATTATAAGTCACAAGGAGTGGATGCATCTGCGCCATCATTGAGAACAAGGATTTTGAACCATATCACCAATTGTCTCTCTCCAGCCTTCATTGGTTTTTACTGTACCGATGACCCCAACCAGTCAGTCAGGCAGTCTACACCTTCCTACATGACTGGCTTAAACTAACTGTTGTGGATTTCACTAACTAATCTGCTGAAGGTTATTCTGTCATCTCTTTGTTGCCGTTTCTTAGACACTCCGGTGATATATTGGCGAATCGTATCCACCCACGCTTATTCTGCTGTGATTGGTTGTTGAGTTCCTCAGAGTTAGGCTTTGTTCTTGTTTTCTCTCCTGACCCCATTTCGGGACGTAAACACTGACGTAAATTGTTGCATACAATTTTGCCTTGCAGACAGCTCTCACTACAGAAATCCAATGCTCGCGTACTGCGGATGAGTCCCAAACTAGGACGAAGCAGCTCTCTAGTACTCCGTGGTAGTTATCAGTGGTTATCTAACGGATATCCTTTCCGTGAACGAACTTGAAACAAAATCGAATCCCTACAAACTCATGAAAAAAAAATACTATCTAATTGAACCAATATACCGTTATTCCGTAAAGATTTCTGTATGCAGCATACCTCAGATTGAAGCAGTTATCATAGTTGAAATGAAAATACATCAAATTCATGACATAATTCACATTGTTTATTTTTTTTCTCAAAGGTTTTTATTCTTCACTCTAACTTGATTGCTGCTAATTTACTTCAGATATATTCACATTTAATACTGATCATAACCCTCCTGAGATGAATACCTAACACTGTTTTGCCTAACTGTTCTTTATTTCCATTTTTTTATTTTAAAAAAATGTGTATTCTAGATTTCTGGTATTGCCTTTCGATGGGCTTTATCAGGATTACGTGCGTGTTCTAGCGCTTTATTATCGTGTTGTACCAGTTGCTCAACATCGTCAGCCTCGCCATCATCGTCATCTTCCGTATTATGCTCAAATGAATTCAATACACCATTTGATAGAAGATTATTACTTTATCGTTTTCTGAAAATATTAACATCATTAATTGTTCATACATCACGTCATTCGTATCGTTTAGTACGACGTGAATTATTAAATCTTATCATTGAACTTGACTGGGCAACTATCAGTTATTTAGAGGAAACATTGAAAATGTGCAATTTTCAAAAGGTTTGTTGTGTATTTTGCGTTGTTAAAAAATATACTGAGGTTTTGTTTTTCGCACTTATTACTATTTATTGCTAATTGAGTTTTTTTATGTTTTTAAAATGTGATGAATAATCAAAATTGTAACTTTGGGTAGGGGTGGGTGAACATTGGTAAGTATCGACAAGGGTTGAGTAATATGATAGAGGATTTTAATGGAGACACATGTTCAAAGAACATTATCCCTCGTGGTTACAAAAACGTAACAGTGGATCAATTCAGAGTACTATAATTGAACATATATTCAACACTGGTTACCCAGTGTGCACGGAGAATTCATTCAAAGTCATCTGTAAAGTCAAAAGAAGTCTCCCGAGAAAGATAAGCTTCCGCATACTTTGCATTGCCTAAGAGGCCTTAGCGATCCGGATAGAAAACCCTGATTTATGTATGCAGAAGAAACTTCTCCATCCCCTCGTTCTACTTTGGATATAATTCCAAGTTCTACGACTTTGTTAATAATGTTTTATTTCTTTTTAAATTTTTATATGGCATCTTAGTAACATCTTAACCAACCCTTTATTTACTTATTTTACTTATTGCATAATTTTCAGATTACGCAACCCTTGTCACTCCCTTAATTAAATGTCTAAGTCAGTCGATCACAAATTTCTTGTCTTGCCTATATATATATGGCAGAGTTAAACAATAGCAACCCAGAAGTGCATATCCACGACTGATCTTCAGATGACCATTTGTTTACAAGAAAAATATAGTTAGGAATAATGGAACACACATTAATCAGGATACTTTTCCTTAACGTATCCCAAAAATACTTCCCAGTTATGGTGCGGAGTATCATTTTTCAAGTTAAACCAGTTTCTATCTATCTATCTATCTATCTATCTATCTAGGCATCAAGGTGGCTAAAGATGACTTCTTTTTGTGAACCATTTGTTACTCGTATCGTGTTTTTATTCAGCTCGCTTCAAAATCTTTCGAAAAAATCGGCTGAATGATTGGTTCTATGATGAATAAAACGCAAATCTGATAACTCATTTTTATCCAGCCCAGTCGAATGCATGAATTGTACTGCCGGGAATTATTAACCTTTGGATAATAGGTGAGAGTCACTGAACTACGATCGGAAATTACTTCCGCAATTCCTTTACGAATTTTAATGTCTTAGATTCCCAACATATACAAATATTATTCGCATTAGGGTAACCGCGATTGTATTTATACTTTATGAAAAACGGTTTCAGAGCCATAGAGAAGGACGGAGCGAACTGCTGAGCAGTACACACGTCCCTTGGTTGGTAGTCGGGACGTGTGTACTGCTCAGTAGTTCGCTCCGTCCTTCTCTATGGCTCTGAAACATGGCCAATACGAGTTGAAAACATGAAAAGGTTGACTGTTTTTGATCATAGATGTCTACGATCTCTTTCTCACGTTAGTCGGCATAAATAGGTAAGTAATGTTGACGTTAGGCGTAGAGTGTTGGACAAAGAGGGAAAATCAATCGAAGAGGCTATAAAGTTACATAGATTGAAATGGCTAGGTCACGTGCTGTGCATGCCTAACCATCGCCTCCCCCGACGGACGGGCATTACTAGCTGATACAGGTGCAGGTTGGAAAAGAGTAAGTGGTGGCCAAACAAAAACATGGCCTCATCAATCCATGAAATCCTTGACAATTAAACTGAGTCAGGTAGGGAGATGCAGACTTCCGGGTTGGGGCCCTCGAGACTCTAAGAATCAATAGCTGGAGACAATGGGTGACATGGCTCAAAATCGTTGTCAATGGCTTACGCAGATGTATTCAGTCTCTGTAATCTTTCATATTCCTTTCTACCATTACTCATTCTGTTTCACTCTTATACTTGTCAAAACTCTATTGATTCTCTTCATCACTCATTTTCTTGTCTACCTTTATGTGCTAATTGTAAAGTGGCAACTCGGACTGCTGCACTTCGGTGCGAAGTTCTATGTTGAATCCAGACAGACAGAGAGAAATCCCATGTAATATGAACAACTAAGTCCTTTTCTATCAAAAGTTACATCATGGTATTTATCGTCCACTATCATATATCTCATATATATATATATATATATATATCACCAACAAGAAACTATGGGAACAAACAAAACAAGAACCAATCGCTCAACAAATATGCAGGAGAAAGTGGAGATGGATTGGACACTCGCTGAGGAGGCCGCTGGGTGACATTGCGCGTCAGGCCATCGCTCGAGTGGAACCTGAATGGAAAGCGGCGATTTGGACGTCCAAGGATGACATGGAGGAGATCGTGTGAAGAGGAGTTGAAACAGTATGGATTAACATGGATGCAGGTGAAAAGTACAGCACAAGACAGAAGCAAGTGGAGACATGTAGTTGAAGCCCTATGTTCCACTAGGAACCCAACGGAACAATAATAATAATCATATATCTCTACAGTGCTGGTACCATTGCACAGTGCATCTCAATGAATTCTCAGTCTCTGCAGCCGTGGATCTCAAATCAGTCTTCAATGCATGATAATGACAAATAGTTTCTATAAATGCATGAATTAAATGTGCAACATGCCATTTCTAACGGTAACTCTTTTCTTACAATCTGTCTACGTCATTAATTATCTATCAATTGCTTCTGAAAAATACTGGATGTACACACAACCTCCGCAAGAGGATTTACAATTATATTCTATCAACCCTATTATCAAAGTGGTATTTAATAACCCGATCTGGATGAAATTTGCACCTCAGCTCGTGCTCAGCGTTTGCAGTAGCGCTATAGAAATGACAGGTCTGCAATCCTAGGAACAGTATGCTTTCAAGTTCGTTGGTGTGTTTGCACTCCTGGGTCGCTATTCTTTAACTTTGCCAGATATATAAAAGTGAAGAGAATTCCTATTCTATTAGTCTTTATCATCTGAATTTGCAATTAGAAGCAAATCTTAAACACAAAAATTCCCATATTAAATAATTATTACTTTTGACTCTGTCAAATCACTTAAAGGTCTGATCAGCGAATATATCGAGCTAACAGAATTAGTGAAGATACTCAGTAGTGTTTGGTCCTATTTGAAAGTGATTTTTGTCGGAGCTTTGTGCTTTGAGCACTTCACCATTTAAAGAAAATAGTCAAAAGGTTTTCTATTCACATTGCATTTGAAGCCAATTTCTTCACGAATCGGTATTATTTAGAGAACCATTGAAAAACGGGGATCATTTGTAAGCTCTTTCTTTCTAATGGAAAGACTATAGCACTTGGTGACGTGAATTCGAATGGTAGATGAGGGGATACTTGTTCCTTCAAGGTTGCAGATATGCCTTGATGACGAGTATCAATAAGCAGGAAGCTTAAGTCAAAGGCTTCGTACTGACTACTTCCAACCACCTAACAATGGTTCGAAAAGTGCACCTTAATAACAGATCTCCTAGATTATTGACCACACTGCAAATTAACTGATGAAAGTCAGTTAGCACCATTATTAATCACACACGTGATACTTTTCTCCTCCGAACGCCCGATCAATGGATTCCCAAACTATTGTGATGTAACAGCTGCTCGGTATATTCACAACACGGTTGTCTATGATTCTCCGACTAATTTCGGTTCATGACGAAATCCTCCTTGAATTCAATCAAATTGCTATAAATCTAACATTATCGATTAACTGTTATCTGTGTAAAATGCAGTAGGAATTTACCATTCAAAAAATTGACCTAATAGTTGAAAATTGACAGCTTCTCTTTTCTGTAGCTTGTGTATGTAAAGGAAGTAAACAAACACGTAGCGTGATATTGTTAATATGTTGATAAACAGATACCTTAAGAGTTGATAGATATTATAGGATGACAATTCATACTTAGTCGGTTTTAATTTGACAACATAAAGTGTGAATACTAATTTACTGATGTTCACAAAAGTTTTGTTTATTTAAAATGCAAAACCTGGTACACTATGACAGTAAGAAGATTCACCACACAGTAATAATGTGAAACAACATACGAGAAGGAAAAAGACAATGAATAAAGAATTTCACCTAGGAAGAAAGCAATTATATTTAACAAGATTAAACGACATTCGTCAAACTGTTGTCAGAAAGGGAAGAAAGTAGGAAATTGCTGCATGTTCGCCATTGATTGCGATTCTTAGCCATATTCGATAACGTTTCAAGCTGTCTGTCGGACGCCAACCAGCGAGTTGTGATGCACCAATTGGTGCTAACCTACCGAAAATATCCTTTATCCCACGATGCCAAGTCATGAACTGACCACTTCTCCGCTTTTTATATCCCGCCCCAGGGTTGGCTTGTAGAGACGGGTACAGAAGCCTTTAGGATGGCATTCGTAGCAAATGTCCAAGCCACCTGATCTGGTGTTTCCAGATGGACGACACTCAATGAATAGTGATCTCCACTGTGTCCAAACACACGCCACTGGTCCTCAGAGTTACTTATACTATGATACCATCGAACACAAGCAATCCCGTGGAGACGGTACATCCTCAGCTTGGAGAGGCCAGATTTCACAGGTGTAGAGCAAGACAGAGCGTACTGAAACATTGTAAACCCGAACTGTAACAGCTAGGCTGATGTTGCGAAGGCTCCAGAAGTGCTTCAAATTGATGTATTCCATCCTAGCCTCCATGATACGGTTGGAAATCTCGTCCGCTTTACCTCCGCCAAGCAGTATGATGTTAAACCTAAATCTAAATGAAAATCACTACTGCCATTCGATAGAAGCCTAAATATCTTTTCTCTATAAATGGAGTTGATACTTGAATTCGACTGTAGTTTGTATTTGTTCTTGAGAAGACTCACATTCACCGGTAATGTTTGTCTCCGCAGAGAACTCAATGACACTAAGATTATCCTCTTGTGAGGAATTGTTCTGTTGTTGCTGTTGTTGTTGCACTTTTATGATTTATTTTTTTTCTTGTATTCAATCAAGTCTGCTTGGTTTGCTGTGAAACCAGTTAGACTGATCGACTTAGCTTGGACAGAATGTTGGCGTATTCTTTGTGATGCTGATCCTGATCTACGTGAACAAGCTTCAGTTGGGCTGATTGCTCTATGTTCTAACCTGACGAGTGGTATTGGTGACTATCTGGGCATTTCTACTGGAGACCTACTGCCAAATCGTGTCAATCGTAGTTTACAGTTTTGGTTTCCTCAATCGTATTCACAAAGTAGTAAGTGAACGAGTGTATTTTTTTGTTACTTCCTTTTTTTTCTACAAAAAAATTCAACATTTCATTGTTGGAATACTTTAAGTTTAAGAAGATTGCTAATTTCGCGTGTGATGGAAGTTTATGCTAATCATTCATTTCAACTTCGAGTCGTTAAGTCTACTGAATTTTTCGGAACAGAGTTATAAATTTTTGTCAAAAGTCTTCCAATGTTTATTATTGTAACGGTAAAAGACAAGGGACTTGGTAAAGGTATCTTATAATTTGGAATTTCATGCATTTGTTCCCCTTGATGAATTTAAATAAAGCAAGAACAACAGTGGTTTGTGCAGAATAATATGGTACCATCATTTATTTCGTCTGCTTCTCATCAGCTGCTTACAGCCTAAATAAATTGTGAGGTTTACGTACAGAAAAGTTTTAACATACTTGCAAATTTTACATGTTGTCAGTTGACAGAAAGTTCCACAATTAGTGAAAAGTGTTCAGAAAATTGTGCTTATATAGTTTTTACACAGGCAGTTCAAGTCAAAATAAATGTATGCATACAATGGTAAAGGAGTTACGTAATAAAGACGAGAGGTGAGTAAGATGATGAGTAACTAATAAATTTGGTAACGATGTACTGAGTTCAAATCGCGTCATAGAAACAAGAGACAAGCAATATTACAGATTATAAAAAAGAGGTGTCAGGTTAAAGACAAAGATTACGTAGTCAGAGTAGAGAATAAAGACATGCAGTTACCATGGCAAGGAAAGACTAACAACTGCTCCTTTCTGAACACATTAATCTGGTTCCAAGCGTTTGATAGAAATTGCTTCGGCAAACTTGAGGAGAATGGAGCTCCTTTGTCTATTGATAATTTTAAAGGATTTCTCGATTTCCACCTCATGACCCGTGTCGAGGAGATGCTTAGTGATGGCACTGTTTAAAGCATTTGTTCCCTTTAGACAGACATCAGCTTTTTGGTACATGTTCAGAAAATCGTAGATATGCCCTACTTTCTGTCCTTCCAATGTAACTGCTCCCGCAGATGCATGTAAATTTGTATATGCAGTTGGAGTTCACATGAGATGGATATCTATCGATTTTTGATTGCACCAAAGAGCTTTGCTGCAGGATAGGCTATAGCTAGTGATGTACTCAGCCTTGGAATTTGGCATCTGTAAACAGCGAAATTATGTACACACCTTATCTCGAAATCACCATTTGCACAGATTTCCCGTGGTGTGCTACTTCTGCCCTTCGTAATGTGTTTCTATTTCTTCTTTTCGTGTCTCTCATGTCTTTGACGTCAAATCTATCTCTCCGCTATTTGATATTTTTGTGCCCGTGAATGTCTCTTTGTATACTACTGATAAATCCTATCAGTAGCACACCCCACATTATAAATAAAAAATAATTTCAGGACCAGAGTACTGTGCTACAGCATATGTGCATTTTTCTTCATTTTTTTCTTATTTGAGACGCTCTTAATTGCTCATCTTTTTATTCAAATAACCAATTCATGTTTATCATCATAACCTAATTGAGTTCACTTGGGTCACTGTCAAAACTCCACTCTAATCACAAACATGTGCCAACAAAATCCTGAGTAACGATTGAGTTCTTATATTTACATCTAAAATTTGCCTTTTAATGGATCCACTACTCAGGGTATAACACATAGACACACATGATTGCAATTAATGTAGCTGTCTCAACCAAAATGTGTTTTAATTAAGGTTTATTGATCAGGTGTATATAGTGTGGTGGTCACTGAGCTAATTGACATAAGATTGTTGTCTCCCTGAGGGGTGAACTGTAATTTGATATTGCTTTCTTATAATACTAAGGAGGGGAAATCAATAGACGAGGCTGTGGAGTGTTACATTGACTGAGATGGTTAGGACATGATTTACGCCTTCCTCGACAGACAATGTTAGCTGACTCTGACATAGGAAAGGTTTGAAAAAAGCTGCTAATGGTGGTCAAACCAAAACATGGCGTCGTCACTTAATGAAATCCACAACAGTTAGTTTAAGCCAGTCACGTAGGAAGGTGTAGACTGCCTGACGGACTGGTTCGGGTCCTTGGTACAGTAAAAACCAATGAAGGCTGGAGACAGACAATTGGTGATATGGCTCAAATTCTTCGTTCTCAATGGCGGGTGCAGATGCAACCACTCCTTGTGATTTAAAATTTTTTCAATGAAACTATATTGTCCTTCGAAATTAGTATTCTTTCTGCCTCATATCTGTGTTTACTGTCTCTATTTTGTATTTCTTTTTACTTTCTTCTCTGGCTTTGTGTGGTGAGTGAAGAGTGGCGACTCAAACTGCTGTACATCGTTGCAAAGTTCTATGTTGAAACCAGTCAGTCAGTCAGGGATTTCACTTGCCTTCTTGTTGTGTTCTTTGAGCTGAATGGTTTAATTGTGGAGCTTCCATTCCTCTTCAGGACAGTATCTTCAGCGCTAGCTTTTCTCCATCGTCTCTTACTTCAAAGTGACTCTAAAGTTTTTCCTATTGTCTTTCGTTGATCCAAATAATCTCTCAACTACATCATAAAATCTTTTAGACTTTATTTCATAATTCTATGGCCAGCTTTATTGTCAGTTTTAATTTCTTGAAAAATATTTACTCCCTGTATACAATTCTCAAGGAGAAATATTCATCGACAGAATTGCACTGTGGTAGATTGGAAGTCAATTTAAAATTTGCGTGGCTTTACGCTGTGGTTCAAATACATAAGTGAATGTTTAGAATAACAAGAAACGGTGAGAATCAGATGCATTATGCTGGATGAGAACCACTGTCGTCAACCCACTAAGTTAAGCAGACTGTCATGGAACTGTATTATGTAATGCTGTTTCAAGGTTGCTTTCGTTGAACCTGAACTTCCTTTTAACACTGCCTATTTTAACCCAATTCTTTAGAGTTAATTTCATTCGGAGATCATTGTAACAGCAGAATCCAAGACACGGAAGCCAAGGTATATCTTCAAGTGATCAAACCGCTATATAAATATATATATATATATATATATATATATATATAGTTTTATATTCTTTAACCAATCACTGAGCGTGTGATTTTGGTTTACATCAAACGACATGAAATAGAATGATTTTGATATGGTTGTGTTCACTGAGCTGGATAGTTAATTTGCGAAGCTTCCATCGCCTTACTAGGCGACATCTTCAGCGCATACTCCAATTTGAAGTGAGCTTTCAGATTTCTCCACGAGTTTATTGATCATCTCTCCTGGTGACCTTGGACTTGATTGGTTGCTTTTGTGTGTTTTCACACCCTCTAGGTTATTTGTATTGTAATTCATTGTTTCTATGACTTGAACTTTGACCCTTTGTGTATGAGGTTTCTTTCTTATCGGTTGACTTCACTTAATTCTATGTCAACCAAAAGACTCAACAGCGAAGGAAGACAAAACCAACATCATCTACAAAATAGATTGTATCAACTGTGAAAAACACTACATTGGCCAAAGGGGACGTCCCCTTCGTCTTCGTATCCACGAACATAAGCTAGCTGTCAAAGGACATGACATCCACTCCCTCATATCGCCTCACTACATACAGACAACCACCAACATCAATTCGACTGGGACAACCAACGTTCAAATATTACACAGTGGAAACACCAAGAATGCTAGAGAATTTGTAGAAGCTTGGCATTCCAGTGAATCATCAATCAATAGACACATCGAGATAGACAAAATTTATCAACCGATAAGAAAGAAACCTCACACACAAAGGGTCAAAGTTCAAGTCAAAGAAACAATGAATTACAATACAAATAACCTAGAAGGTGGGAGAACACACAAAAGCAACCAATCAAGTCCAAGGTCACCAGGAGAGATGATCAATAAACTCGTGGAGAAATCTGAAAGCTCACTTCAAATTGGAGTATGCGCTGAAGATGTCGCCTAGTAAGGCGATGGAAGCTTCGCAAATTAACTATCCAGCTCAGTGAACACAACCATATCAAAGTCATCCACCTGAGCTACAAATCTTCTCTATCATATCTATGAAATAGAATGTTCAAATACATATATAGTATCCTAATGCTAATGCAGTATTGAACTGTAGGAATATATATGAGAATAATATTCCGTTGGAATACACTGTCTTTATCACACCACCACACCATAACTGTCATAACAAGTATTCTAAGGAGATCATAGGAAATAATCATGGGGAAGCAATTTTTGCACAGAATAAGTTTTTGTTTTCGTTTTAATGTATCTCTCCATTTTTTCTTCTTCTTCATAGAATTAGGTGTTTCGTGTTTTGGATTAGTTGGTTGCTTGGGTGCTTACAGTTTACCTCCGTGTTTGTCAACTCTACCAATGGAAATGGATGTTGGACCTGTTGGACAACAGTTTTATCAATCAAAAATATCTCAATTGTTACATTTAGAAGGAAATAATAATAATAATAATAATAATAATAATAATAATAGAACACCTAAACAGATGAACTGTTTTCATTCAAATAGTACTGGAGCTATACGTCTTTTTCGGAACTGTTTAACGGCTTTAATGGAATTACCGTGTTCCAGTGTCCTACCGGAAGATCGTTATATGCTGGTAAACACATTCACATTATCTTTCTTCATTATTCTCTTTTTGATATGATATGTTTATGAGTTTGTTGGCTTTTGTGTGTATTATATGGCGAAGTGAATTCTATATAAGACGTTATTTCTTAAGGAGATAAGTGTGTTGTAGAATCGACGACGACTTGACTTTCAATGTTTGTTTAGTTTTCCTACGTTGTTGTATCTCAGTTCAGTGGTTGAACGTTTTGTTTAAAAATATTATTTAAATATAAATTTTGTACAGTGAGGGCACCAAGAAACATGCTTAGAAAATAACCGAACAATAGAATGTGGCAGGTAATACACGTTGATGCTGATCTACATAGACTCCTAATTTAAAGAACGAGTATGAAGTTGTCAAATAAGTTGAGTGTCACAGTAGGCTTGTTAAGCAGTCGCTAAAAAGTACTTTGTTCTCCATACAGACAAGATATTTCGATTCCCATCAGAGGTTGCATAATGTGCGGTAGATATCTGTTCCCTAATTAACGGCTGTTAGAAGTGGGCGAGTGCCTGCAGACTCCATCTGCCCGTAAATCGAAGTGGGTTTCTGGCTGAGTCCTCGGTCTGAACTGCGGTTATCCATATCTGCAAAGTTGCCTCGCTTATATGGACCTAGGTATCATTTTTCATTTCTTTCGGACTGATTAAGTTTGTTCTTCTGGCTCGAACGATAATCATACACTGGACTGTACTCGTGGGGTTTTGGTGATCAGTCATAAATTAACCACGGACAAACTCACACGTCTGGTTCTTTAGTCCAACTGGCCAGTGCCGATGCAAGGGGTGGCTCTTCAACTTCTTATGGAGATCCAACGAAAGCTCTGGGTCATCTTTGGTTATTATTATCTTGGAAAATGGTTGGCGTGGGCCTTTGATGATATGGTGTACCTAACGTGGCTTTGCATTAGGGTACGTGAGTCTGCCAACCAAGTTAGATACGGCTCTATATGTTGGTGGGATGTGGATTGGTAATCGGGATCTGGTTTCCTAAGGAACGAACGTTAGCTTGTCTCCAGTTCGCATGAGTGTTAGTTCATGTGTATTGTTTTTGGCTAACTGGGTTTGCTCCAGGATGTTTTTTTTAATTAAAATTAAAAGGTTTTCATAGGCAAGTCTAAGTGGTATCTACTGACTATCCTGGTTAGGACCATATACCGGCACACAAATGACCCACCCCCAACGCAACTACCGATGTTATGTTGTCGTTGCTACGGGCTGTTTTAAAAGTCCAATAAAAGTTGGGAAAAGACTGAAACGTTTTGACTGATCATCGGCAGTGAAACTCCGCAATAAGCATTGTCTTGTTAGGTAAAGCAGGCAAATTAAACTATTAGATCGTGAGTATTCCTCTAAATTATTTGCTCAGCTTTATGGTAGACGTGCTGAGTGAAAGCCATTCTCAACAAGTAATGTCAGTCAAAGTAGCGATAGGTTAGTAAAAGTTAAGCGTGATCTGCCAAAAATATTACAACAATCCGTTAATTTGTGACTATTGGTTATAACTGCATTATATTATTCCGGTACTCATTATTATTATATTATTATTGTTCCCTTGGGTTCCTAGTGGAACATAGGGCTTCAACTACACGTTTCCACTTGTTTCTGTCTTCTGTTGTACTTTTCACCTGCGTCCATGTTAATCCATACTGTTTCAACTCCTCTTCACACGATCTCCTCCATGTCATCCTTGGACGTCCAAATCGCCGCTTTCCATTCAGGTTCCACTCGAGCGATGGCCTGACGCGCAATGTCACCCAGCGGCCTCCTCAGCGAGTGTCCAATCCATCTCCACTTTCTCCTGCATATTTGTTGAGCGATTGGTTCTTGTTTTGTTTGTTCCCATAGTTTGTTGTTGGTGATTCTTTCCGGCCATCTGATCTTGAGTATAGAGCGAAGACAGTTATTGGTAAAGGTCTGCAACAGGCTGTTGGAAATATTCTTGGTGACCCGCCGCCACATTTCTGATCCGCATAGAAGAGCTGAATTGACGTTTGTATTGAAAATCCGAATTATGTTGTTGATGCTAGAAGCCGGTACTCATTGGTTGGTGATATATGGCTCTTCCATGTGTTGTAGATCATGGAACTTGCTTGTGTCGGTAATAAGTAGTTCATAACGATATTAATTGACGTCATTCAAAGTATTGAGTTGACAATGACCTCTTTAATAAGGTTAATCATCTTGATTACTGAATTCCAGCGTAACGCGTTCAATGCACAGACAACCACAGCTGTTTCAGTTATCGACAATCAGTGGATTTATACAGAGATGCTGGTAACTAGAGTCAATTCCTTGTATAATACTTTATTTAATAAAAATCATGGAAACTTGGCATTACATCATATTAAAAATGTGCGCGAAAAAATAGTTTTGTTGAATCGCTTTTTTGATCGGTGGTTACCTATGAATGTGATGTCTTGTTATATATGTAAACCTAAAGCGTCGCACACATTCAGTGTGATTGTTGGATGTCTTGAACAGTTTTTATTACTAGTCGACGTCAATTTGGAAATCATTGAAAAAAATCCAACAATGTACATTCACGACTGAACGAAAATCTGTTAAAAGAATGAACACCGAACAAAGAGTACTCTTTTCGATAAATTCATCATCAGGCTCTACAATTATATGTACATTATAATGAATGAATGAATTAGCGTTATTAACAACGTGAATGTTGTTTAAATAACATCGAATCAATAATGTCAGCAGATTACAGTTCAACAGCATCAACATAACAATAAAGTGAATGTCAGAAAAATTAGGAAAGATAATAGATTTTGTTTGTCCTTTACTTAACCACTTCGCAGGATGATGTTCGGAAATCCGAGAAAAGAAACACGCTTAATTGTACGGTCTATGTAACTTGCTTCACAGGAGCAGTTAAATTATTATTATTATGATAATTTAAGCATTTTTAATGGACTGAGTAAATATCATATCATCAGATTTAACTAGTTAATAATCCATCCTCGAATTTCTTCTTATATCTTCGTACTTTTTTTCCCCTCTCAACTGGTTGATAAACCTTTAAATTTTCTAGCTTGGTGTCGTTAGTTGCTTAAATCAATTGATTGGATTCTCTCATTTGCTGAGTTATTCTGATATATGGTTCGATTCATCATCATCATCGTCATCATCTGATTCCAAGCCGTTAAGTGGTGACCAAATGGAGGAGCATTCTGTGCAATCTTCACAACGTAGATCACGTCTTTCGCTTTTATCTTGGCATTGTCTGACTCTGTTATCATCAATACCCATAACATCAACCGATATAGAGCTTCAATTGTCATTGTTACATCTATGCACTGGTTGTGTAATACGTGAGTGTTTGATACAAACTGTGTAATCACATTGATTTTATTAATTAATTTATATGCCTTAAAAAATCACCTGATGTGTTTAGCGGTTGTGCCTGCACTCAATTAGAACTGAGTTATACGAACCGAAATTTTCATCCATTAGGGTAGAAAGGGGCTGATGACACAGCAGTTAGTCGCCTAGATGCGCGCCCCACAAACCGAAAATTGACTGTGTAAGTGAATGTCAATCACAAAAGACAATAATTACTACTCTGAAGATATTGAATAAATAGTGTTCAAGTATCATTCAGTTATATTCAACGTTTTTTATTGTCTAGAAACATACAACTCTATATTTCTTACAGTTCTCTGGTGGATACCTCAACTACAAGCGGAACTGACGAGGATATCAAAGCAAGAATCGGAAAAGCAAGACAAGCTTTCACTACTCTCAAGTCTGTGTGGAGGTCAACAGCACTACTCAACATGAAAAATAAGATCCGGATTTTCAACTCCAATGTGAAGTCAGTGCTACTATACGGATCAGAGACTTGGCGCATCATAAAGAGTATCTCAAACAAACTACTGACCTTCATTAACAGTTGTCTTCGCTCAATACTCAAGATAAGATGGCCGGCCGGAAAAGATCAGCAACAGGGATGGGTCTCTGGCAATGAGCGAACCAACACAGCAGGAACCGATGGTGAAACAAATGTGCAGGAAGAAATGGAGATGGATTAGCTGGTCATACTCTGAGGGAACAAATCATCAAGTGACATCACTAGACAAGCCATCGGTCGAGTGGAACCCGAAAGGGAAGCGGCGAGTTGGTCGTCAGTGCGAAGGTGGGGTGAGTTGGAGGAGGTGATGTGAAGAGGATATGAAAACGTGTGGACAGACTTGGAGCCAGGTGATGACTCTAGCAGAGAACCGAAGGCAATGGAGACGCATGGCTGAAGCCCTATGTTCCTCTAGGAAATAAAGGATACAATAAAAAGTTATGATATTAGGTGTCGACTTCAACTTGGATTGAGTGGGAACTCCTTCTAGTGACACTAAGTATATGTCTCATTCTATGTGAATAGCTAATTAAATTTAGGCTGTCTGCTTTTTGGCACCTAGCCCATTGCCTAAGTGGTATTATATAGGTCAAAAATGTTAATAATCTTGAGCTTTCTAAGTTCACCTTGATAAATCAGACAGCACAGAATAGTATTAAACTACTTCAATGCATGTCTTCTTCATTGTTATCATTGATCGTGTGGTTAAAAGCAATGCATTAGTAAGACTGCAACTGTAGAAGACAAGAAACTTGTTAAAGGAATCTTATTTAAATTTGGAATTCGGTATCTCTATATAACGAAATTATGTACACACCTTATCTCCAAATCATCATTCTCACAGATCTCCCCTGGTGTGTGCTACTTCTACCCTTCGTAATGTGTTTCTTTGTCTTCTTTTCGTGTCTTTCATGTTTTACCTCAAGGCTGGGTCAATTTCTCTTTTTGAGCTGAAATTTATCACACTGCCATTTGATATTTTTGTTCCGATGAAATTCTCTAAATATTATATCATGTTATCATTCCCTTGGGTTCCGAGTGGAATATTGGGTTTCAACAACACATCTCCACTTTGTTCTATTTTCTGCTATCCTCTTCTGCTGGCTAGCCACACGATTGCCCATAATCTCTCATCTCCTCCCCATTATACGATCTCCTTCATGTTACTTTCGGATGCACCACTCGTCGTTCCCCATTCGGGTGCCACTCGAGTGATGGTCTGGCACGTGTTGTCATTCGACGGTCTCCTTAGTAATGTATGCCAGATCCATCTCCATTTTCTCCTACATATTTGTTGAGCGATCACCTCTTAGTTGGTTTATTCCTAGAGTTTCTTGTTACTAATTCTTTCTGGCCCGCCATTTGATCTTCAGTATGAAGCCAGTGTAGACAGCTGTTGATAAAAGTCTGTAACTTGTTGGAAACCCTTTTCGTGACGCGTTGGTCAAGTTTCTGACCCGCATAGAAGAACTGACTAACTTAACTCTCGTGTTGAAAATCCGAATATTGTTGTTTATGTTGCGGTGTGCAAAAGATTTCCAAGCTGGTTTCAGGTTGATGAAGATGTATCTTGCCTCTCCGATTCTCGCCAGCTATGACATCTTCATCAGTACTGTCGCCTGTGGTTGAAACCGTACTTCCGAGATAGATGAAGTAAGTAACCTCTGTCAAATCTCTCCCGTTGGTGGTGATTGGTGCTGGTTGTTGTTACTGTTGCTTTTGGTTGGTTGGTTAGTTATCTTCATCACCTCCGTCTTCTCTGTGTTCATCTGGAGTCCTGTCTTCTCTGGCTGCTTCTTCAGCCAGTTTGTTGGTTGTTGCCTGTAAGTCTTCGAGTTTGTGCAACATTAGGCATAAATCATGCACGCGCAAAATCCTGATGTTCTAGAGACTTCTTATCGGTGGTCCAGCGTATTTCTTTCTTCTCACTTTCAACGCACAGTTTGACGCACAATCCAGTCCACTACAATTAAGAATATCATCGTTAGATATAATAGTCAGGCAACCTTGTCTTACTCCCGTCCTTACTTCGAACACCTCTCTGAGTTTTCCGTTGTGGATCACCTGTCACGTGCCACTGCCACAGAGCCGTTGAATGAGGTTAACAAAGACTTGCGGTACGCCGTTGTGTTGAAGTAGTTACCAAATTACCTCTCGGTCAACGCTGTCTATCGGAGTCTTTTTCGAATTGGATGAAATTGAGGCAGGGAGAGATTTGACTGCCATTCTATGCTTTGTTCTGTGATGACAGTGCGTGGAGTTGCAATGTGATCAGCACATGATTTGCATTTCCTGAATCCAGCTTGTTCTGGTCAGTGGGGCGGATTTCTGTATCCAGCGCATCCTTTATTCTTTCTAGGATGCTGTTACTTAGTATTTTACTTGGCGTAGAGAAGAGCGTTATTCCACGTCAGTTCTTGCACAGTGAGGCGTAAGTCGCCCTTCTTTGGCAGCTTGACAAGGTAGCCTTTCTTCCAGTCTGTGGGTACCTTTCCTTCCTTTGCGGTGAGAGCTGTCTACTAGCCAAATTGGTAGACAGTAATTTACGTCAATATTTACGTTCCCAAGATTTGTCGTGAGAAAATGTGAACAAAGAATGACTTTGCGTAGGCGGATGCAGTTAACATATAGACGATTTGACATTCAAGAAACAGTCACAAATAGATGAAAGATTAACTTTACGTGAGAAACAACCAATCGGAAGAATGTGTTTGTTTACTTAAATATCCATAGTAATGTACATGAAAATATATAAATATGCGTTGATTTCCTTAATAAATGATCTGTTGCCTGACTCTTGCCTTCTGTCGCGTTACACCTTTCCAACCTTTTGTAATAATGGCGTGGGCACATCTGAGGCAGTCTCTGGGTCCATTTTCAGTGCTTCGGGGATGATTCCATCTGGTCGTGATGCCTTCCCGGTCGGCGTTCAGTAGCTCGATAGCATTCAAAATTTCTGCCTTCGTCGGAGGATTGGTTTCCATTGGCAGGCAGTTCTGTTCGTGCTGTTGGTGGTGGTGGTATTTCTGGGCGAGTTGCAGGTGATAGTCGATTCAAGAGTCCTTTGAAGTGATCAGCCCATTGTTTTAATTATTTCTCCTCCATAACACTCAGATCCCCTTGAAAATGTTTTTATTGTTTTCATCATGTGTTGATCTCTTCCCGGATAACTAGCAGCCTGGTTATCTGATATAATGTCCTTAGGTTTTTTTTACCTGCAACCTGCCTGCATGTTCTGCTTCAGTTGCAGGCCAGTGTGTCGTAGAGTTGTCTTTTGTCCTTCCTAGCACTTTTATTCACTTCTTTCTTTATTCAGTGCAGTATACATTGCTGTGAACTCAGATTCTCTTTCTGTTCTCCATCTCTGCCTTGAGTAGTCATCTTCTCTTTCACCATCCTCCTCTCCTCACTTCTATTAGCTTCCAGGTAGGTGTCCGTAAAGAGTCATTCCTTGTCTTTTCTCTTCTTCCAATGTTCTTCCACGCAAGTTTCCTGAGTGGTGCCACGTAGTGTCTCAGACTTCGCTCTGATCTGATTTGCAGTGAAGGCATCCCTCGCAGTTTTATCCTTCAGTTTCTGAACTTGAATTACAATGGTCCATTTCCAGTTGTTTTGAAGGATTTCAGCTTAACCTTGAAGGTTCCTTGAACTAGATGATGGTCTGAGCCACATCTTCTCCTCTCCTCGACTTTGTGTCTAGAAGGACAGCTGCCTCTCCACTTCTTTTAGCAGCATTGAGATGAAGTCTATCTGGTTTGTGGTGTGTCTGTCAGGCGAAATCCATGTTGCTTTATGTATATCCTTGTGCTTGTACATGCTGCTTCCGATCACCAAATCGTTGAAAGCGCAGAATTCTGTGCATTACTGTTTGTAGTTATCGATAAAACCCTTCCTTCTTGTCTTGTTTCACGTTGTTTGTAGCACTGCATGATAATTGTGACCTTCCTTCCTTTTGAGTTGAATCTTGCTGTCATTATCCTGCAGTAGGAGATCGGTCCCCACTGCATTAGGGCTCTGGCTGCCACTGGCGACATCATGATATCCACTCGCTGCCTCAGTGTGCTCGTGGTTTTCATCTGAGTGACCAGACCGGAGTAGATTACTGACTCTCCAGTTGACCATTTTGATAATCCACATCCATTTCGTATGCTCTCACATATACCCAACACTTCTATGCTGTATCTTCCGGTTTGTTTGGCTGCTTGGGTAGCCATCCCACCAGTCTTGTACATTGTTATGGCATTCTACATCCTCATTCTTATTCTTGCTTTCATCGATAGAAGACGCATCGGTTGGCTGACTGGCTTTCCGAAGTCTTTTACCAGTCTGCTGTGTCATTTCGCCTTCCTGATTCCAGGAAAGAATAAGTTTGCTTTTCATATATTTTGTATTTTTAATATATTTTTTGCCCATAGATGTTTCTCTAGCAGTTTGATAGCTTTTGTGGTTAGGGTTGCTAGCCCCATACCCAACCCTCCTTCTTTACACGGGCCTGGGACCGGCTGAAAAACTAGCAAGCTAGTCTCTTTATACACTACTGACAAATCTTATCAGTAACACACACATACCACAAAACTACCTTGAATTATCTTTTTTGCCTCTTAGAAATTATTCCGTCTATATATAAATTTGTATAGAATATTCATATAGTCAATCATCTTATCTTATATAGGTTGGTCTATTTTTACATTATTGGATAAATCTGCAAGAAAACATGATATCAACACTACAGACAACAGCAATGAGTCAGATGTGTCGAATTATCAAAAACCATTCACTCGATTCGCTTTAGCCTATATGCAACACTTGATGAGGTTAGATATATACATGATATCGTGTTTTGTTTTTTTCCTTTTTATGCATTTTCATTGGATTATTACTTAGATTTTGCTTTCTTTGCCACATTCATTAATCGTATAATATTATTAATGTAACTATATGGTTGTTGTGATTAAAATATAAACAAATTAATACTATGATAGGATTCGAACCAGTGATTCTATTTATCTCTTTCTTATGTCAGATCTTAAATTGGTATTTGCATAATCCTTAGGTAGAAGTTTTGCGTTTTTTTTACCACAAATAAGAATAGTTTGTTTTTATCTAAATGGCAATAAATGAACACTAGTCAAAACTCTTTTCAACAGAGCCGGAAGAAATATGCTCTACAAAGAAATTAAATGAAGAATTTCTGATTCTTGAAAAAAAGATGTTGAAAAACATTGGTCAACTGTCAGACATTCCATTAACTAGATTAACGGAAAGATGTAAAGGCTCAAATGCTCAAATAAATTATATTGGAAAAGAAACTTTCCTTCATTCAACTTGATTTTAAAAGTGATCGTATTCTAAGAATAGTCAGTAGGTCGGGAGTGAGGCATTGGCTAGCGGTCGCGCTATGTCGTGAATTAGCAGAAGTTAGAATTCATGAACTGGCCATTGGATCAGGTCCCAGTGGCTTAATGGTCTACGAGCTCGCCTTGTAACCAGAAGGTCCTGGGTTCGTACTGCTGAAGAGTCCCAAACTAGGCTGACGAAACATCTGTCCAGTACTCCCAGGTTTTCCAATGGTTCTCTAACTAATGTCAGCTCATAATGAAAATCCTGTAATAGTCAGCTAAGTTAGTTCCTATTTATCGGAAAATATCCTGTTTAGTGCAATCAAAAGTTCACAGATACCTTTCCTCCTAATAAATCTTACGGTGTATACAAATTTATGCGTATCTGAGGTAGAAGTTGCATTGGGAGAACAGCAAGAAGAGCACACCTCCAATTTTCTAAACATGTACGAAAAAGCCTACCTCTCGAAAGAAATAAACGCGTTCGACAGTGCTGCCATTAATAATAATAATAATTTGCTTTATTCCAAAACAGTACATGTGATACAGAATGGAATTCTTAGCATTTTTACTACAGTATTGCATCCAGTTAGTACATTATCAATAAATAGAATTCTACATAGATTGAGGAAATCACAGTTCATTATTACAACAACACATTGGCATATCGGTAGCAAAGGAAAGCTGAAACAGTGTTTGAAGGTGTTAGAAAAGTAGGAGCTGTCATATTTACTGGCGTAAGCGGGAGAAAGAAACAACCAGCACTCAACGGAAAAAAGAAAAAAAGAGAGAGAAAAGGAAAAGAAAGAAAATGTTGTACCTATAAATGATATGAGTTGGAAAGACGAGGTCCAGTTGTACTACTGACTATTTAATGAATTATAGGTATCACGCCTAATGCTTTCTTTATCACACAGAACACGAGCTAAGTAGGGTGTGGTTGAGTTTTTGTACTTGCTGGTGCGAGCATATAGTTTTCTATATAGGCTTCTGGTTTTACCTGATGAGATGCAATGGGAGAGTTGTGAGTGAAGAGGTTGGTGTGAGTTAGATAAAATGGATTTGGCCCATTTTTCACATGAGTCCATGTGCCTGTGGACCAGAATATTAACAAGCTGGCTAAGTGGCACGTTGCTTGCCTTGTTGACAACGTTTAACATCCTGCGTAATATGTTATCAAGCATGTCGTTGATACGGGTCATGAGGTGGACAGCATGAAATGCTTTCCGCACGACAACACAGTTCGATTCTGCTCTAGTTTAATGTAGCAATCTCTTTACAATACTTTGACCTCATCTATGTTTTCATAAAGAAGGGGTTATCAGTCTCTCCCTGAATGTCTTTACTCCTTCTTTTTTATTTTGGTCGTATAATCTTTGTCTTTAACCTTTTTCCTTTCATTGTTATGTAATCTTACTTGTCTTTTGTTTCTGTGATTTGAGTTCATGAAAAATTCCCATCCGAACATTAATAGAGCGAAGACCAGTAGTTCAGTGGACAGTCTCTTTTCGGCGAATTCATTTTCTAAGCTTTACAATCGCATATATATATATATATATATATATATATATGGGTTATTTTGTATGCATGTGTACATTAAATTTGTCAAACTAAAATACAATTGATTATGATTATTTTAACTAAACAGGTGAGAATTAGTAAATTTTGGGTGGAGTTAAGCAATACGAAAAGTATTCAGAGGAATCGGATGTTGATATAAGAAGGTAGTAACAAAAGTGATGAATTGTCACAAACGATTGTTAAAGAAAAGTTACGTAATAACATGAGTAGTTCGGTGTAAGAGTTGTGCTCAGGGTGAACATGGAAACAGAATAAAATACGGAATTACGTAAGAGTTTTAAGGGAATACAAAAGTTTTAAGTAGTTAGGAAAAACAAGCAAAAGTTAAGTCAGATCAACCGAGTTTTTATCATGACAGTAGAAGTGGCTGAATAATTTTATTTTGTATGCATAGTTCTGGTTCTTCCAGATGAATGGCTAAAGCTTCTACAATGCAAAGAAGACGGAAACGTATTGTCTTTGGCAGGTTGTTCTTCACTTTGTAGATTACTTTGAAGGAGGCGTTTGTTGAGATGGAATGACCAGTGGTGACGAGATGTTCGATTATTGCACTCCTTATACGGCCACTACTTCCTTTCTGCAGCCACGCTGGATAGTGTTCTTTGACCCTTTTTGATAGGATGCGCGTCGAACGACCGATGTACCTGGCTGGCTCCACAGTAACAGGTGAACTGATATATACACATAGAAGTGGTCAGGTGAGAGATCTTTTCCTTTGGGCTTCTGCAGATCAGCGGGTGACTGTAGAACACTACTCTCAGTGTTGCCGCGAAGAAAGTCCTTCTCAAAGAAGTGGAAATTCTCCTTTTAAGGATATCACTGATTCTCACCTGTTTAGTTAACATAACCATAATCAATTGTATTTTTGTTTGACAAACTTTTTGTACACATACATACAAAATAACCCACATATATTTGCGATGATACGGCTTAGAAAATGAATTCGCCGAAAAGACACTCTTCTCTGAACTACTGGTCTTCTCTATGATTTAAGTTAAACTAACGACGTTATTAGTCAACTTACAATCTACCCGTCAGCTTATTCACCTCTTGTCTTTATTAAGCAACTCCTTTTCCATTGTATCCAAGCATTTGTTTTTTTTTAAAATTTAAACTGAAACCTCCTGTGTATAAGCTATATGAGTGCGATTTCTGAGCATTGTTTGATACATTTGGAGCCCCTTATCGACTGACATCACTTTACATTTTCATGTACATTAAAGTTACTCTGTATTTAAACTTGATTGATTTTTGCAGCCTGTTCACAACCGATGAGAAGCTGACGAAATAAACGATGGTACCAGCTTATTCTGCACAAGCTATGGTTTTTGATTTATTCAAATTAATAAAGGAGGGGGCAATAAGTATATGAAATAGTAAAGAATTATTATAGCGAAAATATTCATACAGATATCTATAAAAAAGCAAAATAATTGAGCAAACAATATCCTTCCTCGATAATTTCCTTTTCTGCCTCTACAATTGCATAAATGCTTATGTACATAGAATAGTCTAGAATAGTTATCATTCACAATATTGGTGTTTTTAAATACATCAGCGCGATACTAACACAACACCTTAGGAATGCGGTAAAAACAGCATTGTCTGCTACTGAATTACGGGGTGTCTTCTAAACTGACCCTATTCTGCGTTCGGGAGTAAAAGACAAAGTGCCTAATTTCACCTCTTCCATGTGTGTCCACCAACTTAACTGCTCCTGTGGAACAAGTTACATAGGCCGTACAATTAGGCGTGTTTCTCGTCTCGGATTTACGAGCATCATCCTGCATAGTCGTTAAGTAAAGGACAAACAAAATCCATTCACATAGCGCTATTCGATCTCATCTTGTGGATGATCCAGAACACAAAATTGATATTAACGAGGCAACTTTCAAAGTCATCTACCGCATACCAACGAATCTTAACGTCGCCTTAAGAGTTCGTCTACTACATATTGGTGAGACTGGCCATTGGGGGAGCTACATTAAGAAACCTAATTTGTGTGTCCAAAAGAAGCTAGTTCAGACATTGTCCTTATCTTGGCCATCAAGATTCCAATGACCCTCAATTTTTTGTAGAAATATCCTTAATTTTATTTGATATTCTATTTCCTATTACATTTTATGCATCTTTAATGAAATGTAACTCCATTGATCCTACTTAACGAATCGATAATACCTAAAAACACCAATACTGTTAATCACGACTCTTCTAGAATATTCTTTGTATATAAACATATGCGTATAAAATTGTAGAGCCAGAAGAGGAAATTATCGAAAAAGATATTCTTTGATCAATTATTTTGTTTTCTAAAGAAATATTAGTTAAAGTAAAAACCATCATCGACTAGCGTCTCTTCCTTGTTATCACTTGCTGAATGAATAAGAGCCTTACATAAATCTCTGTACTCGGTAATAGTATGATTGTACCATTAAAGGGGTCTATATAACCGGTTTTCTGATACTTTAAATATGTACATATACATATATATATTTCTTTGATTTCAGGGTTTGTTGTGTAATGTGGCATGTTTTTGAAGGCATCCCTCTACCTCAAAACAATCAATCAGACTCAGTTATATCCAAGATGCCTATTGGTTCAATGTATTCTGGTATATCAGAGTCTTTTATGCATACAGTAGCGAATATAGCTCAAACAAGTACTAACTTCTCCCTGAATAAAAACAATCAAGACTCAGTAAGTGGATCAAATACTCTTGGCAACAGTGGTAATACTGATTCATCAATCAATAAAAAACGCAATTATGGTACTAAATTAGGCGGTTCATTGAGAAGACATTTATCAGGTAAAGCAAATTTATTGTATATTTATTATTATTATTATTATACTATTCTTATTATGATACTTTTATTATTATTATTATATCATTTAGTTCTTAGAGGAACATAAAGCTTCAGCCACACGTCTCCATTGCCTTTGGTTTTCTGCCAAAGTTTTCACCTGGTTCCACCTCTCCTCACATGCTTTCACCTCCTCTCCACATGACTCTCCATGTCACCCTGGAACTGACGACCAACTAACTCGCCGCTTCCTATTCGCCTTCCACTCGAGTGATGGCCTGCATTGCGTGCAATGTTACTCACTTGATGGTTTGTTTTCTTAGAATATGGCCAATCCACTTCCATTTCTTCCTACATATTTCTTGCACAGTCGGTTCCTGGTTGGTTGGTTCGTTCGTTCCCAGAGATCCTTCCCTGTTGCTGATCTTTTCTCGCCGGCCATCTGATCTTGAGTGAAGTATTGAGCGAAGACAACTGTTGATGAAGGTCCGTAGTATGTTTGAGGTGCTCTTCTTCATAACTCGCCAAGTCTCTGATCGGTGTAGTAAGTATAGCACTGACTTCACATTGGAGTTGGAAATCCGGGTCTTATTTTTCATGCTGAGCAGTGCTGTTGACCTCCACACAGACTTGAGAGTTATAAATTATTTATTTTATTATTATTATTAATTATTTTACTTATTTATTTTTGTTGTTGTTGTGGTTGGTGGCGGCGGTGTTTTCCATTATAACTCAACATAGTCAACCGATATCATTTTGTTAGGTCTCAGGATTCTAATGACATACATCATGAAATGCGAATTAAAATTGCTTGAGGCCTCAAAGCAGTAAAACAGGCATGTGGTGTTTTTTCTTTGTATCTATGTTTGAATATCAACTACTAATTAGTCTGTCTGAAAGATTTCCAACCACTTATAAATCAGTAGTCCATATTGTGTATTATTGCTTACGCCTTCTGTTTTAATGTCATTTACTGGAAGAATGATTGGATAGTGAAGAAAACAACAAAAGTTTGATGGGGTTTTTTTTCCCAAGCACTAGTCTTTCTTTTTATCGATCTCTCTTGGCTAGATGTAGACCTTCTGATGAACTCATGGAATAAGTAAGATGCAAAGTTTAATACATAGTGAGATAGATAGATTCTGAGTAGAACCTGCGACTTCATCAGCACCTCTCCATTTCACCCTGTCCTCAGCCGGCCTTTTTAGCTACCTCCTCACCCCCCCCCCACAAAGATTGTCTGTCAGCTTTCGTCGTCTCCTCATATGATCTCACCCTCGGACGGCCCACTCTTCGTCGTTACCAAGTTGGGTTCCACTCGAGCGATGACCTGGCGCTCCATTTCCATTTCATTTGGCATATATGTTGAGCAATAGATCCTCGGTTGCATTACTGACAGATAGTATCAAACTATACTGCATAAAGGTCTACAATCATAGAAGTCCTGTATATCGAAGAAATCAATCACGGATTAAATCATCCTTAATAGCATGGCTGTTGCATTCTACTGATTGATAGGATGATTTGGGCGCTATTCAAGCCGGTTATTAGTGATTGCCAGCAAGATCGGTAGCGTATTTCACATATTTTGATCTGAATATTTTGGAGATCCAAAGAAAACTGTAGTGTAAATTCACCTCCAACTCGACTAATTTGTAAATCAAACATTTTTAATAACAATTGGGAGTTTCAGGATTTTCATCATGAGCTGACATTAGTTAGAGAACCATTGGAACGTCGGGTTTGAGGACAAATGCTCGTCGAAGACATTGGTTAGAGGTTGCGCTATGTTGTGAATTGACAGAAGTTAGAATTCATGGGCTGGCCATTGGATCAGGTCCCAGTGGCTTAATGGTATACGAGCTCACCTTGTAACCAGAAGGTCCTGGGTTCTAATCCCGGTGGGTGCGTACTGCTGAAGAGTCCCAAACTAGGACGAAATAGCTGTCCAGTACTCCCAGGTTTTCCAATGGTTCTCTAACTAATGTCAGCTCATGATGAAAATCCTGTAAGCAATCAAATCCCTACAAACCAACACTTGAATTGGGAGTTTATCGATTGGAAAATTTCAAACTCTTAGATATGCATATATCACAAATTAAAAGTCGGTATAAGTTAAAAATGCTCTTTTAAATCTTTTGTTATGAAATCGAATTTATTATTATTATTATGATAGCCGGGTCATTGGTGGATATATTTTTTCATGGGTAATTTGCATTGATGTATTTAGGTTCGCATAGTAGTAAGATAACTTGTGGTTTTATGTTGAATGTGACTGCTTCAATTCGATTGTCGAAATAGTCCAATTAATGAGAATGTACTCGTTATTTTTTACTTTATAACTGTAAGAACTTGAAAATAATAATCCCTGTACATGTCAGCTTTTAATTTTAGTATTATTATTATCCCCTTGAGTTCCGGGTGGAACATAGGGCTTCATATGTACATTTTCATCCATTTCCTCTTATCCTCTTTAGCAGTGCCCACAACTACCTATAGTCTCATCTCCTCACACGGTCTCCTTCATGTCATCCTTGGATGACTCCCCCGTCATTTACCATTCAGGTTCCACTTGAGCAATGACGTGGCGCGCGACATCCTTCGGTGTCCTCCTCAGCATGTGTGTCCGAGCCATCTCCATTTTCTTCGGGATATTTGTTGAGGAATAGGTTATTGATTGGTTCGTTCCCACAGTTTCTTGTTGCTGATTCTCTCTGATCTCCCATTTGGTCTTCAGTATAGAACCAGAGAGGTGGGAAGCTGTTGATAAAAGTCTGCAGTGGCCTATTGGAAATGCTTTTCATGACCCGTGTGTCAAGATCTTACCCATATAGAAGCACTAACTGACTCTATATTTGTGTTGAAAATTCGAATCTTGTTCTGTATGCTGAGTGAAGAAGATTGCCAAACTGATTTCCTCTCTGATTATGACTTTGAGGTTTTCATCCGTCCACCCCCCACGTGGTTAAAATGATGCTTCCTAGATAAGTGAAGGAAGTGACCTCTTTCAAATTCCCCCCGTTGATGGAGATTGGTGCTGGTTGTTGTTGTGGTGGTGGTGGTTCGTTGGTTATCTTTACCACTTCCGTCTTCTCTGTGTTCACTTGAAGTTTCTTTCTTCGTTGCTTCCTCATCCAGTTTGTCAGTTTTCGCCTGCAAGTCCACGAAATGCAGGTCTTCTAGGGTCTTCTTATCGGCCCCAACGTATTTCTGCAACGAGACTGACTGTCATATTATTATTAAACCTGGCAGTACTGTGTAGTTACTTAGTTTAACGCATCAGGCAGAAAGTTAAAGCAAAGGAGAAAGTGAATTGAAACTAATTTAGTCTAAAATTGTAGTATTGTAAAACTAAAACAGAAAACATGAAGAGAATAAATAAATAAATGTGTTATGAAGTATGCATGCATCTGTGTTCCTGCAATCACTTCTGTGCTTTTCCATCAAGTCTCTCAGTTTTAGTTTTATCATGTCAAATAGACTCTAAACTAATCTATTTAAAGTCATTAAATTTATGGAGAGAATTGTCACAGTATCTCAGTTAGACCACCATAAAACTTCTCAAACATAAGACACTGGACAACTTACATCATCTTTGACGTAGACGTGATATGCGGCTATCGGTCGTAGGATGTGTGAGACATGACCATTGCGAGTGGAAGATATAAAATGGTTGGCTGTCTGTTACCCACAGATGTTTGAGTTCTGTCTTTAGTGTTTAGGAATATACTATGCCGGGTAATATTGAGGTTAAGTTGATAGTGCTTTTAAGGAAAGGAAAGCAACCAATGAGGTTGCGAAGATGAATCGATTGAGATTGCTAGGACATGCGTTGCGCATTCCCAGGCATTACCTTCCTCAACAGGTAATGTTAGCCGACATGGGTTTAGTTTAGAAAAGAACTACGGGTGATCAAACTAAAAACTTATCATCAGTTCACGCAGTCCTTGACAGCTGATCTGAGCCATGTAGGGGGATGTAGTTCGCCTGGCTAGAAACCTTGGATGCTAAGAAACAGTGACTGGAAACTACTGGTGATATGTCTGAAAGTCATTTCTAGTGAAGCAGATACAATCACTCTCCGTGGTCTCTCATATCCATTAAAAACCTTAATGTTTTCCCATTTTACCATTCCTTCTCCTTTACACTACTCTTCTTCAGAATTTTCCTTTTCAAGTATCGGTTTTGTAGGGATTGTGTTTGATTGGTTGGAGGGTTTCATCATGAGCTGACATCAGTTAGAGAACCATTGAAAAACCTGGGAGTACTGGACAGCTGTTTCGTCCTAATTTGGGACTCTTCATCAGTAACTCATCGAAGAAGACATTGCGAAGTGGTCGTGCTATGTCATGAATTGGCAGAAGTTAGAATTCAAAGACCATTGGATCGGGTCCCAGTGGCTGCTTAATGGTCTACGAGCTAGCTAGCTTTGTAATCAGAAGGTCCTGGGTTCGAACCCTGGTGGTGGGTGCGTACTGCTGAAGAGTCCCGAACTAGGCTGACGAAACAGCTGTCCAGTATTCCTAGCTGGTTTTCCAATGGTTCTCTAACTGATATCAATCCGTGATCAACTCATCAAAACAGTTAATGTCATATATAGAATAATCCATAGGATGTATAGAACTTGGAATGGGTGTGCAATTATAGGATTAGTAGGCAAATAGAGTAGAAATAAAACGTTACGTAACATTGTGTTAAATTTGTTGAAAAGAGTCTCTGCGCTGAATCACTTGTTTTGATTTTCTATATATCCCAATAGGAATTTTCTATCAAGCTCAAATAGGCTGTAAAACTCAATTTTTAGATAACATTTCACTATTCTAACTTATTATTATTATTTAACTCTATTTTAGTCCCTCGTTATTCACCAACATTTTCAACATCAAATTTGGGATATTTTGCCAATATGCCACATTATGTAGCACTGTATAAAACTCTTAAAACTGCATATAAAACGTTTAAAGTGAGTTCAGTTGTTTGTTCGCTTCATCGTTTTCCTATGAAATGCACATACATACATGTATATTTGTCTTAATCATCTTTTACAGGTTGCCGTAAATGAATTCTAAGCGGAACACAGAATTCCAAGCTTGAGCTTTGAAGTTTCAGTGGCAATGGTGTTTTTTTTATGAAGATGAGTTGCTGATCTGCCCGTCCAACTTCTCCTTTTTACTGGGCTTACTAGCGGTTAAGCGAGGTCTAGGAGCGCTTCGGCTAGGGACCAAACGCAGGACCACATGACGCGTGGTTGGCAAGCATTCTACGGTTCAGCCACTGATGCACATTTCCTTGAACAAGAAAAACAATTTATCAGATATGATTTTGGAGGAAATCATCAGGAAGCTTTCGATCCACGTTTCGTACTTGTTGAAACTCGTCAGCAAGGTGTGTCTGCAACCTTGAAGAAACTCATGTCCCCTCTGTTTTCAAGGTTGCAGATACGACTTGCTAATGAGTGTCAACTAGCACGACGTCTGGGTTGAAGACCTCCTGCCGATTTCGTCCAACTGTCTAATGACAATAGTTCACAGTGCACCGTGATGGAGTACAGCTTAACATGGTAACCACATTGCAAACTTTACTCACAGAATTCAGTTTGTACCAATAACAAGGAGTAGATACACAGCACTAGTCACTTACTACTTAGTGTTCAATCAAAAGGAAAACAACACTGTACGATAAAAGAATTAAGAATTTTTCTTAACTTAAGCGAGTTAAATAATTCATTAAAAATATCTTCATAGATTTATTCTCCTTTTATCAATTTGAATAAAACAAGAACAAACATTTGATTGCACAATAAGATTATAGTATCACCATTTATTTCTTTGGCCTTTCTCATCAGCTGCTTACAGCCTAAATAAATAATTATTAAGCTAAGTTGAACATCGAAAGTATAGGTCTCAGGGGGACTTGTTCTATGTGTGTCTTTCGAAGGTCATACATGTGCGGTAAACGAGACCCTCGGGAGTTTAAATAAGCTGTTCATTTAATTGCCATTTTACATCGAATAAATTAGGACAATATTTCAATGTCTTTGCTTCTACTCAATTGGTGTATACATTAAAACTCGGCATTAATCGATTATTGCCTACTGAAGTGGAAATGAATACGGAGGGGGAGGGGGATGTCATTCGAGGCGATGACTGTAACAATTAGCTTCTGTCAAAGACTTTTTTACATGACAGTTGAACATCATTGTGCTATAATAAAATGGGGGCTGTTAAATACTATGGGATTAGTAGGCGAATAGAATAGAAATAAAGACGTTACATAACATTGTGTGAAATTTGATAACATAGAATATAACGTTGCAAAACAGAATTGATTTAGAATGATAAGTGGAACAAGTGAAAATAATGCCGGGGACAGTTCAAAGTGAGAAAAATAATAGTAACAATCGACGTAATAAAGGAAGAGTATACAAATTGAATAGACAAAATGAAAAATGATTGGTAGAGCCAAAAAATGATTAGGGATTATCATACTTTAGCATAGAAGGATTAAGACCATGAAATTTGGAGGTGTTGAACGATCTTTTTCTGTACACAGAGATCTATCTGGCTTTTCTGTTTCAGTGGCCAAAGCAACCCTTCCAACTTCCATGGTGCTAATCTCTCTATGCTAAAGTATGGGTAATCCCTAATCATATTTTGGCTCTACCAAATTTTTCGTTTTATTTACCCAATTCATATACTATTTCTTTATTACGTCAATTGTTACTATTACTATTCTCACTTTGAATTGTCCCCGGTGTTATTTCACTTGTTCCATTTGTCATTCTAAATCAGTTTTGTTTTCTAAATGTTAAATACTATATTTTCGAATTCCACACAATGTTGCATAACGTTTTTATTTTTATTCTGTTCGCCTACTAATTCTAGAATTTCACACCCTTTTCAAGTTCTATACATCCTATGAATCGTTAAATATTACTCATAAAACCTGTTACGCAATCATGTTTAAATAGGACTTATACATGTGTTGTTATAAATATTAATACATAAAACTCGAGCATTTTTGAAAAAAACTGTTTTACAACATTGTGAAACCTGCTAGAAATGTGAATTTTTTTTGTAAAACCTGTTTATCATGTGAATAATATACAAATATTGTCTGAAAATTATATATATATGTTCGTCGGTGGCACAGCGGTAGAGTAGTCGCCGTCCACGCAGGTGGTCCAGAGTCCGATCCCCGGCTGACGCACACCTGATACCAATGGTCGGTCTGCTAAATTTGGGCTACCGATATCACATGCTGAAAATTCCATACTTGTATCAAAAATACTGTGTGGAGTCAAGCTACAATGAAAAAAGAATGGATATCCACGGAATTTCATCAAAAGACATATACCCCCAAGCCAACCTATTAAATCAAAGGCCCCCAAGGAAAGCACAAAGAAAATCCCCCTGGCATATATAAACGACATCTCAGAAATCACCGCAAGACTCTTCAAACTTTTAGGAATTGACGTCGCACACAAACCAACAAAATCACTTCACTCAGTTCTATGTCAACCAAAAGACTCAACAACGAAAGAAAATTAAACCAACATCATCTATAAAATAAATTGTAACAACTGCGAAAAAACTACATTGGCCAAAGTGGACATCCCATTCGTCTTCGTGTCCGTTAACATAAGCTAGCCGTCATAAGATGGGACATCCACTCCCTCATATCACTGCATTTAGACAACGTTCAAATATTAGACAGAAGAAACACCAAGAATACTAGAGAATTTTTAGAAGCCCGCCTGGTATTCCACTGAATCGTCAATCAATAGACACATCGAGATAGACAAAATTTACCAATCGATAGGAAGTAAATCTGACACACAAAGGGTGAAACTTCAGGTCAAGGAAACAATCAGTACCAATACCACAAGTAGCCTAGAGGGTGTGTAAACACAGAAAAACAACCAATCACTTTGAAAGTCACCCACCAGGAGAGATGACTAATAAACTCGTGGAGAAATCTAAAAGCTCACTTCAACAAATTGAAGTATGTGCTGAAGATGTTGTCTAGTAGGGGAATGAAAGCTTCGTAAATTAACTATCCAGCTCAGAAAACACAACCACATCAAAATCATCCACCTGAGCTACAAATCTTCTCCATCATATATATATATATATTGCAACTTATTTCTTTTTTACACTATTTCTTGTAGATATCTTCTGATTTGAATGGTGTTCAGGACCGATTAATGTGTTTATTACAAACATGTCTGTACTCCTTTGGTCGATTATTAGAAAATCTTCAGTTCAATGATATAGCTCCGTATGCAGATGAATTATTAATGTATTTAACATCATTTTACAATTGGCAACCTGGTGCATGTTTAGAGTTGGCAACACAAGTAAGTATTACCAATACAGTAATTATCACTTGTAGCTTAACTGGATGATTTGCATGTGCTTTCCTTCTATGCACGCTTGAGTGGTGGTTTACTTGTCTGTCTAGACAAAACTTTTAGAACATTAAAGTTTGCCCTGAAGATATGTTGTCTTAGAAGGATAATGAAAGTTTCTCAATTTAACCTATCCACCTGTAAGAACAGAACACAACCACATCAAAAGCAGATAGTCACATCACACTTAAGGTTACTTCATCAAATATTATTATTATATTATTGTTCCCTTGGGTTCCTAGTGGAACATAGGGCTTCAACTACACGTCTCCACTTGCTTCTGTCTTCTGCTGTACTTTTCACTTGCATCCATGTTAGTTCATACTGTTTCAACTCCTCTTCACACGATCTCCTCCATGTCACCCTTGCACCGACGAACCACTCGCCGCTTCCCTTTCGGGTTCCACTCGAGCACTGGCCTGACGCGCGATGTCACCGAACGGCCTCCTCAGCGAGTGTCCAATCCATCTCCACTTTCTCCTGCATATTTTTTTGGACGATTGGTTGTTGTTTTGTTTGTTCCCATAGTTTCTTGTTGGTGATTCTATCCGGCCATCTGATATTGAGTATAGAACGAAGATAGTTGTTGATAAAGGTCTGTAACCTGTTGGAAATATTCTTTGTGACCCGCCAAGCTTCTGATCCGTATAGAAGAACTGACTGACTTGACGTTTGTATTGAAAATCCGAATTTTGTTGTTGATGGTGAGTGACGAAGATTTCCAGATTGGTTTCAGGTTGATGAATGTGTCTCTCGCCTTCCCAATTCTCGATTTGAAATCCTTGTCCGTTCCTCCTGTAGTTGAGACAATGCTCCCTAGATAAGTGAATGAAGTAACCTCTTTCAAATCCCTCGCCTAGATTACTAGCTCGCTAGTATTCTAGCCGGTCCTAAGCCCGGATAAAGAGGGAGGGTTGGGGCGTGGTGCTAGCAACTCCACCCCCAAAACTTAACCAAATTGCTACAGAAACTTCAACGCATAAATTTATTAAAAGTACTAAATATATAAACAATAACCTTCATAAATTGTGATTGTAAATTTATCAACATCAGGGAGAAACTATCGAATGAAAGTGAAGATGTCATTGGAAATTAGAAGATAATTGAACCGAGAGTAATGAGATAATAAAAGGTTGACTGGCTGAATTCTATGAAAGGAGAATAATGCATCGGTCTACTCTAATGAGTATATATATGTATGTATTGTTATCAGTGCATTAAGAAATATAAGTCTGCATACATACAAAAATATCTTGCAAGTTTTGTTACCACTCGATAGCAAGTATTCTTCATAAATAGAATAAGCCAGACTTGTATTTTCAGAAGAAATCCGTGTAACCACTTTCTTAACGTTTACCATAATTACAGGAATGTAAAAGTCTGACAATCTCCCGCTAACCCCTAAACCTTTTACAAGTTATCATTGTCCAAATTATTTATTTTTATTCTGACTACTTCATCTTTAACTGTTTGTTATGTTGTAATCAGTCTAAATACTCACATGTCTACTACTTCTCTGTTTATATACTAAGTCGATAGTTTCAACGACCCCCATATTTGAACAAAGCAAGAACAACAATTGTACCAGGATAATATGAGCTCATCTTTTATAATTTCGAGGATTCTTCTCAACTGGTTACAACCTGAACGATAAAAATATGAATTACATTACATTAAAGATTTGAACATACTTTTCCACGATCACAAGGAGTAATTGGTAGGAAGTAAAAGTAACATTAGTCCGGAATGATTTAACTAATTAAAAGTTACAAACACTGACTATTTATAGAGTAATTAGACAATTAGGCTTGGAAACAAAAACAGAGTTGCATATATATATATATATATATATATATATATATATATATATATATATATATATATAGAAACAAGGTTTAGCTAGACAGAGCATAACAAAAAGGTAGATTACGTAACTAAATAAAATGTTTTATCTAATAGCCAATTGAAAAAACGAAGAGAAAAGAACAAAATAGGGTGAGTCATGTTTAGATGAGAGAGTAGAGTTTTCTAAACAAGAAAAGGGTGACTCATACAAGTTGTATATTTTGTTATCACCAGGGCAGTGCAAGATTCACCACTGTCTCTTTCTGCGTACATAGATTTGGCTTAAGTCGTTTGGTAGCAATTGCTGCAGCAAAGCGTAGCAAGCTAGGTTTCTTTTGCTTGTTGATTATTTTGAATGACTTCAAGTTGTCTACATTATGATCAGTGTCTAATAGATGACGCGCAATTGCATTGTCCAATACTTGTGGACCTTTCAGTCTCGGGTTCTTTGGTTTGTGTTCAGAAATGCGGACAATAACCCTTCTCTCTGTTCTTCCGATGTATGTGCTTTGGCACGTACATGTAAATTGGTAGACACAGTTGGAGGTAACACGAGGTGGGTATTTGTCCACTTTTGATTGTCTCAAACAACTTGTTGTTTGATAAACACATACGAGCTTGGCGGCTGGATATGTTCTTTTCAGGGCAGCGTTCAGTCTGCATCTTATTCTACTGGCAGTATCATCACCTTTGAATGCAAGCTGCAGAAAGATAGGCTTTTTCTCTACTGTGCTGCTTTTCACTTTTTCAACATGACGTCTCCCATACTTGTCGATGAACTTTTGTGGGTAACCGTTGTCGCGTAGGCATTTCTCCACAATGGATAGCTCTTCCTCAATCTTTTCTTCTGAGCACAGCTTCCTTACACGATTAAGTAATGTTCTCACCAATCCTTTTTTGTAACTTATAGGGCAGAAACTGTTGAAGTTAAGATTAATCGCCCTCCAGCTCTCTTTTCTGTGTATATATCATGATTTTGCCGTCTATATCTCCTTGGATACCCAGGTCAAGAAAATGGAACTTCTCCTCTTTTTCATACTCCATTGTAAACTTAATATTAGGATGGGCGCTGTTCAAGACTTTTAGTACTTGAGATGCATCATTAAAAGAATTACAAATAACGAAAGTGTCGTCGACATACCTGGTGTAGAAGTTGGTCTGACTGATTGCGGATTTCAGCCTTGTTTGTTCCAGACTACCCATAAAAATATCTGCCAGAATCGGACCCAGCAGGCTTCCCATGACGACTCCGTCAATTTGGCGGTACAGAATGTTGTTAAACTGGAACTGTACGCCTTTGGTGCACATAAGTAAAAGTTGTTTGAGTTCGTTCTTGGGCAGAGGAAGAAGTTCGGCATTTTGACATATAATTTGTATTGTTTCTTCCAATGGGATCTTTGTAAACAGTGAAGACACGTCGAAGGACACCATAAATTTATTTGAGATGCTTAGAATTCTCTAATTGTTTAGCGAACTGGAAGGTGTCTTTCAGGTTGTAGACACCTTATTTACAACGGATCGGTTCTAACATTTCCGCTAGCCACCTAGCTACTTTGTGGTACGGCGAATTAATCATAGATAATATTGGTCTCATAGGGATGTCAGGCTTATGCATCTTTGGTAAGCCGTACAGGTAAGGCAATCTGGATCCCTTAGGCTTCAGTTCGTTGTATATGTTGTTGTCAGTCAACTTCTTCTTCAAAAGTTCTCATAGCTTCTTTGTAATCCGTTTTTCCATCGATTCGGTTTGACCTTTCTTTGATGGATCAGTATGAAGAGAAAGGTAACATCGAAAGAGACCAAATGCTTATCAGATACACTGAAATCATTAATTTTCTTGACTATATACCTTCCAAAGCGTTTTCACAAGGCCTGCAGTAATTCATATAGCTAATATGCTAGTTCGTGGTATGCTGAATTTACCATTGAAAGCAGAGGTCTTAAGGGCGCTCCTGATTTGTGTATTTTAACACGCTTCTATATTTTTTTGGATCTGTGACCCAATTGATTTGATATCTATCTCTATATGTATTCTCATCAGTGTATATTTCTTTCTGAAGAATTGCTGTAAATGCTGAATAATATTTCTGTCGGTTGACAATATCTGATCTTTTGCATGATTATCCATTTTGAATTTAAATTCATCAGAGAGCATTTGATGCATTTTTTTTTCGATATAATCCATCTTATTCATCAGTACCATACTTTGGCTTTTTATCAGATTTTAAAATAACAACATTATTGTCTTTTGGGAGCTTGTGTAAAGATCTCCAGTGTTCTTTGGTAATATGTGATTTTTGATTGGTCAGCGTGATATGAAATTGATGAGCAGTGTCAACCATCTTTGATTTTAACCAGCCTTCACTGTCACATGATGTATGTAGCATATAGCCTCATAAATTGGTCATAAAGATTTTCAAATTGGCATTTGATGTGATGAATTTGCTTTACTCTTTTCCTGGGAACATCATATTAGAAAACGAATATTTCACAACTGGTTGATGAAAAGCTAGATAGTAGCTTTTAGGCTGCCGTTTTTTTTTCTAATTGGTCAAGAATGAGGCGGAGACATGTACATAAAAAAACGAAATTATTCAAATTACTGCGTGTTTTGCCTATTTGACTGGGTTTCACCACAGAAAGTTGCACAGAACTGTACCGCTTCAAGTTACCACACTGCATGCACCACACGAAGGTAGAGATTCAAGAGAACTGCAATGACCAGAAATCTGTGGCAGAAAGAATTTTTATACTGAAAAATAGCGGCATTCTAGTTGATATGAGGGAGATCACAGAGAGTGAGTGCATCTGTGCCGTTGAAAAGCGATTTCTAGCCATATCCCTAATAGTCTCCAGCCATTGGTTCTTAAAATTCTGAGGACCTCAACTAGGAAAGCTACATGGTTGGCTCAAACTAACTGTCGAATATTTTTATGGACGGATTCCTGGTTTTCGTTTCATCACCACTAACTTTTTTCCATCCTAATCTCCCATATTAGCTAGCAAGAAGGTGATGACTCGGAATTCACAACACACATATTTCAATCGATATAGCTTCACAACTTCATTGATTGACTTCCATTTCTTTATCTAGCACTCTACACCTAACCTCTCAATACATATTTGCTTAATGTTTAGGTCTTATAGGTTTGAAGATCGCTTAGCTTAATTTCAAATTTGTGTGTATAAAATAGCAGTCGAACTTGAAGTTTTTATCAGTTGTGCCTGCTAGTTATGGTTCTTCTGTATTTTAATCGCAAAGGAATTTCTTCTATATATCCTAATGATTTCTGTGGTTAAATAGCCAACCCACTTGACATTGACATTTGACAAACCAATACTTGAATATCAATGAGATGCTCACTAGCAACTGGTACTATTCAGGTAGGTATATACCTGGGGTTTTAGTGGGAATGTGACCAGTAGAGTAAGTACAGCAAGTCGGCCGTGAGGACAAATACTCGCCGAAGACATTGGCTAGTGGTCGCTCTATGTCGTGAATTGGCAGAATTTGAAAATTCATGGGCCATTGGCTCGGGTCCCAGTGGCTACTGAACGGTCTACGAGCCTCACCTTGTAACCAGAAGGTGCTGGGTTCGAACCCCGATGGGTACGTACTGATGAAGAGTGCCAAACTAGGACGAAACATCTGTCCAGTACTCCCTGCAGAGGGTATCCGATGGTTCTCTAACCTATGTCACCTCATGATGAAACCCTGTTTTACTTTAAAACATTTTCTGGCATTCTGCATATTTTGTATTCTCAAAAATGACTTTGATTAATGACATTCTTTGGCTGTCTTTTCTGTTTTTAAATAACAAAACCTTTACATAGCTACTTCGAGCCTTTGTAGGCACAAATCTTTGCAACCAATGGGATGATCAGTTATCATGTTTGTATTCAGAAGCTTTAAATCGTACAAGTTTCAGCCAGACTGGAAAAGATGGAGTGGAAAAACACAGCAGACATAGTGTAAAAAGTTAGTTAGTTAGTCGTTTTGCGTTTCTGTATTTTGAGTTGTGCTACTTTTAATTACAATCAGTGATTTAAATCATTGACAATATTTTCAATATCGTATTTATTATTATTTTATTTTGTTATTATTTTCTATATTCTGGCTAGTGTGTATACTGTTGAATTATTCACGTTTAACACGGAGCACCTGGAAGCAACACTGATTATACGTATATAGAAATAGAAATAACATCAAGGTGGTAAAGTGCTTTTGTCAAAATACAGTGAAATGTGATTGATTACCCGTCTTCAATTAGTCATTTATGGAAAACAGTAATAGGCATTGTTTGTATTGGCGTGTGGCCTTCTCACAGGTGAAAAAACTCCCTGTTATGATCTACAGTTAAACTGCTCGAAATTACAAGTGACACCATGAAAATGAGTTGCTGATACCTCTATCCTTCGTCAGTCAAATCAACAGGAGATGTAAAATTTCTTCTTTTTGTATTGTCTTCAGCTTTGTAAATTTAAGCTAAGTGCTATCATACGTATGTAACTTATAAGTGAAGAGTGGCAGTTCCTTATACAAAAAATACTTTGATACTTAATATATTTCACTAATATTCACATATATATTTAGGAAAGTAAAACGATCTGACTGACTGGTTTCAAAACATAGAACTTTGCACCGATGTGTAGCAGTTCAAGTCGCCACACTCCATGTAGGACACAAAGCTAGAGAAGAAATGCAAAATAGAGACAGTAGACAGGGATATGAGACAAAAGAAATAGCAATATGAAAGAACAATACAGTTACATTGGAAATTATAAGTCACAAGGAGTGCATGCATCTGCGCCAGCCATTAAGAACGAGGATTTTGAGCCATATCACCAATCGTTTCCAAACATTGGTTTTTACTGTCCCGAGGACCCCAACCAGTCAGTCAGGCAGTCTACACCTTCCTACGTGACTGGCTTAAACTAACTTTTGTGGATATCATTAAGTGATGTTTTGGTTTGACCACCACTGGCTGTTTCCCAACCTTATCCTGTGTCAGTCAGCTAGCATTGCCCATCGACGAAGGTGATGGCTAGGCATACGTAACACATGTCCTAACCATACCAATGGATGTAGCTTCAAAGCCTCGTTGATTGATTGATTTCCCCTCCTTTTCTATCACTTAACCGAAACTTAACCTCAATTTAACTCACCCTATTACACCTAACACTTAACATGAGACAGAACACAGACACCTATGATCAAAGACAGCTAGCTGGCCTTTGCATATCTTCCACTCTCAATGGCCATGTCTCACTCACAGCCATAGGGGAGGACGGAGCTGACTGCTGAGCAGTACTCCTGTTAATTCCTTTCCTACCTGTTCATTCTCAATCTTTCCCTTGTTCAACATTATACTACTTGCCATTAGTGAGTAGTATGATTTTTATATGTTATTTTATAACAATGACATTTGCTTACAACTGCAGTTAAATTACTTGTTCTATTATCATTCTATTAATGTGTAGTTCTTATTTTTCTTCTCCTTAAACATTATTTGCTGACCTTACCCTATAGTGTATGCTTTACTATTGAAAGTTGTTTGTTCATATTTGTTTATTCTTTGCTTGGCATTCGCGGGCCGTTTGAACCGACACGTGGATCGACCTTGACACAGCATTGCTGTTTTTACTTATTGACTGCACAGTGGTTGTGCATTTGACGGCATTTAGCCACAGACACCTCACATTTTGAGGTTTGTATATTATATATCTATTTTTATGTAATAAAGTACCGTATTGCAGAATATCCTGTATTTCGCACTTTACGCGTCACTCTACGTGTGGTTAAATCTATAATTTGGATTATCGTTTCGGATTTCTTTCGGGAGAAATTCACAGTACTCAAAATTGGTCTTGTTGATCTATTTGGATATTTATCAATGCCGGTTACTCGTAATATGTCTGGAAAACTGGAAAACGCTGAAGAATATCTTCGAGTCAATTTATCTTCACCGCAAGTTTCTTCTTTACCTGTTTCCTTATCTGATTTTGATAATTTTAAACACACCCCTCATGTCAGCCTAGGTTTTGATAATATTGCTAGGGGAGGTAGTGTAGTAGTAGACTCTGATGTTGATTCGAATGTTGCTACCGAATTAGAGATTCTAGAGCTTAAGGTTCAAGAGCTTAGACTTCGCAGCAAACGACGAAAATTGGAGAGCGAGTGCTCTCAACAAGTTAGGACCACAGCCAGCTGCGTTCGACCTTGCGCCAATCCTTCGACAAGCCAATTCCTAGACGGTAGCACCAACTATTGCCCAGGACCACCCCCAGAGTCAAATCGTACTGCCACACCAGTGCAACCACTCCTGAACTCAGTTAGCCCCATTAGAATGCCTCAAATTGAGATGGATAAGTTCGATGGTACACCAACTAAGTTCCTGAAGTTTATAAGATGCTTTAACATGTTCATAGGAGAACAAACTAATGATGACAACCTACGGTTAATGCATCTCATACACAATTGTGTTGGTACAGCCAAAGAGGCCATAGAGCATTGCATTCTACTGCCCTCTGAGGTAGGCTATAGGAAAGCAATGGGGATTTTACGAAGTCAATTTGGCCAACCTCATGCAGTTTCGGATGCCTTCCTCTCCGAATTACTGTCAGGCCCACAGCTGCAACCTGAAGATATAGCTGGGCTACAACGGTTGTTGAGACAGATGACCAATTGTGAGATAGCCTTATCTCAGATGAATTACATGGCAGACTTGGACTGCTCTACCAACCTTAAGTGCATTGTTCAGCGTCTCCCCCGGCACCTACGATGGAAGTGGGCAGAATTGGTAAACGATGGTTTACAGTTTGCTGAACCTAGCTTTCGTTACCTCAAAGAATTCCTCGAAGGGCAACTGTCATTGGCTACAAGCTGTTACGGCCAGATAGCTAATGCGAATAGGAACAACAACGAAGTAGGGTCCAATGATAAAATGTCCAGAGCTATGCCTTCGCACAGCGTTAATGTCGTGAAGTCACGAGCCCAGAAGTCGTGCATAGTTTGCTTCACAGATCACGACTTATGGGAATGTCAACGCTTTTTGTCTATGAGTCACAAAGAGAGACTAGCAGTGTCAATGCGGCATAAGGTGTGCTTCAACTGTTTGAAACTTAATCACCGAGCTGACACTTGTCGTGCAGCAAGAGGTTGCGATATAGTGGGATGCACTAGACATCATCATAAACTTCTACACAATGAAGATAATTCAGCATGCCTGACTGTCAACTACTCTAGCACGGAACCCGGAACTTCCTTTTTAGGATATGTGCCGATTCGTATCTTAGGACCTAAAGGATTTCTAGATACCTATGCCTTTCTCGACAATGGTTCAGATGCTACACTACTGCTGAGTCATGTTGCCCACCAAATAGGACTGGAAGGGGTTAGTACATTGATGCAGGTAACATCTTTCTGTGGAACTACTTCTCAGAATTCATCCAAGGTTTATTTCGAAGTTGAATCCTTAACGGGAGATTACAAGACAAGGGTCAAGAGTGCCTACACCGTAGAAAGCTTACCTGTAAAGAGACCTAAGACTCCTTCAAACGAACAGATGAAAAAATGGCCTCACCTGGCAGAAATTCCCTTTCTAGACGTCGAATGTAAACAGGTCAGTCTACTAATTGGGACTAATGTACCTGAAGCACACTGGGTGCTGGAGCAGCGTATAGGGAAATCCAACCAACCGTTTGCATCTTTGTCAGTTTTTGGTTGGTATTTATTGGGTTCAGGAAATAATTATAAAGAAGCAACCTCCATCTTCTGCTTAGAGGAAAGTGAATCAGTAGAGAACAAGCCTTTGCGAATACCTGATAAAATAGGTCAATGCGTAAATCTGGGGCCTCTTTCTCCTGCTCCTGAGAAGGACAATAAGGTATCCGAGGTGTTCCCTACGTCACCTAAACGTCCAAAAACAGAAATTGCAAAAGAAGTGGTGGAAAAAGATGGTGGTATTTGGCTTCCTGTAAAGTCGACGTGTATTTCCCAATTGTTTGAGGAAAACCCATTAGATGACCACCATGATCGCATTGCGAAATTTATGCGAGAACAAAGTGTCATTTCCCAGCGACTTGGTTTTGAAGGACGGAATGAGAAGATATCAAGTCTGGATACAACATCATCGGTTCAAACTCATTCAGAAGTTGCAAGTATTCATAGTCAAGAAGTCAGAACCGAAGATCCACCACGACCGTGTGAACCTCTTACACATTTCGACCGTGGTTCTAGTGAAACTGAATTACAAGGAGGTCCCTCCAAGTGTTTAAAAGTCCACGCTGAACCAATCACACCTAATAGTCCGACAATAGTAAGTGATTCCGAGACACTGGTTTCTCCACATTTTACTCAAAGTCTTAATTCAAGTCCACTAAGCAACATCGAAGTACAGTCCCCATATTCGAAAAGTGCCAATCGTAACCGAAAGCGTTCAACAAAACGGAAAGACCTACCTCCAAGTGCTTCTACTACTGCTGCTCCAATCGCGTATGAAAATCAAGAACCAGAATTCACTTCAGCTTTCAGTCCAGCAGTATCAACTAACTTGGCTAACGAAGAATGTACAGATACAATCCAATCGACCCATACTATTGTTCGTCGGTGGCGCCGATCTCTATTATCAGCACTCTCCACAGTATGCAGTCGTTGTCATGCTTATGTGTTCATGCATCCTGTAACTGAAGATATCGCTCCAGGATATAGTACGGTTGTTTATGAACCAGTGGACTTAACTTCTATTCGGCGCCGCATGGAGTCATCACTCAGTTGTTTGATTGGTGCTCAACCGTGTACAGCTTTAAATCCACCTTATGCTAGCCACCGTGGCGGAGTATGGGAGAGGTTGATCGGAAGCGTACGTCGAGTTTTAAGCCCAGTTTCGAAGGAGCAAGTCCTCACAGATGAATCACTCATGACCTATTTGACAGAAGTAGAAAGGATACTAAATAGTAGGCCGCTAGTACCTGTTTATG